AGCTAAAGCTGTAAACTTCAAAAGGGTAGATTAGGGCTATACGACGATATTGTTTGAAACGAATATCCGCAATTATTTTTTGTCTGTTTATTACATGTTATGCATAATAGAATTAAAAAAATATCCGGGGAAATAAAATTTTCTTTTTAACACCATTCACATGAATTGAAAGATTTCTTAGCATTTTTTGAACGGCTGGTAATAAAGTTTAAGTTTAAGTTTATTCTGGGCAATCGTGATCAAAGAAGAAAAAAATGATTCTCTATTATTGGAAAATCGTCAGTTGAACATTACTAAGTAAAGCCTTGAAAGAAATGTAGACATTGCCGCTAGACTAGTAGAAATGGATAATCTGGGGAAACGAGACAATTGCCGTTGAAGCCACTATTTACCAGTATTGTATGAATTTGATTGTTCATGAATTAATAATCATTGTGAAAAAGGAAATTAAACATGCGCCCGAGTTTATCCAAAAATAAATTTCATAGTATCGGGATCGGAGTTTCAGGATGAAACTAAAATTGATAATCAACTGTGCAAGACAATGTTAAATTTGAAAATAATCGAATCTGATTTGTTAAAGATTTCGGAGTTGGTTTCAAACTCCGTGGATAATTATTTAAAATATTTTTTTTTAAAAAATTCCATTCATCCTTATACATCTTTAGGCCCCACAAAATATAAAATTATTATTAATCATTTAGTCAAATGTAAACAATTAAAAGAAACGATTGGTTTTGAAATCTGGAGAAGTCAAATTAACTTTATAAATGAATGGTCACTAATTCAAGATGGTATCCTCGGAAGCAAATGGCAAACCATGTGAACTTATGTCCGTGGTTATATAGGAATAAACTTTAAGGTTTAACAAGTCAATTGGAATAAAAGTAAATATACTGACCACTCACTAAATATAGATAAACACAAGACAAATAAAACGAAAACCTAAAATCGGCAATAGTCTCTTTACATTGTATTGAAAAAGTTAATTTACTGAAATTCCCTTGCTACCTTTATTATTTTAAGGTTTTAACGGTTTGGAACAATTTCTTAACTTTATGCAAGGGAAAGTTTCCTAATGTCTTAAAAAAATTTCTGTACAGTTTTTTTCTTTTTCTCGAGAAGGGTTGTTGCAGTATATGGAATCAAATACCCCGGACTATATGACTCGATCAGAGAATACCATTGGCTGGTTCGATACTTTTGTTGATAAAAGAAGGGCGGGTATCTAATCGTCCTTGATGCAGTTTCTTTTTTAATAGTTTAGATTTTGTATGTGTAAAAAAATCGTAGTGTACATTGGTCAAATAATATTATTTTCTTTTCTAATCGATCTCTCTTTTTGTTTATTTAAAAGTTGCTGCTAAAAAATAATCAATTTAAATAATTATCTTTCTAACAAAACACAGAGACAGAAATTTTTGTTGAGTAAATTCTTATTGATATTTAATATCAATCAAAATTCCACTTTTTTTTTCAAAAATTTCAACAATTCTTCTTTTTCTTCTTTTCTCCTTTCTTTCTTCTTCTTAGATCTTTGTTTACTATATATATTCTGAAGCTATTATATATATAATCTACACACACTCAACCTTCACCTATCCAACCAATTTTAGTATGTATCAAACACAATATCCAGATCTACACGATTTCAGACATTTCCCTACAATCCTTCCTTACTTTTAGCGGAAAACGCGAAAAGAGAGACACTCATCAAATATTTGCTCGTTTAGCCCAAAAGTTTTTTTTGCATCCAAAAATAACTCAAACATATAATCTATACACTCATGTCTTGAATGACCCGAAACTTTTGGAAGGATCAGAATTTCGTATACGTACGTTTCAATTCGCGACCAGTACTTGTCTCTTTTGAAATACCATCGAAATAGTTTAAGTTTTAGCTTTTTTCCGATAAAACGGTTTTTTTCAAAACTTTAGTTGTTGCATTTTTTTACAGGTAAATACGAGGTGTACGACATTTTTTTCCTTTTTACCCAAAATTTTTTTTGAGACATTATTTTTTTGGGGGGCTTACATACAGGACACCCCTCCCCCTCAACCGTTGAATGGAAAAAAAGTGGCAGGTTATTGTTTACACATTTAGAGTTTATTTTTTCCGGGTCTCTCATTATAGTTGAGTGACTTACTGAGTTGAAAAATTTACCAAGCATTTAATCATATGACTCGAAACAATGAATGACCCATTTAACAGAAGACACATGAAAATACATTGAATTGAAAGGGAATGACTGACTATCTTTCTAAATATAGATTAAGGAATAACCTGTCAAATGTCATTCAATATAAATAACAATAGAAAGACTGTCTGAAACTTTAATAACGTGTTGTATCTCGAACGATATAAAAAGTTTTTTTTACTAACAAATATAAATATAGAATCCTTTATTTTAAATTATTTTCCAATTGATTTTTTACAAAGAAATTTCTTTAATTAAAATCAAAATCTTATTATTTATTATCAATTAATTCATAGATCTTATTTACTACAATGACTGTTTCAATTCATAAAGTTGTTCACGAAGCCAATGGTGTTGTTCCAAGACCATCTCCAAAGGAATTCTTTGAAAGACAACCAAGACAAGGTCACATCAAGGACTTAGAACATTATAAGGAATTATATCAACAATCTATTGATCAACCTGAAGAATTTTTTGGTAAATTAGGTAAGGAATTATTATCCTGGGATCGTGATTTCCATACCGTTAAGTCCGGTACTTTAAAAGATGGTAATCCAGCCTGGTTCTTAGGTGGTGAATTAAACGCTTCCTTTAACTGTGTTGATAGACACGCTTTAGCTAATCCAAACAAACCAGCTATTATACTTGAAGCTGATGAAGAAAAAGATTCTGCCATTTTAACTTATGGTGAATTATTACAAGAAGTTTCCAAAGTTGCTGGTGTCTTACACTCTTGGGGTGTTGGTAAAGGTGATACCGTTGCCATTTATATGCCAATGAATGCTCAAGCCATTATTGCTATGTTAGCTGTTGCCAGAGTTGGTGCTATCCATTCTGTTATCTTTGCTGGTTTCTCTTCTGGTTCTATTAAGGACAGAGTGAACGATGCTTCTTGTAAAGCTTTGATCACTTGTGATGAAGGTAGAAGAGGTGGTAGAACCACCAACATCAAGGTCTTATGTGATAGTGCCCTTGTTGATTGTCCAACCGTTGAAAAAGTCTTAGTTTACAAGAGAACTGGTAACCCAGATATTAAGTTAGTTCCAGGTAGAGATTATCATTGGGATGTTGAAACTGCCAAATTCTCAGGTTATTTCCCACCTGTTCCAGTTAATGCTGAAGATCCATTATTCTTATTATATACTTCTGGTTCTACCGGTACTCCAAAGGGTGTTGTCCACACCACTGCTGGTTACTTATTAGGTGCTGCCATGACCACCAAATACGTCTTTGATGTCCATCCAGAAGATATCGTTTTCACTGCCGGTGATGTCGGTTGGATTACTGGTCACACTTATGCCTTATATGGTCCATTACTTCTTGGTGTTCCAACTGTTATTTTCGAAGGTACCCCAGCATATCCAGATTATGGTAGATTCTGGCAAATTGTTGAAAAACATAAAGCTACTCATTTCTATGTTGCTCCAACTGCGTTAAGATTATTACGTAAATCTGGTGAAGAAGAAATTCCAAAGTATGATTTATCTTCATTAAGAACTTTAGGTTCTGTTGGTGAACCAATTTCTCCAGATATTTGGGAATGGTATAATGAACATGTTGGTAAAGGACAATGTCATATTTCTGATACTTATTGGCAAACTGAATCTGGTTCTCATTTCATTGCTCCACTTGCTGGTGTTACTGCAAATAAGCCAGGTTCTGCTTCATACCCATTCTTTGGTATTAAGACTGCCTTAATTGACCCAGTTACCGGTGTTGAACTTGAAGGTAATGATGTTGAAGGTGTCTTAGTTGTTAAGGACCATTGGCCATCTATTGCTAGATCCGTCTACAAGAACCACACTAAATACATGGACACTTACATGAACCCATACCCAGGTTATTATTTCACTGGTGATGGTGCTGCCAGAGATAACGATGGTTATTACTGGATTAGAGGTAGAGTTGATGATGTTGTCAATGTTTCAGGTCACAGATTATCCACTGCTGAAATTGAAGCTGCTTTAATTGAACATCATGGTGTTTCTGAAGCTGCTGTTGTCGGTATTAACGATGACTTAACCGGTCAAGCTGTTGTTGCTTATGTCGCTCTTAAAGATGAATTAGTTGATCTTATAAGCGATGATGAAAAAGCTATTGCCTTAAGAAGAGAATTAGTTTTACAAGTCAGAAAGACCATTGGTCCATTTGCTGCGCCAAAATCAGTTATTATTGTAGCTGATTTACCAAAGACCAGATCTGGTAAGATTATGAGAAGAATCTTAAGAAAGGTCAGTTCTTATGAAGCTGATCAATTAGGTGATATCACTACCTTATCTAACCCACAATCTGTTGAAGGTATCATTGAATCTTTCGCTTCTCAATTTGGTAAGAAGTAAAGAGGATAAGGGATACATAGAGTGTATTTTGTTTTAATTAATTAGTTGTGTATATTTAATCATATAAATTTAATATTTAGAATATAATTTAGCATTGTAGAATTTCAACAGCAGATCATTTACTGCTTGTTTGGACTGGACGTACAATTACAATAAAATCCACCTTTCTTAGTAGACACCTTGGACCAACTCATTGCACCACACTTTAATGTTTGACATTTGGTAGCGTTACTTCTACTCTCGCACTAAACATTTTTTGGGCCCCATCACATCTACAGAAAATAATTATTCACCAGTCTTCTTAACAGTAGAGAATACGAATCACTAAGCATGTCAATACCACTATGGAAACTAACTAAGACATTTCTACTAATCAAATTAATCCAACTAGCAATCGTCTATTTCACACCATGTCAATTCGATACATCATCCGAAATCATTATTAATAACCTAAACACAGAATCACCCTATCCTGATGTCATAACTACCATACTCAAGAAACTAATAGTTTGGGATTCGGTTTATTTCAATGACTTATTTATCAATACAATCAAATATGAGCATACATTTGTGTTTAGTCCAGGAGGATGGGTTGCATTGATTAGATTTTTATTCAAACTGGAACTGACTACATACTTCCAATTACAATTTTACAGTGTTTTAATGTCCAATCTTTTCCATTATTTGAATATGATTTTATTATATCAACTTACTAGAATAACTTATGATTGTAGGATAAGTGAATTAGCAAGTATATTTATGATCTTATCCCCGGCTGGGATATTCTTAACGGGGAATTATTCCGAGAATTATAGTAATTTCCTTACATTATTACAAATCTATTTATATTTCACATCAGTCAATTCCCAAGATTTTACCAAAGCAAGTAACAAATCAATTAGAATACGTTGGAAATATATTGTTTCTGGAATCATAAATGGGGTTAATTTCACAGTAAGGGCAAATTCATTATTACTTGGGATTATCTATTTAATTGATTTATATCATTTCTTCATAGACTGGAATATTGAAGAATGCATACTATCAATTATAACCGGCGGGATCCTATTTATATCATTCGCGGGAACCAATATTTATCATTATTTGTTATTTTGTCCTGGTAGAGGTGAATGGTGTAATTCAACGTTTCCAAGTTTATTCCAATATTCTCAAGATAAATACTGGAATGTTGGATTGTTTAAATATTGGACAGTTAACAATATTCCAAACTTCTTGTTAGTGACGCCAATCATAGCCTTAAACGTCTATTCCATTTATTATTTCTATATACATGAATTGCCTAAATATAAACGAATCTTAAGTTTGGTGGTTGTGAATGGATTGATTATAATTGGTGGAGTATTCTTTTGGAATACTCAGATTTTAAATAGAGTCACTAGCTTTTCACCCATATTATATTGGACTTTGGCAATTGAAATGAGGAAGGGAAAGAAATGGGTTCAGTATGCAATGTATTATGCACTTATGTGGAATTTTATTCAGAGCGCATTATTTGCTGCGTTTATGCCACCAGCTTAGAATAGTTAGAGTTTATTTATAGAGTTATTTTAGAACTAGTGAGCTTAAAGAACACCGTTGAACGCTTTTGATATAGAATGCATCTAGCACTTAACGAGCAATGGATGTAAACATGTAAACGTCACTAACAATAATGGTACACATTTTGACAGCCGAATGTCGTTCCATCTAAATGTTCTGAATCCTTCAAATTCAGAGACATTTTTTGCAACCTTTTTTTTCTTTAGAATGGAGAGGCAGAGGCTGACTTACAAAGAGTAAACAAATCATTTTTATCACAAATATTAAACTAATGTACATTTGGAAGCTTAAATAAACAAATACCTAAAAAAAGTAATACACACGAATTAAAAGAATCATTAATTTAACTTTAACCAACCTAAGATCTTTCACCTCTTAATCTTCTAGCTAATTGAATATCCTTCTTTTGGATAGTAACTCTCTTAGCATGAATAGCACACAAGTTAGTGTCTTCGAATAAGGAAACTAAATAAGCTTCAACAGATTCTTGTAAAGCACCAATAGCAGAAGATTGGAATCTTAAATCAGTCTTGAAATCTTGAGCAATTTCTCTAACTAATCTTTGGAATGGTAATTTTCTAATTAATAATTCGGTAGATTTTTGAAATCTTCTAATTTCTCTTAAGGCAACGGTACCTGGCTTATATCTGTGAGGTTTCTTGACACCACCGGTAGATGGGGCGGATTTTCTGGCAGCTTTAGAAGCTAATTGTTTTCTTGGAGCTTTACCACCGGTGGATTTTCTTGCTGTTTGTTTGGTTCTAGCCATTTTTGTTATATATGTAGAATAATTAAAAAAGTATTAATTAAAAAGAAGAGAAAGAAGTTAAAAAGGATGAAAAGAAAAATATGGAAACTGAATTGATTTTATATTAAAAATGAGTTGTTGTGAGTTGTTGTGCTTTTGATGTAAAACAATTCTCCAGGGAAGGTTTTGGAGATTATGAAAAATGTAAACAAATGATGAATTCCATTATAGTTAAAGCGTGTCTTCTTAAACTAGGAGAAGTGCATGTTATGAAATTTACGCACTCAGTGCGAACTATTCAGACCAACACTATTAGTGACATAATTTACACACAGCGCGAGTAATATTCAGTACCAATAAAAGCAACCAAAAAAATAAGATTTGTTCGCTTCAATACGCGCGCGCAGCCATTATTTGTTTTGATTTTTTAACAGCCAAAATATGGTGCGCTCTTGTCATTACAATTGAAAGCTTCGTAGTAAATTCTTGCCACAATTAGGTCCAAGTAATGTCATTCATTTGTAATTTTGTGATCAGCATTTTCTTCTACTCGAACGTTTTCTCTCTCGCCCCACCCCATTCTGAGAATTACACTTGTCGAAGTAAATTTTTTTCACTTCACCCCCGTACCTCCCTAATCCAGTGTCTTTTCGCACCACTAAAAAAACAATAACACCAATATTTGGGTATTATTGATTGCTTTTGCTTGTGTAAAATTGCCTCGTTCTTCTCTGTCGTTTTGTTCATTCTCTCTTCCGCCAGTCTCTCCACTAAAATTCCAAAACAAAAAAAATTACCCACACATAGTTACCATTTAGTAACAATCCCCCGTTTTTCTAATTCCCATTTATTATAAATATATTACAATTCGCACTTTGTATTCATTCAATTAAAATTTTATTCTTTTCTTTCTTTTCTCTTTAAAGTTTTCATACTTATATTTTTAAATTAACTAAAACACATATATAATACACAATGTCTGGTAGAGGAAAAGGAGGAAAAGGTTTAGGAAAGGGCGGTGCTAAGAGACACAGAAAGATTTTGAGAGATAACATTCAAGGTATTACAAAACCAGCTATTAGAAGATTAGCTAGAAGAGGTGGTGTTAAGCGTATTTCTGCTTTAATTTATGAAGAAGTTAGAGTTGTTTTAAAACAATTCTTAGAATCTGTTATCAGAGATGCTGTTACTTATACTGAACACGCCAAGAGAAAGACAGTTACTTCTTTGGATGTTGTTTACGCCTTAAAGAGACAAGGTAGAACCTTGTATGGTTTCGGTGGTTAAACAACTGCTTGAAGGTTTTTACTATTCTTATTGTATTTTTTAAAAATGGGGGAATTTATTATTAATGATTGATTTTTTCTTTCTATGTATATTATTTTAATATAACTATTTTCAGTTCGTTAGATAAAGCTTTTAATTGTAGTCACAATTCGTGGTAATGTAAAAATGTGGGACTTGGATAGAGGATTGGTTAGTGGGGAATTGTATGGTGCAACATTTTTTCTGGTGGGTGCGAAATTTTATGAATGACATCACCAAAGTTTACAACCTCTAGAACGAGAAAACTGAAATAGTCTATCCTGAGTACTGTAAATGAAACTTCTATGTTAATCTATAACAATATAAAACTGAGTACTATAAAAATAAATATGCTAAAATATAAACGAAATATCAAACTATGCTAAAATCTCTTCGTAGTCTTCCAAACTCAACAATCCACCATCTCCTTCAAGTAATTCTTCAATCAATTCATCATCAACATCATAAAGAATGACATGAATATGACTAATAGATCTAACACTTTGTAAACTCAACCAGTTCTTGAACCAAACTATTTGTTGTGGTTTAACTCCACGAGTGACGAATGTTTTATGCAAATATTTTTCAATAATCTGTTTGGATAATTTTGAAATATCACCAACTTCACTATTTTTATCAGTTGGAATAGTTAATTTTGACCAAATACAAAGATGTTTGACTTTCTCTTCAAAATAATAAGGGAACTTATTATATTTTATTTTAATATCGCCCTTGTTATGAAATATCAAATCTTGAGGATATTGAATAGTGTACTCATCATGATGAATTTTTGATTGAAATCTAATATCATTATGCTTCCAATGTAATTCATATTGTAATAAATATTCATTAATATTTAGTTCATTCTCCTTTAACCATTTCTTAAATGAATGATACTTTATCGTTTGAGTTTCTGATCTGGCAAAGATTTCTAATTGATTTGAATATATTACAAAATTAATATCTTGCCAACTAAATGGTGATCCATGTTTTATTTTAGATGCATTTGGCATATGAGATGATTGTGTGAATTGAATATTGTAATGCTTATGATAATGTTCAAGTGTTTTAGCTGAGGTTGCTTCTACTGAAGAAGATTCAGTTGGAACGGATGGAGAAGTTGGTGGTGTTAAATAAAAGGAACTCATGTGAGAACGTGTGGTTTATCAATTCTTTTTTTTTCCTTTGGCTCGGGTTCAGTGACAGGAAATTTGGCAGCTAAAGTTTTTTTTTTCTTTGCAACCAAAAAGGGAAGGAATGAAGGTTAACGATTGTATGGAAGAATACAAAGAGAAGAAGAGAGAGAGAGAGAAAGAGGAACAAGAGAATAACATAATAAATAATAAAAATACAAAATAACTTTATCAAAAACTGCCATAAATTCAAATGGGAAATTTCCTTCCCTTTTATATTTCTCATTTGAATTTCTTTTTGAGATCCTCCTTCTTCCGTCACTAAATTTCTTTTTGTAAATCAAATATTTTTTTTCGTATTTTATTATATTTTCCGACGTTACATTTATTACTCTCATGTTACATTTCTCAATATAAATATAGCATTAATTACTCCTAAACCATCTCAGACACACACACGTTTACGGAGGAAGGTGGAAATAATTGCAAACAGGCTGCTCTGATTAATTATCAAGCCTTGGTAGGGAGAGTTTGTCCCGCCTTTTTGAAATAGAATCTTCAATGATTCCCAAGGTACCTATCAAGAGCTTCAGTAGTAGGTTACCAGAGGTTTACGTAACTCTTTCAACTAAAACGATGCCCCTATCACAAAGACGTCACTTCTAAGGCGACATATCGCAGCTCAGCGTGACAAGTGACAATGTGTATCAAACCCATGCATGGAAACATCTTTGCAATTTTCAGAAGTATGAAGTTCTGTTATTACTTGCATATGTCAAAAAGGAATGACACCAAGGACTTACAGTTCCAAACGTGGTGCTAACGTCCATATTTCATGTCTCCTTCTATATCCCTGACTGAATTGAAGTCATTTAGCTGCAAAAAATGGATTGATTGTGTGATTGAGGGCAGTGCGAAAAAAAGGTTGCAACATTTCATGATATTGGTGACGTAACCTATTGAAATCACCATGAAGTCACCATTTGGCGAATAAGTAGTGAACTGTATATATCCGCTTCTTTCCAATTGGATAAATGATGCCATCTTATGAAAACTCTAAAGATTCATATAATCCTGAATTTTTTCCGGTCATCAATAGAAGGTTGTTTTGGTCCCTTGCAATCGATACTAAGTTGCTAACTGGGGGCTTGAAGTAGAAATGATTTGCTTCTTTATGCCAAGATAAGGAGACCGATAGAAAAAAATAATGATACTTTCTAAGCGTTACATCGCCAATTGAACCAACCAATTCGTCTTGATGTTATATGATTAATATTTTTCGGAAGGAAGGAAAAATTCTGGTTGCAAAAAACAGTGAGCCAATCATTTCGGTAGGAATCTCCGAAAGATAGAAAATCCAAGAGGAGAGAGGAAAGCAATCGATTGCTATATAGATTAGCAATATTGGCCAGCAAGTTTCTTTGTAGGGTTGCGTTATATTGCTATTTCTTAGAACAAACTGATTGTTTGAAGTAAAACGGGGGAGGAGCTCAATCAATTAGCCACAATAACCGTTAGCTGACAAATACAAATATTGACAGGACACAACTAATAGCAAGGAAGAAACACTAAGGGTAGTTAGGCACTGTTTTTCCTGAAGAGTCATACGAGTAGAACGATCCGAATAGTTTCATTATCCAGTCCAAAGCTATAATAAGGAAGCTCGATTCGTGGTTAGCACGTTCCGCAGAATATTTTTTAATGGGTCGATTTTGACACACACAAGAAATTTTGATAATGACGGAAAAAAAAAGGTCCAAATCCTTAATTCCCCATTCCTACCCACACACCGTTTGATAGTGTCAATCATCAGACGTCAATCTGTTACAAACTTTGGTAAAAAAAAATACACACCCTGCCCAGGGGCTTATATATATATAAGAAAAAAATAGAGAACTAAGAGCGAAACAAAAAATGCTGTCTCCGATGGAAAACAGTGTATCAGCGTCATCTAGTGATACCACCACCAGTTCAATCGATACATCTAGTCATATAACCAAAGAAATGCCAGCCCATCGACTTATAATCTTACGTCATGGGGAATCACAATGGAATAAAGAGAATAAATTTTGTGGATGGATAGATATTCCATTAAGTATAAAAGGACAACAAGAAGCTCAATATGCCGCCGAATTAATTCATTCCCATAATTTAGATCCTGATATTATATATACTTCGAAATTAACTCGAAGTATTGAGACTGGATTATTGATTTTACAAAAAATGAATAAGATTTGGATTGATCATATTAAGACATGGAGATTGAATGAACGTCATTATGGGAAATATCAAGGGAGAGATAAACATGATGTATATTTGGAATTAGGATCAAATAAAGAAAGGTTTCAATATATTAGAAGGAATTATCATGGAATACCTCCGTTAATCCCACTGGGGGAAGATATGAGTATTGATGATAGATATAATGATGTAGTGAATCGAGATGTATTACCAAGAGGAGAATCATTAGAGATGGTTATGAAGAGATTAATTCCATTTTTCCAATATGAAATATTAGATCAACAAATGATTCAATTAAATAAAACGGTATTAATTGTGACTCATGGATCTATTGTTAGAAGTTTGATTAAATATTTGAATAATGTGAATGATGATGATATTAGTAAGATTAATGTTCCAACTGGGATTCCATTAGTATTTGAATTAAATGATAAAGGTGAATTAATTAAATTTTATTATTTAGATAAAGAAAAAGCAAAACAAGGAATTGAAAAAGTTAAGAATGAAGGTTTAATGAAAGTTTGAAATGGCCATATGTAGTAGAGTAGTAATAGTAATAGTAGAAGTGTTTATGTGTATTTTGGTTCTTTGGATTGTTATCTAACATATATTTATCTTTATTCCAAACTATTCTATATTTGTTTTTGTCTAGAACAAAGAAAAAACAAGAGAGAACATAAGGTGGGGGGAGATAAGAAAGTGTAATAGAAAACTCGCAACAATTAGTTACACATTTTCTCGTTTTGGAAATCGTGAAACAATCAAATGTTTGATACGGAGTAAATTGTACCAAGAGGAGAAAGAGCGTATTGAATGAAAATTTGTGATACATTTGATACAAGAGTATCATCAACACTTTGGTTGAATGACTATATTTAGAAATACCCAACAAAGTGAATGTGATATTTCACTTGAACAGTTTGGGGTTATGATATTGTGTCAGTCTCTCGTATATTCATACTAATTCCTCGCAGTCTAATAGAATTGTAACGGTTGATGCAATCTAGGCTGTGTTGTCAATTAGTGTGTGATCAGTAAATAGCAACGAAAAGAAATGAGTCAATCCATTTCGGAGATAAAATATTATTCCGCTTCGGTCGTCCGAGAGATTTATTTTTGTACATTTACATTTTTTTTGCCACCCAAATCTTAAAATTTACATATTATAAAATTTAGCGGGTAAAAAAGGGTTAATAAACTTCCGTTCTTGAAATTAAGAGTTGTATTGTTACATGACAATTAGAGTTCTAGACAACTCAGCCGAATATCACACAAAATAACAAAATGAATGACCTCATCTCAATAACTTTAATGAGAGATGTAATAACTTCTTCCTGCCTTAGCCTTCACCCATCCCGAGATTATTTACACTGGGAAATTAACTTAATCAGTCAATAATAAAAATAAAACTTTAACTTTAAAATAATAAAAAAGTAAATAAAATTGTTGAGCAATTTTGAAACTGCGGATGATGATTGCTTGTAAGTAATAGTGTAAGTTATTTACCACAGTAAATTGAATTAACTGTATACTACTATCAGAGAGACCTCATTGCTGTAAGATAATCTAAGATATTTAAGGAATTCTGTAAATAAACAATAATAAACTGTGACTAATTTCTTGTGGGCTGTTCAGGTATTAGACATAACTGTAAATTTATTACGATATGCTTTTAAATCTTATGTGACAGATTAAGAAATATAGAACCATAAAGAATAAAACAGAACAATGGAGACAATTATATGCAGTACTTATACTCACTCCTCATATTTTTACATATTTAAGATCTTTAGTATCCGCTCCTCTCCTCTCCCCCCTCCCTATTACACACTTCTTTTTTTGACAGCATTTTTTTTTGGCAACACCAATTTCCTTTCTTTACTTTCTTTCTTTCTTTACCCAAGATGACTCATGACAATTGATGATAATCCAATCTTTCTTTATCTAGTTTTCCTGAGACACCCACACGACCCGATGACTTCATTAGCAATTTTACCTCATTTAAAGAGATCAATCACGGATATTATGGATGAGGAATTATACCATGCACCCCCATCTCCAATACAATTTAGTAATGCAACAACCAATACCAATACACTTTCAATTACTAATCAACAACAACAGCAGTATCAACTAGCTCCACAACAACACAATATTAATACTACCATGAATTACACAGCATCTAAGAATTCAGTTAATTCATCACCAACTTTAACTCATCAAAATTCATTTAATATTAGTAATACCAATTTAGGTAATTTTCTTAATATTCCAGATTCATTCTTAGATCAAATTAAACAACAAAATGCATATTCATGGGAGAATACCAATCCTATTTCTCAACAACAGCAACATCAATTTGCATTTCCCTCGGTTCAACAACCTACTCCACACCCTGCATCTCAACAACAACAACAGAATCAACAACAACAGCCACAGCCACAGTTTGTTCAACAACCATATCCATTCACTGACTATGCAAACCCTAACTCATTCATTCGTCCTCAATCAATAAATCGTCAAATGTCCCCACCTCCAATCCCATTACCTCAAGCATTCCCTCCAAGAACTAGAAGAAGAAGAATCACCACTATTGATGATGCTCAAGAATCTTCAACTTCAAATAAGAAAAAGTATGATCAAGAATATTTATTATATAATCCAGATATATCACCTGCTCATATAATTAGTCAAACTGATTTGGAATCTTCATTTATTGTACAACCAAAATATGATAATACTACTATGGCTAATGATATCATCCCTGGTTATGAAAATGATTATTTATTTATGGATGATGATGAAGAAGTTGAAGATATAGAGGAAGATATTGAAGAAGATTTATCTGATGAAGAAGACGATGATGATAATTATTTCCATGTTGACGAAGAATTTGATGAATTTATGATGAATGGACCTTGGGCAAGTGGATATACTGTTGATCCCGGCTATTCTATTGTTAAACAAGAATTTGAACAACAGATGAGAAATGAAACTCAAGTATTCATTCCACCGGTTGAACATCAATTACAAGAGGAAGAAGTTCATGATCTTGAATTTGATGATGATGAAATGATGATTGATGAACAGAATGAACAAGTACATGTCAAACAAGAACAACAACAATCACAACAAATACCGGAACAACAACAACAACAACAACAACAAGAACATCCAGAAGAGCAACAGCCAGTACTACCTGAACAATTTCAGGAAATGAATACCCCACCTACATCATCATCGAAAAAATCATCTTCTCATCATCATAGTAAATCTGCAGCCGAAATATCCGCAACCAATCCCCACCATAAATGTGATTTAATCAATCCAAGTACGGGATTAATATGTAACAAACAATTTTCTCGACCTTATGATTTAATCAGACATCAAGAAACTATTCATGCAACTAAGAAGAAAATCTTCCGGTGTGTAATTTGTGAAGGTCGAAGATTTGGTGGACCAGGAAATGGGAAATCCAAGACTTTTTCCCGAGTTGATGCCTTGTCTAGACATGTGAAGGTGAAGCATAATTTGGTTGGTAAGGAAGCGTTGGATTTGGTTAATGAGGCAAAAGAGAATGTTGAATATGTTATGGTTTAAAGGTGATGGTTTTTTATATATAATTATTTCATGAATGATGATGAAGAAGCAACAAGGGTTGTTTTATACATAGGTTTAATGATTTCGGTTTTTTTATATTATTATTAATTATTATATATTTATTATTACTTATTAATTATTATGAATATATCATGTATATACAAATTTATAAAGGTTTTCATTCTATAAAAATGGTTTGATTTCGTTCTCTCGTTTATCGTTCTAATTATTAAATTTTTCTATTCTGATGATGATGCTGTTGATATACTTGGCAGTAATTCTTGTAATTCTAATAAATCATTAACTATTTCATCTACCAGTTTATCCAAAGGATGCTGTGGTAATTGTTTTGTGTTTTCAATTGGATTAAATCTTAATTGTAAATATTGTACTGCGATATAAATATCCAAACTCATTTGGAACAAACCAGCAATTATGAATATAGCAGAAATATTATTAGTTCCAAATAATAAATAACTAATCTTAATACAATCACCACCTAACCAACTTAACAATAATATAATCTTAAAATTCTCTACTGATTGTAATCGATTCAATAATAAAATCTGAGGTAATGGTAATAAACTCTCTATAAATAATCCCAAGGTTCCAATTATACTTCCATACATTTCCACCCTATAAAACAACCCCGTCAAAATCCCAAATCCCCCAGCAAAAACAATCAAAAATCTCCAATACATTTCTTCTAATTTCCACTGCCAAAATTGTCCCGGTCTTAAATAATAAACATCAAATAATCTCAATATCGAAATAAACCCCGCCACAACATAACTCACAATCATCTTCCCATAATCCGCCACCACCCCCAGAATCGACCCTCTCCAATCCCCAGTCCAATATCCTTCATGTTGCATCGCATTCGCACTCGACATCCGTCTCGGAATCCTTGATTGTAATTCATGCAGAAAATGCGGCATTGGTGTTAGGAATTCCGGATCATAATTCGAATATCGATATTTTAAACTGATTTTCAACAAGACAATCTGGATTAAGATCATCATTATACTCTGTCTCAATAATGTAACTTCGAACGGACTGCAGATATAATAATATATTCGTAATATTGATGCCATAAACATCGTGCCACAAATATCGATGGAAAATCCTTGGGAGGTTCGACGACGATAGATTGAATAACAGGTGGATCCATATGAGAAAACGGGGGTGAATGTCATGAAGAGGTTGGCACATTTTTGCAAGTCGGGGAGATAGTCTAGATATGGGAGATAATCTTCTGGTATGAATTGTGACATTTTTTTGTTGTTAGATCTGAGTTTTGTTTTGGTTATATGATCATATGGCGATATGGTTCGCTTAGTGGTTGTGTTATTGTTGGTAAAATACTGTGTGTGGGTTGATAGATGTAAGTCGTGTGACTTGTTGAAAGTGTATCTCTCTTTGTGTGTGTATGAATAAGTGTAAAGTTAAACGATCGTTGTAAAATTCGAAGACGGCGAAGGAGAAGAGAAGAATAGAAAACAAAAACTTTGGAACGGGATCATCTTTTTTTTCCCGGGTATTTTTTTTAAACGGGTCGTTTCGGAAATATTTCTACGTCAAAAAAAGCCTCTACCACGGCTTTAATGGAAACTCATCCCACTTCCATAGAAGCAAAAAAAAAAGCAACATGATCGTGGCTTTTGTCAATTGTTTTTTTAGAAATTAAGCTTTTTTAGATCTGACAGCCGAGTAATTGCCGTCTATCAGTGAAGAGATGGCAACGCTACATCCATTGGGACCCTTGGGCATACCGATAATATATGTGACGAGATTGAAATGTAAGAGGAAGACTCAGGGAATTCATTTCAGCAAGTACGAGGATGCCTCGATGTAGACTAATGAAAGAGAGTGTGGGTAACACTTTCCTCACCAACATTCCACACCAAAACACGAGGTAGCGTCGTTAACGAGAGATTATAGACTTCGCCGATAGTTAGTGCGTATGTAGTATGGCATTGCGGTGATTTCTGAAAAATGCCCTGGTCCGTTCGCTACCTTCCTCGTTTCCTAAACTTTAGGACTTGAGGATAAATACCTGTGATTTCCCCCATTTAGAGGTTTTGAGATTTGGTTGGAGAACAACTATCTATCTTTGTAGGACACATACTACATCTGAACTTTGGATCATTCTGGAATTCCAATATACATTTGCTAGGTCGATTTATTAAACGCGGTCTAGGGCTTTCACTGTCAAAACCCTTAATTCTAGTAAAAAAAAGCTCATTCTTTCAGTTGGTATCTTCTAATAAAGTCACTTACTACGGATTTCATCAATATGAGAAGAAAACAACAAACTACCCCCCGCCCCCTCTCGACTCACCAGCTCCACAAACTGAGGAGAAAAATACACCAAGAAATTGTTCTTTTCGTTTTCTTGAGTGTCGAAAGTAACTTTCCTAGAAGCTACCAATTGTAAGAATGAGAGTGTTTGTACTAGAATTAAGTGGTCTTTACTGTGGAAGCGCTAGACCGTCTGTGGTTGATCGACCGAGCGAATGTATATTGCAATTCCAGAATGAACTTAAGTAAGCTATAAAGATAGATAGTCGTTCTCCAAGGTTTAGGGTTTGGAGGTTTGCCCCCTTAAGCGGGCATAAATAGGAGCTTAGGGTAGTTTAAGGAACGTACCGGACGCGATCAGGCAATTGCCAGAAACTACCACAATGTAACAGGCTGCACACAGGAACCTCGTCCAGAGCTCCGCCATACCACATATTTAGTCACGAGCGACTGGAGAAAACCTATCATTTCCGTGATTACTACTATTAGGAAGGAGCGCACAACCACTCCTTACACTTTCTTACACATTGACATTGTGTTTGATGTGATTTGAAAGAGAGGAAGAAAAGAGTGGAATGAATCAACGAAACTTGAGAGAGAGTATACAGAAAATAGCCAAGATGGAATGATCTCACAGGTCTTACAAGCTCAAAGTGATATCAAGTAAATGCATTTTAGGTAGAAATATAAGAACTAATCAAAGCAGCACAACAATATAGCGAGTGGAAAAGCAACACTACCATCAAGATCTTACAACCGGAACAACCTCTCTACCAAATCTAAACCTAAACCCACGAAGCATTTTCTTTCTCAGATCTTCCTCCAATGAAATAGCAGCCGCTCGAGTTATTTCATCAGATACTCTTTCTCGTTGTTCCATTCTATCAATTAACCATAAATCTCGAATAAATTCCGGATCATGATAATTTTCTATTAATTGTGGTTTAAATTTGAAAAATTGGGAATCTTCGAAATAAATAATACTCCAAAGATCAATATTCTTGGGGATGATATTTAATTGAGATAGTTTTAATAATGCAATATTTAATTTTTGTGAGTTGGATACTAATCTAGCGTTTATTCGAAGGATTGGGATATTATATCTTGGATCAAATGAAATTAAATCACTTCGTTTATGTAATTTTTCAAGATATGATGGACTTTCAATATCTGAATCGTATGGTGGTGGTGGTGTTGTTGTTGGTTGTGGTGATTGCAGCAGATGAAGTTCATAACCAGGTATTTCATTATCAAAAGAATTATTATTTTCTTCTGTAGTATATTGGGTTGAAGATGCAAAGTCTTGGTTTTGCAGCCAATCATGAATTCCTTGATCAGCTAATAACATAGCACGGATTGATTCTATGGGGATAGCATTAAGNATGAATTCCTTGATCAGCTAATAACATAGCACGGATTGATTCTATGGGGATAGCATTAAGCAATGAGAATGGAGAAGTAGGATTAGTATTGGTTATCCTATTTGCATAACCCGCTAACAAATTCCTTTGATGTTCCGTAAATTCCTGAACTCCATTAATAAAATTATTTTCATGTGAATTGTAATTCATTTGCGACCGATTTGGAATTTGAAATGGCATTTCGCGCGGAGTAGCTGAATATGTCGTATTTGTCATATCTGGATGTCTCGGCATACTCCTGATACCAGGTGGATCTCCCCCTTGAATCCGCATTAGATTATTTGAATTTGATTGGAAATAAAATTCATCCAAATCCTCTTCCATATGTAAGCTCTGACAAAGCTCAGAACATCTTCTATTGGATTGAACCGACCTAGGGGTTTCATCCACAGCCAATTGATAACCCCTTGGGTCACATAGTTGATTATTGACTCCTTGCCTTTGACGCTGGGTACATTGATAAGTGTAGTTTGATGTATTAGAATTGGCAGCAACAACCCCCCCTATATTTGATTGCTGCTGTATATTCTGGTCATATGGTAATTGAAACCTTACACTTCTTGTCATGCTATCCAATGAATTCTGGTTTGAAGGCGATCTAGACATTGAAGTTGATGAGCCTTCTATTGGGAATGAGTTTGAAGATTGGCTTGACGGACCATTAATTGTGTCTTGACGGAGGGACATATTTTTGCAACTGTGTTTGGAAAAAATCCCTAAATTGTTGCTCAAAAAAAGTAGAGCAGTAATAATACACTTGATTAGCTAACTAAAAGGTTTAAACTTCTCTTAGATTTCATATACTGTTTATAAATACCAATGGTATGAACACTTTATAGAGATAAATAGTGATATTTCAAATTAGAAATCAAATTTGGGTAAAAATTGCTGAAATTTATAAAATTTACGATTTTCCAATTTTATTTTTTTGTATTTTTAATTGAAGTATAATTAAGAGAGTCATCAAATGATAAATGAAATTTAATTCATTTTTGATCTAAATAAGTTTCACTATTCCTCCTCCCGCTTTTTGTACAAGAGTTCTAACGAAATCTTTTTAAAATTGGGGTTAATTTAAAACAAGGAGAGAATCATTGATTACTAAGTCAAAATTAATACCTCCAGAACCAAATCCAAAAACCCCGGACCGTTGAAGTTTATTTCCGAAGCATATATTTGCATATGTACAGTATGTACGATGACGATCACAGCAAACAAAACAACAAAACAATTCAATATGGAAGGATTAATGTGTAGACGGATAGTTTTGACAAAAATCCGATAATTAGTTTCTATGCTGGATTTAGAGTTTTGGCAAATTAATGAAAGGTTGCGTATTTGCAGTCTAAAATCTCACCTCCCTCGTTGTTCAGGTACCAGTTCAGCAAATTACAAAAGTATCACTAATGTAGCTTTGAATTTGAAGATACTTTGCTTTAATGGTCTGAATAACAATCAATCCGCCTTGAATCGTCAGAATTGGTAGGACATTCTGACCAAACTGGGGTACCAGAAACTAAAACAAATTGACTGCAAAAAAATAGGCAACACCCTACATTATTAATGTCACAAACACGAGCCACTAAAACACGACGACAGTTCAAAGGAACAGATAAATGGTTCAGAGTCAGTAGATACCCCGCCGCAATTGAAGCAATGCCGTCACTATTTGGGATTGGATTTCGGATTTTGAAGTTAGGACCGACGGTCGGCTTAAGATATAAGGGATGCAACCGACGGGCGGAAGACTCATTAAATTTGGATTTGACATGTTATCCCCTTGGAGAATGAATGAGCATTGAACCCTCTAAGGGACTGAATGGCTGCAATGAAATCAACAATCTGTTTGAATATTCAAGGATATTATTCACAAAGAAGCTTCAATATTTTAATGATTTAGTTGCGAAAAAATAACGAATATCGAAAAACTAAAATAAAACGTTTGATGGCCAACGTTTCTTACGTAAAGAAAATTCAGTCTTAGCTGTATGGTCAATTTAGTTTGATTTCACTAACAGTTCAGAAATCAATGTGTTCATATAATTGCATCAATTGTCCATGAATGATTTGAGAATCAGTTATTTTTGAGGGGGGGATTAGAGTTTAAAGTTAAATCCCCCTCACTGTCATCTTCAGGGGAGAAAAGTTGCGACGATATCATCTTAACAAGACAGACATCAAGATAGAAGAAAAACCCATTACTCTTAGTTCTAAGTATATTATCAATTGGTTGATAGTATTCTTTCCTTTCAAAATACTATTTCATAATTATATTCATTCTTTTTCTTATATCATTTATCTTGAATAAACTATAAAATACTATAAAAATTAAACCTCTGAATTAAAACAAAGATCAACAATTGAAATAAGCAGTAACAAACAGATGCATATCCAATCAATATCCAATCAATTGAATTTACAAGAATCATCGTAGACCACCATCAATTGAAAAACCTTCATCTTCCAGTATAAAATCATGCTAAACAAGGGGAGTAGTGGGATTGTGAAACAAATAAATATATAACTCTTTTTCAAGAACAAACTTATTCCTTGTGAGAAGATTGTTCAAGTTCTTTTTCTAATTTTTCAATAGTTTCCTTTTGTTGTTCTAATTTCTTCTTTAATTCTTTTAATTGTTCAGCTTCATGTTTTCTAATATATAAATTTTCAACAGCTCTTTCCTTTTCAGCAAAAGCATCACTACCTTGAGGAATGGCACCTTCAGTCATAGCAATTCTAGAAATGGAGAAGTTTCTAATGAATGAGGTTCTGGTAATTGAACGTTTAGTAATTTGAGATAACATGTTTTAAGTATACAATTGAGTTGATGTTGAAAGTGAAAGAGAGACAGAAAGAGAGAATGAACAAATTAAAAGGTGATTTTTCTAAGCTGGGGTCACAGTTTGTTCTTTGAGGTTTTTTTTTCTGGGTAAAAATCTCAACGCCCTTCTTTTTTTTTGCTGTTCACTATTTAAATGACTTTGTATGGGAAAGAGTATACTTTACTGCATATAAGAATCAAATTAACCATTCCTATTGGCTTATTGATTATTCCACGTGACATCTCGGTAAAGTTAATTATTATTGTCTTTATAAATACACTAATTTGTTCCATCCCCCAGTTTTGTAACCAATTCTCACTTCTTCTTCTTCCTAGTAAGTTCCATTATATAGGTTTATTTCCTTGCATATTAATTGGGTTATGACACTAAGTATGTACATCAAGCAGAGACGCCCAGGGCTATCTCAATTGTTTGCTAGCTTGGTAAAGTGTAATTGATACCAGCAAATTGAATTTTTGACTCTTAATCTGTTGAATAGATTATTTCGCAATTATTACTGCTATCCATTAAACTAAAAATTGTTAAATAAGATACAGATTCAGCCGATTGAGAGTTTAAGATTCCGGGCTGTTGTATGAATTGCACTAGATTACCTAACAAACATTGCACATTGTTGCGAACTAAACATAGGTTACATGGTAGCGGATTTGGGTGTAGATATTTAAGTAGCTCTATGATGCTGTAAGATTCCAACGAGACAAAAAGTTACATATCTACTTCGTTATGCCCAATTGAAGATTGTTCTTCAATCTACTGAACACCAATTTCTCTTTTGACAGCATAGCATGAGGAATAAACCCAACCCCAAACAAGGAGAATTACTTGTGTAAACCCCATTTTATTGGATAATTCCTCTAATACAAAGAGAACCACAACCTTGGTTTTCCCAATCGAGTAAAGATTAAATAATTATTCATTTATTACAATTAATTATATACAGGCAATATTAAAATCAAAAAACTGTCTACAAGATTCTTGTTGGCATGTGTACATCACTTCTATGAGTAGTTGGTAATAATCCACAAGCTCTACTAGTCTTTATAGCTTTAGCCAATAAATATTGATTCTTTGAACTACAACCAGTCATTTCTCTTGGTAAAATTTGACCAGTTGATGAAATAAATTTAGATAAAATTTCTGGCATTAAATAAAGATGAGTTGGATTAATACCCGAAGCTTTAAATGGATCAACTCTTTGCCTTTCATATTTATCTTTTGTTTCTCTTTTTATTTTACTTAAACTAAAATAATTTGGATTATAGGTTTCACTAACCTTAAAATGACGTTCAAATAGTCTGTTAATAGCAAGTGGTGGGATATCTTGTTGAGATGATCTTTTAACATCTTTGAAAATATCTGATTGAATCATATTTGAAAACCCAGGGGCATCTGAATTGGCATACATTTCTTTCCATGATTTCTGAGTTGATTGTGGTATTTTCGGAGTTGAAGATTCAGAAGTAGCAGCAGCATCAACTGGAGCGCTTTCTGGAGTATTTTCAGTTGGTTCACCTTGAACAGTTTGTTGGAATATACGTGCAGTAGTTCTGAAAGAACGTATAGCAGTTCTAGAGCATCTAAGGGATAACATTGTCACTGATTATATTGCTTCCAACTGAATACTTAATGAATTGACTGTTTTGTTGAAATGATAAATTTTTTTTTTCACTCGCAATTGAAAAACTTAGTAATAGAATGGAAAGTTAAGTATGAAAGTTTGAAAAACCCATGCCAACAACCAAATAATATGTTAGTTGAGTCCTGGATATCCAGATGTATTCCATAACAGATAGTCCTCGATACCAAATAGAATTCGCAACATCTGTAACGTTTTGTAGATGAATTTTCACTGGAAGGGTTACCCGCCAACGATTTCATCAAATATAAGTGGATAAATGTGAGAAGATCCGATCAATTATAAGCACCATTCCCAATTAGGAAATAATATCACATGACTTGATTTTTATCTCTAAAAATTTTCTTTTTTTTTTCTTTTTTTTTTGAATTGTTGAGATTTTAGTACTTTCCACCACCACCACATTCAATTAACCATTACTACACCTTTACTTATTAAGACTTATAATATATAGAGAAAGAGTTTAACAGAAAGAGAAGTTATATGAAAATCTCATCATATGTATAATTATTAATTGGAAACTTATACACTACCCCTTTTTTACTCCCCATCTATAACAATCTACGTCATTAACCAGCAATTCCCAGTATTGATCCTTTTTTTGCATTTTACCTTCCAACCAATCATCACTTATTAATAACTTTTAGAAATATACAAGAAAAATGGGAGAACGAGGACCTGACCAATGGTTAGAACAAATTAAGAAATGTGTAGCGTTATCAGAATCAGATATGAAACAACTATGTGAATTAGTTAAAGAATTATTAATGGAAGAATCCAATATTCAACCAGTTCAATCACCAGTTACAGTATGTGGAGATATTCATGGTCAATTCCATGACTTATTAGAATTATTCCGAATCTCAGGAGGATTACCTAATGAAGATAACAATACTAATTATATTTTCCTTGGTGATTATGTTGATCGTGGATATTTTTCATTAGAAACTTTTACATTATTAATGGTATTAAAAGTAAAATATCCTCATAGGATAACTTTAGTTAGAGGAAATCATGAATCAAGACAAATCACTCAAGTATATGGGTTTTATGAAGAATGCTTAACAAAATATGGTTCTACAACTGTATGGAAATATTGTTGTCAAGTATTTGATTTCTTAACATTAGCTGCCATTATTGATGGGAAAATCCTTTGTGTTCATGGAGGATTATCACCCGAAATTAGAATGTTGGATCAAATTAGAGTCCTTTCTCGTGCTCAAGAAGTTCCTCATGAAGGTGGGTTTTGTGATTTAGTTTGGTCAGATCCTGATAATGTCGATACTTGGGCCGTATCACCAAGAGGTGCGGGTTGGTTATTTGGTTCAAAAGTAAGTCGAGAATTTAATCATATTAATAATTTAAGTTTGATTGCTAGAGCTCATCAATTGGTAATGGAAGGATTTAGATTCCATTTTAAAGAAAAAGATGTGGTGACGGTTTGGTCAGCTCCAAATTATTGTTATAGATGTGGGAATGTTGCAAGTGTCATGCAAGTTGATGATTATTTAGAACCGAATTTTAAGATCTTTAGTGCTGTTCAAGAAGGTGGCGATTTGGCAGTAAAGAACAATGGAGCTAAACTGCTGAGAAGTGATTACTTTTTGTAATCCCTTGCTTGAACAGCTTCTACATTTATTTATGAATTTATGACGAAATTAGGTTTCACGTTTATTTTGCATGATTGAAAATTGTTACATAGTCTTCTTCTTCCCTACTCATCCACCTACTACTACTACTTCCCGTTGATACAGGCATTTCTTGACAATCATATCATTCCACCCCTTCCCCCAGTTCAATTTATAAAAGAATTTGGTTTTATTAATCTTAATTTTGTCTTTATGAACTTCATGTTTTGTATAATATATATATATATTAATCTAATGTACACATTCTATATAGTATTTAATTTAATTCTTACCCTTTCTTCTCTTTCTCTTTATACCAATAAGTCTCTTAGTATCTTCAGACATACCAGATTTATTCTTATTAGATTCTGCACCTTGGTTGTCAGTCTTGGCAGCACCACCTTTATTCATATTTCCCTTCTTTGCCGACCCCTTTCTAAGCATCTTTCTCTTCTTTCCTCCTTTCCCATTCTCTTCCTCTCCATCTTGATCTCTCTTTCTCTTATATCCACCTTCTCCTCCTTCCCTAGCATTCCCACTTCTAGCAATCATAACCCTTTCCTTTCTTCTCTTGACAACTTGAGCATTCTCAACCGCAAATTCAACAATTAATTTCCTTTTATTCAATCCACCTTCAGTAGCTTTGGCAATCTTCTTTTCTTCATCGGTTAATCCTTCTAATATCTCATCAGGGGTGACTTCATGGGCATTCAACCATCTTAATCCCATAAGTGCAGCTTTATGATCACGAAATTCTATAAACCCATAACCTCTACTACGACCAGTTTCTCCAGAACCTTTGATTTCCATGATGACTTTAGCTTGACGGACCACACCTTTATGTTTATTGGATTTTTTGGCTGCTGATTCTTCAGAGGTGGCGTTGGCGGCGGGGGTGGATGAGGTGTCATTTTCTTCATGTTTGAGTTTGAGAGAACGGGAGACTTCTTCTTTTGATAATGGTTGACGTTTTTGTTCTTTGACTTCAGTAGCAAATTGAACGACTGCTTTTCTACCTAATGCTTTCAATGCCTTGGCGTTCATTGCTCTTGGTAAATTTCTAATGGCTAAACGAGTTAATGAAAGATGTAAGGTTGGATTCTTGTTTAATTGTTGAACTCTTAATTTATATGATTTTTCACGTAATTCTAAATCAGTTTTTGAAATAAATTGAGCTAATTTTGAATTGGCAGTAATACGACCTTCATTTAATAAAAATAAATTACGTTTATCTTTTTCTCCAGGTGCTTTACCTAATACTTCTTTACGTTTTTCTGAATTTCTTTCAGCTAATCGATTGGCAGAACTACGATCAACGGCAGAAGTAATTGATAAAATACGTCCTTGATATACGTATTCTGGAGAAACATCATCAGGAATAAGCATGGACGTTGAAGCTTGAGATGGGGCATTTTCGATACATTGAAGGAATGCATCTTCGGATTTAAATGCTACAAAACCTGATCCTTTGGCTATACCGGTTTCTTTATCGATAACGGGAAGGGCATATTTGACCGGACCGAATTTTTCGGTGAAATGTTCAGTGAGGGATTCTGAATCGGCATCATATGGGAGATTTCTAATAAAGATGGAATAAGCTTCTTGTCTATTTGATTTCTTTCTGGGTTGTTCTTCTTCTTCATCTTCTTCATCTTCGTCGTCTTCTTCTGGTTCGTCATCGGAGTTTATTTGATTGAGATTGTCGAAATCTTCTTCTGATTTTTTATCTTCATCAGATTGCTCTTCTTCGTCTTCTTCTTTTTCTTCATCTGCGTCTTCTTCTTCTTCTTCTTCTTCTTCTTCTTCCTCTTCTTCTTCTGGTTCATCTTCCTTCACTTTTTCCCATTTAGATTTCTCAATCGCTAAATCAACGGCAACTTCTCTTCCATCAATTTTCAATCCAACAGATTCTTTAACAGCTCTTTCAGCAGCAGCTTGTTTCTTCATAGTAACAAAGGCAAATCCACACATTTGTCCTCCCTTTTTCTTAGGAATATATGCATCAAAGACAGCACCATATTTACTAAAGATTTTCTTTAATCCATCCGGTTTTTTACATGACCAAGGTAAATTACGAATAATCAATCTTGCTCTTCTCTTTTCAACAGGATCTACCAGTTTTTTATCATGAGCATGTGATTCACCATCATCAGTAGTAGTAGTATTAAGTTTACGATCTCTTCTTTTGGCAATATCTATTCTTAAGAATCTATTCATGAATTTATTTTTACGTGCTTCAACTAAGGCAGTAACTGTATCATCTTCCATTGTAAATGAAACGAATCCAAATCCTCTTGATTGATGAGTTGTCATGTCGGTGACGATGACTGCATGTTTGACAGGAACAAATTGGGAGAAGAATTCTGATAGTTGATCTGATGTTGCTTCAAATGGGATTGATCTTACGAATAATGTTTTTCTATCAAGACCATCATCTTCTGTGGTAGCACTAGCAGTAGGAGTAGCAGAAGCTGCGGCATCAGTAGCAGGTACTACTTCTTCTATATGTTCTTCTTGTTTTATATTATCTGACATATCTTAGTTAATATATAATATGTTACTTAGATATCCTTCGTCTAAAGAATGTCTAAAGTAATAAGTAATTGATAGTTCAACTGATTGATTGATTAAAAAAAAAGATTTTGCAGAAAGTGAAGATCATCGCAGTAAGAAACAGAAGAAGCTAAAAAATAATTATTGTTAATTAGTAGAAATTAAATTGATCAATTATACACGACTTAAAAATCAAAACAACAAAAACCACAATTTCTTTCTTTCTTTCTTTCTTCTTGTTATAGAAGAGTCAACAGAAATCCAATAGAAAGGAAGAAACAAAGCAAANTTCTTCTTGTTATAGAAGAGTCAACAGAAATCCAATAGAAAGGAAGAAACAAAGCAAACATGATTGAACTAAGAACATCAACTACCAGCAATAGTAATGTATTACCCAATAGTCATATACCCAACTTTAAAACTAAACAATTTGTATCTATGTTAATGAAATTAACTAAACGATCATTAATTGAGTTTATATTTATTTGGTTAAAACAAGGGAATTGTCAACCTCATTATAAACCGACTGATTCCTTAACTAAAGCAGAATTCTTAAACAAAGTTAAACGAGAAGCTTTACAAATAAAGCAAACTTCAAGTCAATATACCAAGAAACAAATCATTGAAAAGATCGTTTATGATTATTGGTCAAATGGTCTTAATTTATTACAATTATCTCAAATAGATTGTCAATTATTATTAATAGATAAACCAAACAATCATGAATGGATCCATTCAACAGTTAAAGATATGAATAATCATGAAGTTCCAATTTCGTTAAATCCAGGGGATTTTTTAGATTCACTAATTAAACAATTAAGTCAAGTTTATATGACTTATATTTATATTTGTCAACATCCAAAATATCCAATTATAACAATAAGAATCCAAGTTTTCGATTTAAATACAATAAGAATAGTATCATCTCGAGCTCATCTAATATCTCATAGACCTTACTTCTTTTGTATTCCTATGAGTTCACCTCATGTAATTCACACTCCTGCTTCAAGTACTGTTCATAAAATAGTTATGGATTCGATTGAAAGATCATTACCTCAAAATGCCAATAATTTATTAAAATTACATACACCAAGACATCAGTCTCCTATGAAATCAATTCAATCAATGTTAATCTATACTGGTAATTCAAGATTTAGTAATAGTTTGGGGATTTGGTCTAAGTATGCCGATAATCGAGTAGATATGTTACCTTTAGATGCCATAGAGAATCATCCTGCTATTAAAGATGATTCAGATGAAGATGAACCCGTGGAAACCAATCTCGAAGAATCACCAGAACTTAAACGATTGAAAAAAATCGCAAATATAAGATTTAAAGGTTCTCCAACCGGTAGAATAAAATCAAGAAATGTATATCAAGACTTAAGAATAAAACAACACCATGAACAGCATGGAACCTCTCCTCCTCCGCAGGTTCAAGAAATTACATATGAATCATTAGCTCCTGTCCAAAATGTAGAATTTATCGTTAGGGAAACTACAAAACCAACAACAACAAGTATTAAATTAAAACTTGTCGGGAATGATGTATTTGGAGGATTGCATGAATTATGTGTTTGGAGTGACGATAAGAATAAAATGATATTAGATCCGGAAGAAATACCACAATGGTTGACTGGTGAAGAAGGGAATGCATCTGGAGAAGTTATAGATTCAACATTTATGAGAAAGTAGAGTGTTTAATATTATATAGACTTTTGTATTAATATAATTATAATCTAAGAAAAAGAATTAGAATTCGGCTTTAAATAATGTAGTACATTTCAAATAAACTCTTACTCCATCCGTGTAATCGTCCCAGACAATCTTACAAAGAATATCCCAATTTTTCAATATATCCCCTCACAATCTCCCTCCCATCCCCATCATCATCCCCAACCAACTCCAACAAATCCCGTAACATTCCAATATCCTTAATCCTAAACCCCTCCAACCCCGCCATTTCCCAATCACGATTCTTAGCAAACAACCTCATCTTCTGTCCTGGGTCATATTTGGTACATTTCTTAATATAGTTCGATAAATGAACCGCCGGGGCACCATACCTAAACCCAGCATCGACATATGGTTCATATCCCACTGGCGGAGGACCAGCCATGGCGAATTCGTATAAGTGATCAAATTGTTTGGTGGGGGCATATGCTCCAATGACAATTTGATGGAATTTCTCTTGCGAGATTTGAAATTCTTTGGCAATTTTTTGGGCCGGTTTTAGTTGGTTGAGTTTCCCGATAAGATGGGATAAGATTGCCGTGAGAGATTTGTGGATGTAGAAATTTGTTAGATATGTCTCGGTTAGACGTTTTTGAAGGTCGAGGATTGCGAGTTGTCGATGGATTGATTTGGATTGGCGGTGTTGGGATCGTTTGGAAAGTGCTTTCGTTAGGGTTTGTTTATATGTTGAATAATATTCTTCTAATTCATGTGGTTGTGGTTCATGGTCTGGAGACAGGGACTGTGGTGGGGAGATTGATTTTAATTTTGTGACGACGAGTTCATGAGTTTTATTTTCTTGATGTAAGTACGATTCTAATAGACCAGAAGACTTATCATACTTCCCAATTGATTTCACCCACATATTACCAATGACATCTCCAGTAATCACCATACTCTCTGACCTAATCTTAATTCCCAACTCCCGTAATTCATCCACAGACGCATCATGTCCTGTCTGTTCATTCTGATTCAACACTCTGAAAAATTGTGACATGGATAAATTATCTTGTAAATATAATAATAAAATCTTACACAAGTCATAATCACCCGATTGGAAACATTTCAAAAGGGCTAATTCAGGTTCTTCGAATTTTAACAATTCCATTACTTTCTTAATCATACTCGGTTCAAGGTTGATTAGAAGTTTACATAACATATTCCTACCTTCTTCATGTGCGACGTCAGAAATCTCTCCCACAGAAATATAATTATATTGATCGCCATTCAATGAAATCAATTTCTTGCTTATAATTTTGAATAATTCGATATCGGACATGGTTAACTCTCGTTTAATTTTAGCACAACACCAATGTATATATATAATTGGTTTTAAGTTAGGGAGGTTTAATAGATCAATGATTTTTAGACCCAAAAAGTGATGATTCCGGGATATTAACATTCTGATTATTGATTCCCAACCAACATTTTCAATTTCTTTATGAGTTAAGAATAATCCGATTTCAATTGAACGAAGTTGATTCAAGACTTTGATATTATTTAGAATTGATAAATACTTTTCTGAATCAAAGTATTGTCCATCTTCATCGTCATCGCCATCATAGTATATCTTACCAAATGAGACCGCTGACAAGAGTTTCTTTTGCCATATGGGATTGAATTCATCTAATGCAACTTCCAAACATCCCTCCATTGCTTTTAATAACGTTCCATCATGTTTGAGTAAGGAAACATTGGTATCTGCCTTTGATGCATATTCAGCAAATTTATCAACACAATCAATTAAAATACTACTGGGATGATCTGAGCCGATCTGATATAAATCAATCGTAGTCTGGGGAACTCGACTTAAGAATTGCAATTTATGATCAGTAAGTATCCTCACTCCATCTATAGAAGTTTGTAATATCGGAATTGTAAATGATAAATCTTCGTCTTGCTTGGTTAATAAATTCTCAAGATCGAAATCCAGTTGAGGCTCATTCTCGTCATCATCATCAATAAGATCATAAAAGAATGAAATTGATTGTTGTCCAGGTGGACCAATCAATTTTATTTCATCTTTAAATGACAAGATAATTGCATCATTTCCACACCATTCTATTTGATAAGGAGGTCCTGACTCATTGATTGTATCATAATCCAACAATACTTGATCAAATGTATTGTTAACGACAAAGATTTTCTTCATTTGGGCATTGAATAAGGTTATGAGTTGTCCATTGGGAGAAGATGATATTGAATTGAATGGACCATCTGTGAGTTGCTGATTTATGAATTCATAGCTGGCTAAACCTATGTCAATGTTAATTGTTATTATTGTATTTTGATAGAGTATATGAAGGATTATCGAGTCTTGTTTGGTAGTTGGTTGGGATGTGAATGTATGAATATTGCTCAGATTTAATGAAGTCAATGGGATTTCATAATTAATAAATGTATCCAAATCAGTTATTATAAATTTACCAATCATTCTTGTGACTAAATATCGATGATTAATAATTTTACATTCAATTATGTTTATTGGTATTTCAATTTCATTATTCTCAAGATTAGTTATAATTGTTTGCTGATGATGATGATGATCTTGTGGTTGTTGTGATATGCTACCAACATTATCCATATGTGTTATATCTTGTAACATATCATATTGATTAAATAAACATCCCAGTAAATCATAATAATATCTAAATTTACCATTATTGAAAACAAGGATTAAACATTCATTTCTAAATAAATATGAATGAATATGTTCCACTATAGTATTATTATATACAATTGAATATAGCTTATTACCACCAATGGAATATACATCAATTAAGTTTGGATATTGTGAATGTTTACCTGATATTGCCACTAAGGTTGAATTGGGAGATAACTTAAGATTATAATTATAATATAAACTTTCTAATGACCAATTGATTGAATCATAACATGTTTGTATTGTATAATAGACATTAGACAACTTCAGCCAATTGTAACTGGGATTATGATTAGTACTATGTGGCATATCCTTTTCCCTCTTTGGTTTGAAGCTATCTAGTACTTTTACGTATAAGAAGAAAACGAAGAAGATTTTGGTTGTAAAAAAAAAAACAACTTCAAAAACCTTCTTGATTAATCTAAAGTAAAATTTCATATTTATAAAGAAGAAGAGATTTGGTTATAGTTGCAAACAAGTAACCTTATATATATATATACCACTTACATAATGATCGAATTTCTTGTTTTATTAAGTTAATAGCTAGCAAACTTTTGTTCTTTATTTGAATAAAATTCAACCGGAATTAAGTATGGGCTTCTTGTCATGCTGACCCGGAAAACAATCCCGTCAACAATAACTTTCTCCAAAGATGGGTAAATATCTAACGGGTAACTGAATTCGAGGACAGGAAAATCAGAGCCTTTTATTGATACAGCTGGCACCATGCGTGTCGCTGGCTTTCCGCTTCGAAAGGCTAACTGCCCTGGTGGCGAAAAGCTTAGTAATCTTAAATTCCTCCTCTGATTGTTGGGTACAACTCGAAACATGTCAGACATAACCATCTCTTCCAAAGAATCACTTCTCAAAGCCCCAAGGAAACCCAAAGTATCAAATTCTGAAGATCCGATCTCTAAGGCATTGAGCGATACAAATTGACTGGCCAATGGGAGAATAGTTTCCGCAAATAAATCATCACAATCGTACACCAGCAATCTTCTAATTCTTTGAATATTAAAATTTGACAAAACAACCAGCGCTATAGCTTCTTCAGTGAACTCCAAACGCAATTCATCAACATCAATCTTCTTCGTCAAACTAAAAACTGGAGGGTCAATAAGGTATATACTTCTTAATCGTTCAAACTTTGAAAGCTCCTTCTCTATCCAAAAGCTCTCAGAATTTTTTAAGAGCAAATGCTTCACTACAAACTGTTTCTCTTGCGGATATTGTTCTTCTAGAGCATTTCCAAATAGATGATATGCAGCGGCCTTTACTACTTGATGTTTCAATACCCAGTTTTGAATATCACCAAATTTAACTTTAAGGAATCTAATCGAACATCTGTGAGATAGATTAACGATAGCATCCAATGCACGTACTGTCACGTCTTCGTCATCACCAAAAAGTATGTCCTTCACGTATTCAGGCAGATAACAGGAACTTGAGATTAGATCTAACAATTTGGTATGACCAATCACAGTATACTTCATATAAAATGGACTATATAACTCTTTTGGAACATGAACTTCTTTTCGACAGTTGCGTTCATCATAGACATAGAGCGACTTTAACAACTTTTCCTTGCAAACATTCCTAAAATATCGATGAGTTAATGCAAGATGAATTGTATCCATCTGATTCACATAGCCAAGGATATCCAACAAAATGTTATCAGGAAGCAAGAATATACCTTTGTTTAAATCATTTTGATTGGTTAAACATAATTGAGACTTTAGCAGTTCATACAACTCACTGAGTTCTCCTAACTCATTAATAATTTGTAAAAGCTTGAACTTAATTCTAGACAAATCAGTTTGTTTAGGGAAAAGTTGTCCATTAGGTTCTTTCAAGACTTTCAATGGTGAATCCATTGTACAAACAATAAAGCGCTATATTTGTTTATTTTGAGTCAATAAATGAAAAGTTATGTTTGGCCAACAACCTTCAGAAACGTGCAATCAAGAAAGTCAATGAAGGCAATAATAATAAATTATATAATTATGCAAAATAAATATCAACAAAAAAGGGAATTTGCAACCACCAGAAAATGGAAATTGTCACCTTTTCATAAGAAAAAAAATATTTGCAATTTATAATCTAAATGAACTGTTCCTGTTCAATTTACCCCAGCCTGCTTTATTGTACAATACCAATTAACAAATACAGGAAAACTACTAGAACCAAAAGCATTCACAAGAGACTATACTGGGTATATAGAGAGTATTTGTTGAGAAATCATGAACTAACAGGCAAAGGACAGATGGGTGACTGATACGAAAATGAGAACATATGTATAATTGAGCAACATACCACTACAACACTACATCTTATGTGTGGTAGTTCTTACAAATCATAGCAATAGCTATACTACTGTTGGTACTAAAACAAGCATCTGTTTTCTTTAGCTAGAAACGAATATCGGGTGTTGCAAAATTTGCATGGAACTCAGCTGGTGTCAAATATTTCAGTCTTGACTTGCTAACATGAAAGAGTCTCCCATCCACAATTACCTTCTCCAAAGAAAAGTAACGATCTAAGTTGATATCACGTAATTTGAGAGCTGGAAAATTATCCATCTCAAAGATTACTGGATTTCGATTCCCACCACGTCCTCCGCTTCGAAAAGCTACCTGGTCTATTGACGAAAGGCTCAAGATTTTTAGATATCGCTTCTTTCCAGTCAGTGCCCTATCGCAAATGCCCTGGAAAACACTTTCTAAAACTATCTCTGCCAAAGGCTGGGGTATTTTTTCAAAGAATCTCACCCAATCATCCAATCTTGGAAATTGACCCCTCCTAAATTCCATGGCTAATGACTCGAGCAAGCAAAATTGGTGAACAAATGGGAGCATAGTTTGGAGGAGTGAAATCTGGCTACTTCGTATCTGGAATCTCTTGATGCACCAGACCTCAAAATTTGATAGAATATCTTCCAACTGAAAAGAATTATTGATTCGCAAACGCAATTCATTGACCCTAACCTTGTGTTCTAAAGCGAATTCCGTAAATATGGGGAACCCGTATTCTGTTACACAAATCGACACACTATTTAACATTTCAAATTTTGGAAGCTCCTTTTCTAACCAATTTTTCGTGGGCAAGGTTATCACTAAATGCCTCACCAAAAACTTGTTTTCTGGTTGGTATTTTGCTTCGGCACTATCCCCAAATAGGTGATATTCAGAAACCGATCTTTCTTGATGCTTTTGCAACCATGCTTCAGTACAGCACATCAAAATGGTTTGGAACCTGATCGAACATTTGTCTGCCCGTTTAACAATATCGTCCAAGGTTTGATAGGGCACCCCAAAGTCATCAGCAAAAAGTAGGTGCCTAATATATTGAGGCATATAGTAGGAGCTTGCAATCAAGTTAAACAATTTGGTATTGCTCACTACAGTATACTTCACATAAAAAGGTGGATACAATTTTTTTGGAACATTTATTTGGAAGTTCCAATCATGATAGACATAAATTGATCGAAATAACTTCATCTTACATGCATTTCTAAAATGTCTATGGGTCAAAACTAAATGAATGGCATCCATCTGATTCACATGTTTTAGCACAACCAATAAGACTTCATCAGGAAGCAAAAATATTCCTTTGGTCAAGTCATTCCGGGTCAAACGTAACAAAAGTTCATACTGTTCTTTAATTGATTTTTAGTTTGAAGAAGTTCTTCTCTAATGTCGACCAAATCCTCTTCCTTTTCTTGCACTTTACATTCCAGGGTTTCTGGAGCCATTTGCTCACTAAACTCCTGCAGGTTCGTCATTGATGAATTCATCACGGAAAGAACAGCAACAATAAAACGTTATCCTCAAACGCTAATGTAATTCGCCTGTAAAATGAACTGAATTTAATTCATGACGGGGAAATTGGTCTCATATTTAAGTGGATTTTCAGCCAGCAGGTGTTGCTTGGGGATTAGAATTAGTGTGGGGTGTGTCTGACAAAACCAACCTTAAATTTGGATTTCCATTTCCCCCCAAAGCTTAAATACTTCAACCACCCTTTATAATGCGATATAATGATCATACACAAACATTAACAAGGAGCTCACTATAATGGGAGAGATGGTTAAAAAGAGAGTGGTGAGCGAACTGCTTTAACCAGACTATATCAAGCCATCACAGTACAGTCAACGCGCGTCATCAACTGAAAAATCAAATTGAAAAAGATTTCACCCAATTCTTCCCAATAAAAATCTTCCAAGATTATATTAAAAGGATAATTACTAAGATAGAATAGTAAGAAATGATGAGTCAATATATAACGCTAATATCATCAGATAATTTTAAATTTGTGGTGTTAAAACAAGTAGCTCAAATATCTTCAGTATTAAGAAATACTCAAGGATTTAAAGAAGATCAACAAGGTAAGATTGAATTAGATATGGATGGTGATATATTAGAATGTATTGTAGAATATTTATATTATAATTATAAATATAAAGATAGAACTACAGAAGGAGATATACCTGAATTTAAAATACCTACACATTTAGCTTTAGAATTATTAGTTAAAGCTGATTATTTAGATATATAACACTCATTCAAATACCTATAGAGTAGGGAGTTTATAGACATCAGAATGTACAGATTTTTATAGTACAAAAAAGTAATATTCGAAATTGCTTAGGAAAGAGGTTATAGAGATCGACTTGTTTGACGATAGGGAAGTTGGCTTTTGAATGTCAAAGGTTAGCTCTGTCGTGGACTACGCTATCCTCGATCAAATGTGTCCCCACACAAAATCTTCCTCGATCTGCTCCAGTAAATACGTTGCTGTCCAAGGACCAAATTGAATCAAACAGGAAATGTAGAAGAGCTAATAATACGAGGGACTGCAAGAGTTTGTTTATATATCTAGAGCTTGATCACAAGGTATTGTTGACGTCATACCCTTTGGGTCCAAAGGAAAGAATAAAAACTACAAGTGGGTGGGGGAGTATAGAGATTAACTGTGGTTCAAAAATAGAGGCAAACAAAATATAAAAATAAAAATATTTAAACATCCTTTTCTTTATCTTTAATTTACAACCAATCAGTAACATATCCAGCATGGCCACTGCTATTACAACAGCCACTATACCTATTGCATCTTTACCCAATACTAATAATACTGCCAGTAGTAGTAATAGCACTACTACATTATTGGATACATTAAATACGGAAATAAATTCATTATGTTCAACTGGTAATCAACAATTGCTAAATTTAATTGATGATTCAAATAAGTTCTTATCAGAATTAAAACAAATAGAATTAGATTTAGAGCAACAACCAGAAGAAGAACAAGGTGATGATATACTACCGCTGGTCCTGAAAACAGCTGACAATTGGTATAATTCTTCAATATCAAGTTTAAAATCTTACAATTCTTCAATCAACAAGATTTCCAAGAATGTGTTGAATAATCCTAAATTTAACATTGATTTGGATGATGCTTATACTTATCCTTTAAATTTAAATAGTTTCCCCATGAATTCCAACANCCTAAATTTAACATTGATTTAGATGATGCTTATACTTATCCTTTAAATTTAAATAGTTTCCCCATGAATTCCAACAAGTTGAAATTAATTAAGGATGATCAATTAGAGTTAATCAAATTAGATAATCGTACTGAATTAATCAAATCAATTATGCTACATTTATTAAAGATAGGTCAATGTGATATTGTCGATGAAATAATGAAAGAATTACCTAAAGATACCCCAATGATTATCGATCAAGAGCTATCAAATAAATTTCAAACTTTACATAAAGTAGTTGATAATATTGTCTCGAATCATGATTTATCGATGGCTTTAAAATGGTTAAACCAAAAGTATAATCAATCGGTCCTTGATCATCAAACTCCTGCTGAAAATTTTAATAACATTGAATTCAAATTTCATATGCTACAATTTATTATCTTGTTAAATGGAACACTGGCTGAATTTACATTGGATGATGTGTTTGCTGCCTACGTATATGCTAAGGATAATTTTGCTAGATTTTTTAATGATTACCTAAATGAAATCTCCCCATTGGTTATACTTTTATTATTCAAAACGAATAATCCTAATGAATATGATGATTTTTCTAAGAAAGTTATGATTAATTCAGTTAAAGAATTCATTGAAAAGATGAAGATTGGTTTCAACCTAGAAAATGACAAGAAATCAAATCATCATACTAATGAAGTTAAGTTTATTTCAGAGTTACTTTCAAGCTTTGAGAATATCCACACAAACCAATCCATTTTTGTAAATATTTCCAACGAATTCATTTCCGAGTATTGCAAGGACTTGAAATTATCCAATGACTCGTCTTTATTCCAAGCTATCCTAGCTGGTCATATTTACTTACCTAGCTTTTACAAATATAACCAAATTCAATCCAAATTATCCAAATTTAAGTCGATTCCATCCTCGTCATCTTCAGATAAATCATCTGATTTCATCTCCAACTCCAATTCATCACAGGCAAATCCATCTGATCCTAACCACCATTCAAAGCAAGAAAACTTCATCTCAACCTATCACAACGATCTCCCATTCCAACTCCCTGACACGAATAGATTCCTTTTCAAACATCATCCAATCTTCATATGTCCTGTATCGAGAGAACAGCTTATCCCCATAACGGAACACCTAGTCGAAAACAACAATCACAAATACATTGTAGATAATGATATGGTAAGTCAGGTGGTGGTTTTGAATTACTGTCAACATTTGGCATTGAGGGATAGTGTCTATCAATTGAGTAAGAAGGGGACCGATCTGTTTAAATGTCATTATTGTTATAAGAAACATAAATATGCAGATGTGACTGATGGATATTTTATTGATTTATAAGACTGGGGGGGGGGGAATGTTTATGTCTCAAAGTTATTAGAATAGAGGCGGTGGGTTGATGTGGTGATTGCTAATCTTGGCTAGGTTTCATTTTTATTGCAGGTCAAATTTTATAACGGGAATTTGTCATTTGTGGATCAAATGATACAATTGGGTATTTCTTTTATATCTATAGTTCTACTTTGGTGTATACTATTATCTATTTCTTTTATATCTATAGTTCTACTTTGGTGTATACTATTATCTATTTCTTTCTCTGGTGAATGAATGAATGAATAATTAATTGTGTATTTTTTGCAATCATTACTGACAACTTAAATTTTTAGAACCACCTGGTAGCACCCTCCCTCACAGGGCATCAAAAATAAAATTTTTTAAAATTACAAGTGCTACTCCACCATATACTGCTTCAAAAGCCAGCACAAATATCAAAAACTATGATAAATGGACAGAAGGTGCCCGAGTCTGACTTGTTGAGTAGCCAGGAATCCCTGTTAGGCGACTTTTGGATTCCCATATATTCGAAATCAACCAACAATGCATTTCAAGCAACACATTTCGAACAGGCAATGTTAAATATCATAAAACAACCAAACATAAACTCAACTGTGATTATGAGAGCAGATATACTTAAAGAGAATGTTTATGATCGTGAAAAGGGAGATACAACGTTTACTAGCAGTAAATTAATTTCGGAATTTCCACATTTTCCATCATCGGCAAATTCCAAAGAACAAGTTCTTCATCGCGATATTCAAGATGTGGAAATTAGAAATATACCCGAGACTAAAATCAATTTAACTAAGAAATATGAGATTGTAAGGAGAATCATCCCGAGAAATCCATATAAGGATCATATTATAAATCAAACTTGTTTAATGTTGTCCGGTGATGAAAGCGTCTTGGTGGTTTATATTCCTCATATAACAACGAAAGAAGAGATCCCATTTTATTTACCTCCAGTATATGGAATTGGACTTTTATATCATAAGGACATAGTATCGATCCATTATTTGCCTTTTAATTATAATGAATCAGAAGAGGCAACATTGCTTAAGTCAATGTCAGCCTATGAAAGACCAATTCGGATTGCCCTTCGTCTTTTGGAAACTTCAACCAAGCATTCAGCTGGGGTCAAAGCGGGCTATGCCAAAAGAGTTAATCATGATTTAGTAGTACCCAAAATAGAATTCCAAAATCGATATATATCCCTCAAGAAGAAATACTCCCTAAAGTTAGTCAATGAATGGTGTGAAAGTACGGACCCGAAGAAACATGTATTTGAAGATTTGGCAATTGCCGCCTTCTTAATAGAATACTGGATCCTAAAGGGACTCACTCCAGACAGTTTTGAATTTAGAGATATGGGTTGTGGCAATGGATTATTGGTTTATATTTTAATAATGGAAGGATATCGAGGACAAGGTATCGATGCCCGGGCCAGAAAATCTTGGTCCATTTATCCAGAAAATGTCCAACAGAACCTACTTGAACAAGTCATAATCCCAAGCGTATTGCTAAAACCTCATCCATCATTATCAAGACTCGCTCCAGATATAACCGACAATGGCCGTCAATTTAAAGAATTAGTGAAAGACAATAGTGCGGACGGCTTTTCAATAAAATACCACTCCTCCAAAGAATTACTTAACTCGGATAAGGTCTGCACTATGGAGGACTTCCCCAAGAATACATTCATAATCGGAAACCATTCCGATGAACTCACATGTTGGATCCCATTATTTGGATTCCCATTCATTGTTATCCCATGTTGTTCACATGCCCTCAACGGTGCAAAGGCAAGATATCCCCCTCGAAAACAACTTGTCACTCCCTCTCAACAAGGAGCGCCAGCTGTGCCACAATCGTCTACATATGCGTCATTGGTAGATCACGTTGAGGATATATCTGGAATGATGGGCTGGAAAATTGAGAAAGAAATGTTGAGAATTCCAAGCACGCGAAACGCAGCCATTATTGGTCATGAGAAGTATATTAATGAGAGTGAGGAGGCGTCGATGTTGAGGACTTTGGATTTGATTGCATTGGAAGGTGGGGCTGAGGGATGGGTTGAAAATTCGATGATGTTGATGAAAAAGGCACCTAGAAATCATTAGTGATCCTCTGTGGGTATTAGGAGACGTTGTATATAGAACAATTATATAAAGGTAATTTAATAGATATTAATGTTGTATTGTAAGTTGTAACGGTTTTAAGCAAAGAGCTCTTGATTGGATATTATGGCAGGAGGCCCATTTCTGCAACATTTCCTTACGATACAATACCCTCACCTAAACGCTAACACTGACAATATCCCCAATCAAGGATGTCCAGCAACCGCAAGATCTGATCTATTTATAGGTTTTCTTGGAGGTGGGACAGTTGAACTAATTATTCCCAATTAGGAAACTCCCTTTTTCACATCCGAAGATCAACGAAAAAATTCTCACCTTACACACTACCGTCTTCGACTTCTTCTTCTTATTCTGTCTTACACAAACCTTTATCACCCTTTACCCCTTAGATATATATATAGAATCATCGAACTTATTAGAAAATGGCTGGATCATCTTCGCAATTTCAACAACTTGAAAAATTAGGTGAAGGAACCTATGCTACTGTCTATAAAGGTAGAAATCGAGCAACTGGTGCTCTTGTTGCACTTAAAGAAATCAATTTAGACTCAGAAGAAGGAACACCTTCTACTGCTATTAGAGAAATCTCATTAATGAAAGAATTAGATCATGAGAATATTGTTACTCTTTACGATGTCATTCATACTGAAAATAAATTGACTTTAGTATTTGAATATATGGATAAAGATTTAAAGAAATATATGGAAGTACATGGAAATCAAGGTGCTTTAGACCTAAAAATAGTTAAATCATTTATGTTTCAATTATTAAAAGGGATTATGTTTTGTCATGATAATCGTGTTTTACATCGTGATTTAAAACCTCAAAATTTATTAATTAATAACAAAGGTGAATTAAAATTAGGTGATTTTGGTTTAGCACGTGCGTTTGGTATTCCATTCAATACATTCTCAAATGAAGTTGTTACATTATGGTATAGAGCACCTGATGTTCTATTAGGTTCTAGGGCATATACTACTTCAATTGATATTTGGTCAGCTGGATGTATATTTGCAGAAATGTGTACCGGGAAACCATTATTCCCTGGTACTGCCAATGATGATCAATTAATTAAAATCTTTAGATTGATGGGTACACCAAATGAAAGGACCTGGCCAGGTATAAGTCAATATACCAATTATAAAAGTAATTGGCAAATTTTCGTTCCTCAAGATTTACGATTACTTGTCCCTAATCTTGATGCTATGGGGTTGAATTTATTACAGAGTTTATTACAAATGAGACCAGAAGCTAGAATCACAGCTAGACAAGCATTACAACATCCTTGGTTCCATGAAATCACCAACCCCCCTCCTATGATTCATCAACTATCAGATCCATATCAACAACAGCAACAACAACCACATCCACAACAGCAACAGGTTCATCAACCGCAACCACACCAGCCTGGAATTGACCAACACTATTAGATTGCTTTTGGTTTTGTCTCTTTTTGTTTCATAGAATAAAAGAATAGACGTATAGGATATTGTCAACACTTCTCTTAAATGCTCATAGCGGTCTTGTTCAATTAATCAAACAAATGCGACTTTGGAAATAAACAATCTTTTCTTTGTAGCACGCAATACTCTATCTCAATTATAAAGCCTTAATTAGACGTGCGAGGAGGTTTCTTGCTCTAGTCCTGGTCTCGAACTCAATAATAACAGCAACCGTGGATCTAAATCCGCTTCCAAATATAGAGCACATGTAGAAGATTCTTGAGCAAGAAGCTTGTTCAAAACCGAATATCAAGTTGTTTCTGCTGTTTAAACAACATTACAAAAAGTGGAGTCTACAGAGTATGTCGGGAAAATTTTCTTTTCATTGTTTATTCAAACAAGATTAGACTATTCAAATATATAGTGTTGGTACTTTGGACACTTCCTCAAGTACACTTTTAACCCTTAATAATATCCCCATTCGTCAATTCAAATGAGCACTCGAAAAGATTCTCTCAAGTCTCTCAACGCCCGGAACTAGAACCTTGGAAGCAAGGGAGACCGTAAAACAAAGAACATTGCAAGCAAGGCTTCATAAATACGCTTCTCAATGGCAGAGTAACCAACGAAATCACACAGTTATCACTTGCTAGAGTTCATTGATGATAGATTGCATAAGGCTTTACCGATTTTAGGGACAACGCAACGGGACAACCCAAATACAGATTAAAAGTACAACATACAACATGGAAAGTCGTATCAGGTCTTAGGCGAGCCATGGCATTATTATTTATAGATTGATAAGAACAGATTTTATAATACGATATGCCATAGGAGGGACCAAGAGTCATTGGATTGTCTAAAAATGAATGTTGCGCGTTGAATTGATATTACCGATTCTGTCAAACTCTCTTTAAAACCGTCATTATAATTCATCGTAAAGACTGCCCAATGGGAACCGGCGAACTATTAGCCTGTTTACGAGAGCCGTATTATTCAAATCTCGTAGATATTTCGACATTTTTGTGAAGTCAAGTGTCTTACAATAGTGATGAACGAAAGCGCTCATTCCATCTATAATGTCTTCCAACATAAAAGCAGCGATACGCCTGCTTTCAATGGTTTCAAAATCCTGTTTTGAATAAACATCGAACAAGTCAAACATTGCATATAATACAGTTAAACTTCCGCTTGCTTCCCAATCGATTCTGTTCTCAAGAGTTTCCAACACGTAATCTCGAAACGGGTGCTTAGGTAAATAGGTGCTAATCGACTCCGGATGAAACCATCTCAAGATGGCGGAAACTACCGCATCAGGATCGCGAATGTAATCAATTGAAATTCTTTCAAAAGCTAACTCTAGGTCTCTTTTCACTAGAGCTGGGGATACGGCCCACACGACATTGCTTTCGAAAGGTGATGGGGACACATATTTAACCTCCAAACAAAGATCAACGGCATAAAACAGATCTATCAAACCAAAATCCTCGAAACCCTCAATTGGGGACTCTTCGTCATCATACACAGGAAGCTCTGGGTTGTCTTCTATTGCTGTAGTACTCTGGTTTCGGCTTTTTAGAATTATGTCCATGTAATCTTCATGATAAATCTCTGGAATTGGTTCAAATCGACCAGTTGCGATTTCAATTGGTAATCTTGTAAAATAGTACTGCAATTCATCAAACTTAAATCGAATAATCTGTAATCTCCTTATTTTATGGAAGTTGATTTCTTTCATTGTTCGAAATTGCATTAAATCGTACGTATTGATCGACGACGTATACTTCTTTCGGGCTTCTACCGTAAGCTTACTTATAACTTTTTCCCAGAGAAGTTTCCTTATAGTCGAGACAGTGGCAAGTTTATTATAAAAAAAACTGTCTAATAATGCATATTTATGGCTCTTATACTCCAGTATTATGTGCAGCAAAACGTTTAAGTTATCTGATATCAATGGAGCAACCGTATCTTGTGTCACTACTCTCCCATATCGTGACTCGTATTCTTCCAACTGATGGTTGTAAAATTCAAATTTTGTATCTATTAGATCAAAATCCAATCGTTCATTCATATCGAATAGATAATAGTGTTCTACCATCAGCTTCACTAGAGACCAATTCTCCAAATAAACATCTGGGTCATCGTCTAACTCTGGGTTAAATAACAATAGCCTATCTCTAGGAATTAGGTCGCGTCCAACATTCGGGTCAAACCTCAATATTTGGTTGATTCGCTTATTGACTAGTGGCAAATTATTATGAGGACCAGCATAGATAAAAATCTGTTTAATGACTGACGGTGGAAAGGAATCAAGAGTAGTTTGCGGAACATCAAGAACTATTGCATCTGCTTGATCCATTGCTGATTCATAATGTTGTCACAATAAATTAGTTCTTCGGCAACGCGATTTTATGAATAAAATTTTTACACATCAGATCAACAATTTACAATTCGCGACGATGAGAGCTTAAGAAAATTTAGATTGCGACAGAGTTTTGCACCACAAGGTAAAGTTGTTGGTGGATCTTACAGTATAAGTTGGGTAAACTACAAAGTTGTTCGGGTGGTAATATAATAGAAATATGACGTTCTTAAGCCTCTGCGTAAACTTCTGTACAGAACATATCTGATAATATGAGGTTTGTATTATAGATATCAGAACCCTTATTGTTGCTAAAGAGTGATACACATAGATTACTCTTTCGAATGAACTCCATTTACACATTACTGGAGTAGACGGAAAATTTGAAATGATACATTCTTTTGGTTTAAGGAAGAGTCTCCAAAAGTCATTTCTCCAGGTTTGAAACTAATTACTAGGTGATAGACTGGGAAGCCAACGATGATATTTCCAGATAAACCAGCGGGATAACCCAGATGATAATTAAAACTGTTAAGGATCTCAAAAGACGAATTAGATCCTGAGTGGCGAGATGTCATTATTACCTATAGGCTGTTTAAAGTTGGTATTTCTATTAAAAGATGCCAATTGAGGGACCAATTGTCGTCGAATTGTATATGTATAGTTTATGCTTCTGTGGACAAGATAACCGATCGTGACAAACCCTCCTTTAAACCAGCCCCTATCATTATAATTCATCATATAGACTGTCCATGGGGACATGCAGAACTATTAACCTGCTTATTAGATCCGTATTATTCAAGTCTCGTAAATATTTCCACATTTTTGCGAAGTTGAGAGTCTCCATATAAGCTTTAGTTAAAATAACCATTCCTAATTTCAAGTCTTCCAACATAAAAGCAACGAAACGCCTGCTTTCGATGGTTTGGCAATCTTGCTTTGAATAAACGTCGTACAAGTCAAATGCTTCATAAAGCGAAGTTAAGCTTTCGCTCGTTTCTCCATCTACGCTGTTCTTGAGAATTACTGAAACGTATTCTCGAAACTTCTGTTTAGGTGTATATACTCTAATCGCATCTGGATGAAACCATTCCAAGACAGCGGAAATTATTGGATCAGGATCACGAACGTAATCTTTTGGTATAGTTTCAAAAGCCAAATCGAGATCTCGTTTCACTAGAGCTGGGGATACAGTCCACACGAGTTTACTTTCGCTAGGTTTTGGGAAATTATATCTGACCTTTAAAAAACTATATGGGACATAAAACAGATCCTTGAAACTAAAATCTTCAAATCCTTGGATTGGGGATTCTTCGTCATCATACACAGGGAGTTCTGGGTTGTCTCCTCTTGTGGTAGTACTCTGATTTCTGCTTCTTAGAATTATGTCTATATAATCTCCTTGATGAACATCTGGAATTGGTTCAAATTGACCTGTCGACAATCCAATTTCTAGCCTTGTAAAATAATACTGCAATTCATCGAATTTGAATCGAATAATCTGTAATCTCCTTATTTTATGAAAGTTGATTTCTTGAATAGTTCGAAGTTGGATTACCCGATAACTATAGATGGACGAAGTACACTCCCATTGAGCTTCTATGGTATACTTGCTAATAACTTTGTCCCAAACAAGCTTCTTTAGAATTGGACCAGTGGCAAGTTTATTATATAGAAAAGTGTCTAATAATGCATATTCATGGCCCTTATATTCCCATATTGTCCCCATTACTTCTGTAAGATTACGTTGAATCATGTTAGCACCCTCATCTTCTGCTATTATTCTGGCATATTTCAAGCGGTAATCGACCCACCGGGTGTTGTAATATTCAAATTTTTTTTCTAATAATTCAAAATCCAATCGTTCATTCATATTGAATAGATAATAGTGTTCTATCGTCAGTTTGACTAACGACCAATTCTCCAAATGAACATCTAGGTCTCCATCTATCTTCGGGTTAAACAACATTAACTTATCTCTAGGGATTAGCTCACAATCAAGCTTCGGTTTAAACTTCAATATTTCGTTGATTCGCTTATTGACTAAAGGCAAATTATTGTGAGGACAGCATAGACAAAAATCTGTTTAATTATTGATGGTGGGAAGGACTCGAGAGTAAGTTGTGGAACATGAAGAAGTATTGCATCTGGTTTATTCATTACTGATTTATAGCGTTGTCATAATAAATCAGTACTTTGGCAACCGGATTTTCATTCACAAGAAATTTTCACAGTAGATCAACAAATCGAAAATGAAAGACAATGGGAGTCTACGAAAAAAGATTGTGACAGATTCTAGCACCACAAGAAAGTAGACGAGAAGGAATCGTAAAATAGGACGATCTCAATGACGTATAAATAATGTTAAGAATAGCAACTGAAACGAGAAGCGTGTCTTAAAAAGGTGATCTGTTACAACTGTCTTGTGTTCTACATTGGATTGTTTCATGCAATACAACGTCGCATACAATTGTAGCCCTACTTATGTTCTGCACAATTAAGATTGCATAAACAGCAAATTCTTAAGTATTTAAACTAGTTAGCAGGTCTGGTGCCTCCCTGGCAGTTAAAACACATTCCCTGTTGCCCATTTCTCGTAAATGCTTCCATCTAAATCAAGGGCATCGCCAGATAGCTGGACTAGGAAAATTATTGCTCCTTTCAAGCCTATTAGCATTGACAAATTTGTTTTCAGAAGTTGGACAGTCCCGTTTTGAGTAAAGGCCATACGTATCATGGTCTCCATTTGTCTAAAAACTATCAATCAATTCTACTGTTGTCCATTCAAAATGCCATAAACCATGCTTTTCCGTTCTTAAAAGTTCCAATCAATTCCCGGACTTGGTAGCGGGACATCGCTAGCTAATATCTCATGCATGAGATCCTTATTTCCCAATTCCCGCAAATATTTCCAAATCTGGTCAGAGTCAAATGACTCTCCAGAGGCTTGAATTAAGAGAAGCGCTCCTCGTTTCAAGTCTTCTAACATGTGTTCAACACGGTGTTTGCTCTCTGGAGTGGGAGAAGCTTGCTTTGAGTAAATGTCATATAGCTCAAAACATTCATAGACTGCATCCTCATGCGTATCTGAACAAACTGTATTCTCTAAAAGAAGCGAAATATAGTCTTCAAAGCTCTTGCTGGGATGATGCGAACGAATCACTTCAGGATGAAACCACTTCAAAAGGGCAGAGACTAATGGATCAATATGACGAACTTTTTCATGAGGTATTCTTGAAAATGCAAATTCGAGATCTCTACTTACAAGCAGTGCTGGAACAGTCCATACAAAATCACTATCGCTCGGAGTCGGAAATTGATAGTTGACATCCATATATTCAAGATATACTTGGAGCAGCTTTGGAAAGTCGGCATCATGGAATCCTTCAATCCTCAAATCTTCGTCATCATATACTGGAAGTTGAGGGATACCTTCAGACCCTTCAAAGGGGCTTGCTTGGCTCCTACTGTCAAGAATATTTTGAATGTAATTCTCTTCACGTACATCTGGGCATGGGTCAAATTGGCCAGCTTCGAGTTCAGCGCGTGCTCTGTTCAAATAATACCGCAATTCATCAAACTTAAAACGAAGAATCTGTAGTCTCCTTTTTTTGTGAAACTCAATTTCTTCAGTCGTTCGAAATGATATCGACTCACCACATCTTTCCCGAGCAAACTTGTTGATGACTGCAATTGTCGCAAATCTATTGTGAACAGATGTGCCCAATAATGCAAATTTTTCGGATTTATAAACTTCGACGATGTTGTCTATCATCCCAATATTAATTGCTATTGGTCCAAGTAGCTCACATTGTCTACATTCTGACCCGAACTTCTGCGTGATCTCTCCCAATCGTGAAAAATAATATTCTATCATATCCTCAACCAATGCGAAATCCACTCGTTCGTTCATGTCACATAAATAATATCGATCTATCATCAGTTTGACCAACGAAAAATTTTCCCAAGGGGCACCTGTCTCAATCTGTAGATTCGGATTGAACTTTAATATTTGATTAACCCTCTTATTAACTAATGGTAAATTATTGTGAGGACCAACAAATATGAAGATTTGTTTAATTATTGATGGAGGTAAAGAATCAAGGGTGATGCTTGAATGTTGAGGTTTCTTATGTTTGAAGAAATCATTATTGTCACATGTCGATAAAGAAGTTGTTAATGATATGGATTTTCGTAGCTTTCTTTTCTTTAATGACTTTCCTGGATTAACAAACCCCATAATACTTCAACATCAAACAAACAAGAAATCAGGAATGAAATGATGTTATAAAAACTAAGAACTTATTAATTGATGAGATCAACAGAAAAAAAAAGATATTTAGTTCGGCCAGTTAGTGCAGAATTCCGATATTTGCTAATTAACCATATCTCTGCCTTCGCTAGACACTAAAGGTGGATAGAAGTCAGCTCTCGTATCTGAAGTTAAGTTATTCTTTTATATAGTAGCGTTAATGGCATCGGTGTGCCATTTCATAGAAATCAGATGCTTTTGGTTGCTTCATCAAAGTTGAATCCAAAGCCTCAGGTAAAAAAAAAAAATCGACAGACTCTCCGAATGTCTCTATGACAGGATCACACATTGGTGATACATCCGATTGGTAATGTCAGGGTCAGAGTTAAAGAATGTTTGCATCTGTGAAAGGGGCGAACAATTTACTTTTTATCAATTTTTTGCAACAATCTGGTACAAATTGCTGCAAATATTTTTGTCAATGCGATCCACAAGGATATTCAGATTGGTTAATTGTGGATAGTCAGGAAACGTCGAAGCCGATGATAGAAATGGGACTCCACCTTGGCCAACCTTTTTTCTGTTACTGATACATACTACCTATCTCCAGAACAAGATTGTTTTGCAACCATCTCACAAAAAAGAGAGATAATTAAACAACAGTAAAATTGTACAAATAAAATCTTTATTCATATACATACTCTCTAACAAAATAAATTAATAAACGACAAATAGTTATCAAAACTACTTTAAAAATAAATAAAAACTATATAACATATAAATCATTCAAGTTTTAAATCTTTTCTTTAAATTGATCTTCAGTTACACCAGCACCCATAGCAGCAGTAGAAGTAACACCACCACTAACCATCTTCAATAAACCATCAATATATTCAGCACCAGACCATTTTTGATGCTTAACAACTTCAACACCCTTTTCAATTTCTGGTTGTTGGACATTTTGACCATATGCTCTCATACCAATTTGAGAATATTGGTTAGCGAAATCATCAACAGCCAATGCAGTAGTATGTAAACCAGCAAGAGTAATAAATTGCCAAACATAACCTAATTTAGCTAATCTTTGAATATAAGTTTCTTGATCTTGAGGGTTCATGGCCTTGTTCCAGTTGAAAGATGGAGACAAGTTGTAAGCTAACCATTGGTCTGGGTAAGCAGCCTTAACACCATCAGCAAATTCCTTGGCTTGGTTGTAGTCTGGTAAAGCAGATTCCATCCAGATTAAATCAGCATATGGAGCGAAAGCTCTACCTCTCATAACGGCACATTGAGTACCACCTTGGTATCTGTAGTAACCTTCTCTTGCTCTGGCAACATCCCAGTTGAAGTAGATATCTTTACCGGTTAATTCCTTAGCTAATTTTCTAGCTTCCTTGTGAGAAGTGTTGGATAATGGGTTGACTTTATCGGTAAATCTCTTGATTAAGGCTTGCTTGTTTGGATAGTTACCAGCGTTAATTTCATCAATAACAGCTTCATGGAATAACTTTAATCCAGCCTTCTTGGTCCAGTCCGATTCAATCTTGGCTAAAGCTTCACCGTAAATACCTTTAGCTTCAGCAGCAGCCATTAATCCAGCTAATTCTTCCGCATTTGGGTTGGTAGCACCAATGATAAAGTAATGATCTCTGTGATCAATGGTAGAAGTAATCAAAGTAGCAGCTTCAGAATCAGTTCTGGCAACAGCTAACAAGTTAGAACCCAAGATATCAGCAGAAGCTCTAATAGCAACCAATCTGTTAATATGTTCTTGAACTGGAACTAAAACCTTACCAGCCATATGACCACACTTTTTGGTACCTGGAGCTTGATCTTCAATATGAATACCAGCAGCACCACGTTCAACAAACATCTTGGTTAATTTAATGATAGCAGTAATACCACCATGACCAGTATCAGCATCAGCAATGATTGGTCTTAAAAAGTCAATGTAAGGAGTCTTTGCTCTTTGAGCCTTGGTCATGTTTAATCTTTCTTCTCTTTGTTTTCTGTCGTGGAATAATTGGGCAAACCATAAATGTTCAACCTTGTTTGGGACAGTATCCATAGGATAATCAGCTAAATCTGGGGATGGTTCGTTAGATGTAGAAGCGGTAGAGGAACATTGCCAACCGGAAACATAGATAGAATCCAAGTATTTAGCCATTTGAGCAACATGAATTGGATCTAAAGCACCAAAGGTGAAAGAAGCAGTTCTATCAGCATCATGCTTTTCCAATAAGGAGAATAACTTGTCAGATTGTTGAGAAGATGGGTATTCAATCTTGAGAGAACCTCTCTTCTTAGCAATATCTTCTGGAGAATAGATTCTCTTAGTCTTTCTCCATCTTGGTTGAGACCACCATTTTTTAATTTCAGCAACTTGTTGTTGGAATTGTCTTTCTTCTTCGTTTACGTCGATTTGAGTGTATGGCATATTGGATGATGATGTAGTAATTGAAATGTTACTGACTGTTGATAAATATAAAAGAAGAAGAGAAGAAAGGAAAAAGAATTGAAAAATTATAAAAATTAGAAATAAGGTGATTTTATCATCTATTTATAATAATCTGAAGAATTTAAGTAATGAATGTAAGTTTGTGTATTAAGGGGATAAAAGGAAGATTTTCAGTAGATTTCTATTAGTCCAAATGATTTTTTAATTTGTGTAACTTTTATTTTTCATAGCAGCAGAATTAAATTCCCCAGATTTCTTTCTTTACGTTTTTAAAAAATAAAGTTGTTCTCCGTTAATCCTCTATGCAGTACTTATTCAATATTGAACTAATAATATTCCTCGGATAGATGGTCAACGTTTTTTTTATAAAACTATAATTCTAGTAAAATGACCATCCAGCCCCCCTTTTGATATTCAGATCTAGCCCAATTACCATAAATACATATTCCAACTACATCTTACTTGTAACAAATTAGCAATCATGGGAAAAGACCACCTTTCATATCCCGGCATAACCTCACATAGAAGAAACACCAAGCAGTAAGGGCTAATAATTTTTTTTGTAAAACTCCGAAAATAATAATATAATTTATTTAGTCGTGTATTTATGTTCAATAATTATTTTTCTTTGCATATGATTCAATTCTTAAAAGTAACGGTTCCGATACTCGGAATATTATTTCACTGTTATTTATTATTATAATGGCTTCTTTTTACTACAAGTATCCGAGGCTATGAATTTCCTTTGATAATTTTGATAATTCAATTATTATGTGTGAGTAATTTCACTGTTTTATTATTCTAGTCATATGATTATTTACAGTGGGAAAATATCTGGTCATTATCACATAAAACCACCGGTGTAATACCTCCGAATAAATAAATGGCTTCTTGATTCATAACCAAGAGAAAACAGTATGAACTTTGGCGTTTTACAGTTTCAATGCAACACTTTACATATAGAAAGCTTAAGTTGATAATTACAAACCCATCAATGCAACATTGACAAAGGTTAAATTCTTGATATTCGGAAAATATTTCGATTTCTCGGAGTTGGACAAATCATTTTCTTGTTTAATCGTCAAAGAGAGAAGATTTTCTATTAGCGTTTATTCGCCATAGATTTCCTCCTTTTTTTTTATTCCGGGGTAAAAGGAGAAGGATGATTCATTTTTCAGTTAGTCATCAATTATTTTTTCTATGCATTAACCGCTCCCGAAAAAAGAAATCCTTGAACAATTTTACCCACGGAATTTTTATTTTTCATATTTCGCAACTACCACTTTAGTTTTATTTTCTATTTCCATAGTTTGACACAAAACTGGCGATAAGGTCGTCAAGAGAAAACAACCGAATTGAAGACTTACACATTAGAACTGAATCATCCCGGGGATCATAGCGGCAAAGAAGTCCGATGAGTCAACCACTCCTGTCAATTTCCAATTGTTTATCGCGTATTATTTTTTAGACTATTCTATATAACTATCCGACATCATCTAATCAGTCTTAACCTTCTTATTCGCTTCACTGGGATCCTTTTTAGGTGCTTTTCTTTTCTTTACCATTCCCGTCAAATCATTCACCTTAGCATCCTTAGTCTTCTTCTTGACCATCGATGTAAGGTTGTTGATCGCAGTCGCACTACTACTTCCTTCTTGTGGTCCACTAGATGCTTCCGATGTCACTTGACCTAATAATCCTTTAATCATATCAGCCTGAGCTTTCAATTCATCATTACCCAAATCAACATATTTAGCTTCCAATTCCTGAATCATTTCCTCATTGTCCTTTGTACGATCTTCATTAGTTTCATCTTGATTTCTCGCTTTGACGGAGTCAATTGCTAATTTGATTTGTTCTTGTGCCTTGCTTTTCAGTTCAGAGTCATCACCACAAAATTCCAACGCTAAAGCCAATTTATAATGAGATTCTGAAATCAATGAATTACTTGACTTATACAATTCCAATCTAAGATCAAGACATTTCTTTAAATCAATTGCAGCTTGTGGGAAATTTTCAGTTTCTAAAGATACTTCTCCCAAGATATCATATACTTCAGAGAGTTTCTGTAACACAACAACATATTCATTTGTGATAGAAGCATTCTTATCCAAAATATACGGAGGAGTCAAATCACCTTTGTTAAGACCTTCAAGCTTTTCTTCCAATAAATTCCTAGTAAGATCTAAGATCTCCCAAGCAATTTCAAACTCACTTTGTTCCTCCTCATCCTGACCCTCATTCTTGTTATCATCCCCCTTCGTAGTCTCCGGTTCATCATCTTCATCGTCTTCTTCTGCCATTTGCGGACCCTCATCTCCATCTTCCTCCAGACCCTGTTCATCTTCCTCGTTATCTCCTTCAATCGGTTCAGCATCATAGAATTGGAATTGGTCATCCTCATCCTTTTCGGCTTCTCCTTCCTCGTCACCTTCAGCATCACTATCTCCATTTGTCTTACTAGCACTTGCTCCAGCTCCACCAAATACCTCAGATTTGGAAACTGCACTCTGGAAAATAGCTTTTCCATATAGGAACAATAAATCAGCATCTTCGGAACCTTCATGTTCTCCACTGTATTTCTCACAAGCTTCTCCATACTTTTCTGAAGCGAGGTCATAATCTTTCGATGAATAGGCACGGGAACCTTCTGATATTAATTTTGTGATTTCAGGTGAATATGTTACTGTTGTTGAAAAGCTCATCTTTGGGGGGAAATAATTATTTGAGATGTGAGATTTGATTTCAATGCGTAAGGGATCGATTAGTGATGGCTTCTTAAGAAGTCTTTTGATATGCCTTTTCAATTTTGAGAGTCAAAAATGAAACGCGTAAGTTCTTTTTCTCAATTTTGGCAAATTTCGCGATGTTAGAGAAATGTCGCGAAAAACGCCAATGTCGCAAGATTTGAATAAAGTCGTACTAGATCATGATTTTTCGCAAAGATCAAGATTTAAGGTGGCTGTAAAAAATTCTTGAATCCAATGCCTCAATCCCCATTCTTTAGAAAGATGAATGATCAAATCTAAAGCTCAAAAGAAGTCCGATTGGATGTCAAAGACTGACTCGTATCATTATCATTATCTACATTAAGTTACAGCCTTATATCGACCAGTCTACATCATTCTTACGTCACGGGCTGAGCTGCTTCGCCAACTTGATTTAGTTTTCGTTTGAGTCATTTTTCAATGAAAAAGAAATAACATTAAAAGGCGTTCAGCATTTCAATGAAATTGAAACATATTGAGATCATCCATATCTAAGAGCATATCTAACTAAGGAACAACCTTCGTGAACCTTGAACTTTGTAAATTGGAAAGTCGAATTCCGAACATTGACACGTGATACATTTTGAATTTCCGGTTCAACATTTAAACTTGAAAAAAAAAAAAATCAACAAAAGAAAAACACTAAGAAAAAAGGGCCAGCCGTGATTTTAATACGGGATAAGCTAAAACAAAACATAGTATGACAGAAAAAAATTGAATCACAACAAAAAGTCAGTTATAATTTTTACATTCATTTCGATAAAGGGATTCAAACAATCCAAATATTTATAACGTATAGAACGTGTCCGATCCTTTTTCCTGCAAGAGACCATTAGAGTCATTTTTTGATTTAAGCAGCACACGCTATTTAACTTAATAGAGATTTTGAGTTGTACAATCTAATTTCAAATCAGTTTTACTTCAACCCGAATTTTATTACATAACCTCACACAAATCATTCATTTATAAAAGCATGTCGTCATTTTCCCAAAGCCTGAGTAGGAAGTCACTAAGAAGGAAACCACCACCAATGGACACAACACCATTTCCAATAGAAGATCCAATTTCCCCTCAAATACCCAAGGTAACAACAACTTTCACATCATTTGAAAACGATCAATATATTCCTACAACCCCTCCACGACCTAAGGTGAAGCCTCATGATTTTCACACTTTTGAAATTAGATCAAGTCCTCCTAGGCCGTTTCCAAGTGAACAATTTATAGATAATACATACGATGATTCGTTTTCGTCAGTTGATTCGCCAAAGCCTAAGGGTCCTCGTGAAATTTGGGAATATGACCCTATCGCTGCCACGCCGGTGAACTATTCAGATCCCAATAAAGAAAGAACCCCAATTACTATAGACAGAGTTAAATCAAAACAAAGGGGATATCAGGAGCTATCTAGATCGAAATCAACACCTTCTGTAAAACCTCCATATCCCATTGAAGAAACACCTCCATATCCCATTGAAGAAAGACCTCCATATCCCATTGAGGAAAACATTGATGAATTGTTAGATCCCAATGATTTTGAATTTGGAGTTGATACATCAACACAAGGAAGGACCAATAGAATTATTCACGAATCATTAAACGATGCATCCCCAAGAATAAATGAAGTCCCCTCACTACCGTCAAGACAACTGCTATCTATCGCTCCTGTGACAGGATATTCACGTTCTTCAAGTGTATCACCAAGTCGACATGGAACCGGTACTTCTAGAATGTCGTTCAGTATATCGGATCCTTCGTATATAACACCACCTGCTACTGATGTATACTCACATTCACCTCTACAGGATAACTCATATAGTCGATCACCATCTCCCAGGCGAGGGCATTTTGGAGGCAGATCACCATCCTTACAAGATTATTCTTTAATGATTGATAATTTCGACGAAGGTTATAACGAATTTAATCTTTCAGAAGGGCCCAGTTCGAGATGGAATAGTGTCCATTCTCGAGAGTCTTACTTTGCAGTGACTGATAATCCTTTCATAGATGAAGATGAAGAATTTCATGAATTTGAATCCCCCATCTCAGAAGAAGATTTTGATTATTCAATATTACCAGACTTACCTTCACCGAAAGGGCTGGTGGTTACAACATTACCCATACCAACTTTATCTATAAATCGGAAACATGAAGAATTGCCTCCATTACCATTGGATTTACCCCAATTGCCATTCAATGCTTCAACATTATTATCTCAACATTTTCAAACTTGTCAGAAAGTATGGTCTGTTTCTGAAATCTTCCAATGGTGTTTGAGATTGCAGATATGGTCACACGATCTGTTTATATCTAAGCGGGAATTAAAGAAGGCATTAGTTAGATTGATGGCTTTCCATAGAAGTGACACTACATTGGATATAATTACAAGCAATGCTTCCGTCGTCATTAATAATTTTATTGAAACCGGTGCTGTGGTAGTTGATGAAAATGAGAAAACCATTGGTGATAAAGCTGGTATAACTTTGGATTCAAGGGTTTATGTTAGTGGTGTTTTGCCTAATTTGACCAGATGCTATTTTAATTTCCGTCATCGTAAAACGGGAGATTTACCATTGACATGTTATTCTTCCTCATGTAATGTGAACCGAATTATGAATTATGAAGCCAAGATGAAGAATACCAACATTAAAGAAATTGTCTTGGGAAGAGATTGGTCTACTCATTGGCATTTAACCGCGGAAGATTTAAGTCAGATTGAGCAAGGGTTGAAAAAGCATCAATCGTATGTTTTTGATTTATTAAGATATGAACAAACATTTCTCCAAAGAGCCCGATGTTTGGTTGAAGTAGTTGCACCTAAATTCATAAAAGCGGTTAAGGATTTTCTGAACCTGGATCCCAATACTATAACTAAATTACAAGATGGATTAATCGATGCTGGAAATAAAATTATCCAGTTCGATCAAGAGCATGTATTTGAACCATTGTTGAGGATTCTCATCGCCGAAGGGAAATTTATTAAGAGCATTGCCGAAATATGTAACATTTTCCATGATTGGGCGATAGAGATTAAACAATATTTATTGAGATATATGAGTTGTATGCCTATAATTGAAGAATTGTTAAGGAATCCACAGTTGAAATCTTATGCTGATTCAAATATTGGAAGTATCAGACTTCTTAAAGAATTGGAAGTTAACGTTGACATTTTACTTTTAAGTACGCTTAACTCTAGATATCAACAACTCCCGTTACAATTGGCGGATGCGACTAAGAAGTTTGATGATCATGATGAGGAATTTCAAGCTTCAAAACGAGCCCAGTCAGCTATTAAGGCGCTTGGGAAGAAGATTAATGAACAAAAAAAGTTAGCGGACAATCTGCACGTTTTAAGAACGATTAGAAATCAATTAGTATGGAAACCAAATTTGCAACAAACTAATTTAAATTTAAACTCGACGAATAGAAAATTTGTCTGCCGTGGGGATTTGACGAGAAGAGGAGAAATGAAAATCACATCATGGATCAATCATATTATTTTACTTGATAATTACATGATTATTACCGAGAGAGCTAAAAACCCCAAACAGAGGGGATATTGTTATAAGATTATTGAAGATCCAATTCCAATTGAATTTTTAATTGCCGAAGAAAAAAACACCGCAACGCCACATTCAGCAAATTCAATCCCAAGACCACCATTAAAAACCAATGTCTCTTCACCATCATTGGTTCCAAATGCATTATTGGATGTTAGTGATGATGAACCAAACGTTTTTGCACTTAAGGTCAGATATGCCGGAAGGACAAAGCATACATTCACATTTTCATGTAGGAGTGAAAAAGAAAGAAGCGAGTGGATAAAATATTTTTCAGAGACCAAAACTGCATTGGCCAACCGATTAAAAAGCTCCGAACCTTATGAGGTTAAGTTGGTTTCAAATACATGCTTTGCATACGACCTTGCTAATAAAGTGGTTAAGTTACCCATTTGTCCACCTGGTGATCCAATATATGATGTTTGTCAAGAATCATTGGAAAAATTGAATCAGTTGGGGTATAAGTCAGATTTATATAATTTCAGTAACTCCAGAAATCATCTTGTATACAGCAAGGTGCAATGCATGTATGGATTTGAATACAAGGGACATACGTATAATATTGTTGGTTTGATGACTGGATTATATTGCTGTGAAGCCAAAGGAAGATGGAAGAAGATTCTTAATGGAACTGATTTCACTAAAATCCATGTGGATACAACCAGTGGAATTGTGATTGTTTTAGCAGATAAATATTTGAGGTATTATTTATTGCCTCAATTCCTTGGTGTATATGCCGAAAAAAAGTCCGAGCTTACAAGCATCCCGGTCTCAAAGGAGCCAGTCTTATTCTTCGCCGTTGGCCATCATAAGAATATGACTATGTTGTTTTATGCCAAAAAGAAGAATAATGGAACGACTCATTTTAAAGTTCTCGCTCCAGAAAGTGATGGGAATGGTGTTTTCAGTAGGTTTAAAGAAGAAAGGAAGTTCTATATCCAAGCTGAATGTTATGGGGTTTCTATTTTCAATTCGTCCTTTGCCGTGCATACTAATAAAGGTTTTGAAATTTTGGATTTAGATAAATTAAGACCGCGAACTGTACCAGACTTGCCATTCGCTGAAACTGACACTAAGAAAAAAGTTGATCAATATGCCAGAAAATCGGTTACCTCTGCTAGTGCAGGAGTTGATGTCATTAGAAAACTTGTGTCTGGGTCTGGCATGAAACCATTAGGGATGTTTAAATTGAATAATAATAGTGAATTTTTATTGGCGTATAATGAATTTGCAATTTTTATAAATAAGCATGGTAAGTTGTCTAGGTTTTCCATACTTGGATTTAAATTTAAGGCTAAAGCAATCCAATTTGTTAATAATTATTTATTCATCATTTGTGATGAAGTGATTGAAATTTGGTCAATTAGTGATTTCGTGAAAGGTACGAATAAATTAATGCAGGTCATTACTGGAAAAGATATTAGATCAATTTGTGATGAAGATATTGCTATTTCGATGGCCAATCCAAAGGTACCTGGATTACAATTGGTGTTTCAATTGGTATCAAAGGCAAACTTTTAAGACGACTATAGTTTGATAGACTTTGTATTAGTGTAGATTTATTTATTTAGTTACGATTTTAATGAGATAGTTGGTTTTTATGAACAATAACTTGTAGAGGATCACAACCGAATGAGTGGCATGATTCGAGATAGAGATTTCGATTCTACCCAGAATATTCGTGCTTCACAAGCGTAGCAAGTTACGTAGACAATAGGGCTTGTTATGGAGGCAACGGAATTGGTAATCGGGGACTGACTCATGCATGTGGGGCAAAGGTACCAAGTGTTTTTATTGACTCAGCGACCCATTTAGCACTCTAGTTGTAAAATTAGTCTCAATGGAATCTAGGTCATTGTAGAGTGATTTTATATGGCACTAGATATGTGCAATATTTTTTTTTTTTCAAATTATGAAACCAAAATAAATGTGATTAACGAGATTCCTTAGTAAAAGAAGAATTCTATCAAAAAGAATTGGGTTAGATGGGTAATCTTGGGCTGTAAGGCATAATTCTGTGTGCCGTGTTTTGTCAGCTAAGAAATTAAGTGATGTTTTTAGTGGTGTGGATGAGTGTATCTCCGCGAATACCCATTTGGGTGCAAAAAATATTTTTTTAATTAGTTTTTGGGGCTGAGAGATTATCATTTGATAAATAAAAAAATAATTTCTTCGTAGTAGAAACTCCCCACATAATACAAAAGAAAAGAGGATTTGAGCCCACTAAAGATAGGAAGGTCACAGCCGCGAATTTGTTTAGATCTAGATCAGAATGACCTGTGTGTCCTGTGTTTTCGAAGAGAACCTGTTTTCAGTTTTCCAAAAATAGGTACTAAAAATTCAATATAAAGGTGTTAGCTTGCCTTGTATAAAATCATCCCATCCTTGTTTCAAGAGGGTTGCATATTTAAACATCCTTTTAGAACTCATCAGCCATGACTAAAATTTTAAGATTTCCTTATCAAGAAGCTAAGCCAATGGCTTCCAAGAATCAAGACGAAAGTCCTTCAGGAAAGGTTCTGTTTAGTGAGTTCTATAACCCTGAAGAAGAATACCATCCCTTACAAAGAATCCCAACTCCATATCCTACAGATGGCCCTAGGAATGATATCAACATTGCATCAGAGTTAAATAATCTGGAAGAAGAATTTCCTTCAATTAGTAGTAAACCAGTACCAAAAGCTGCATTTGCTCACATATATGCAGAGGATCATTCACGAGAACTGTCAACGAGGAATTCTGGACCAAGAAGGTCTACTAGCGACTTTAAAACAGGTCTCAAAAGAAGTGGTTCCCAAACATCACTCCATTCAATTAGAAGAGCTGGCACTCCCATCCCCAAAACTAAAAACAGTGCAGATTCCAAAGCCAAGCAGGAACAACAATCTCAAGCTCAATGGGACTCAACTGATGTTCTCTATGACGTTTCAAAAGCATTGATCACTTGTATATTCTACATCCTATCCCAAATACCCTATAAGGAAATAGAATACCTTTTGAATTATATAATACCCTCGTCAATAGTCAATATCCCATATGACAAAGCCATACCTGGGACTTTCATAGATGAAGGTCGTACCGAAATACTAATCCAAGAGTTAATGAAAAGTCAAGCACGATTCGCTACCAATATGAAGGCAGGTTCAGAAAGTATTTGGAAATTATTTGGAGCAGTATTGGAGAATTTCCCATATAAGGAATTACACAAACTCAGGAGAAAAGAATTAGAAGATACGTTTTGGAACCTTTGTGAATGTTTTCATTATGTTGAGTCTACACTATTTGAAGATTGCGAAACTTTTGATGCGTGTGAGATTTCGTTTGTCTATTTGAGGTGGGCAAAGGGGATATCTTCCTGTTATGATGTACTTGTTCGGAATGTTCCTGAGTTTGCTAAGTTGTACGATATGCCTAAAGGAGGTCTCAAGAATAAGAGAACTGATAGTTATTATTCCCTTAAGGCATTCTTAGAGATGATAATAGCTTATCCTTCACAGATCCGTAATCATCTTATTGCTATCCGTGATTCAATTGATGAGACATATGTACCTGCTGAGTTACCATTGGCGATTATTGAAGTTGGAAAATTGGTCAAGACTTGTTCTAAGGTTGATTATTTCGTATCGGGAGATCCATCAGTGCTTGTATTTGATTGGCAAAGTATTTCAACATATACCAGTGCGCTGAATTATCAAGAGAGCCCTCAATCAACATTCAGAAGACGAAGTTCATTTTCATCTATTAATTCAGCCGTGCTGATTCCTAGTGTCATGTCCGTCGAAACCGATGTTTCAGATTTCACAACTACCCCACTGAGAAGTTCCTTACACAGGGGCCGCAGTAGATCAATTTCATCGTTTACTTCAGATAGAGTGTTAGGAACATCCAATCCATACTCCTATAAACCAAGTGCCGAAGAATATTTACAACTGAGAGATAGCTTTAAACTTACCCGTAAAGGTAGTCATACGTATTCAATTTCATCATCTAGGGGACAACCACAACTGAGACGGAGTAGTCTTCGATCCACAAGGTCAAGAAGTTCAAGTCGGTATCCCGATGATAGTTATGATGAACTACATTATGATAATCAGAATTCACTTTCTTCAATGTTGGATAGGAATACTAGAAAGGCATCCCAGGGTACTACCTATACTCAACATACTTTGATTGGGGAGCCTTATTCTGTGAATGAGTTGTGGAATTGTCAACCAGAGTCATATTGGAATTTTGACGCTGGAAATAAAGGTACAACTACAAATCCTCAACAATCTAATATAGTAGTGAACGGAGTCTCATGTTCTTGTACAATTTGGGGAGAGTTTGAAGGGATTAGGAAAAGATATGCAATTGTGGCTAATTGGAATGCAGTTTATGTTTCTGGAGATCGGGAGATGTGGCGCAAAATACTTCATTTCAATGCTACAACTGTTCAAATGAAGCTCTTGGGGAATATTTTGGTACTTCAGACAGATAAAAATTTAACTTTGTATTCAGTTCAACAATTAATTGATAGATATCATGGAGTTCCCAAAATCAATGCCTGTCATATTTCTAAAAAAGCCGGATTCTTTTCTACTGGGGTATTCAATGGGAAACAAGTTGTTATATTTGGAAAGAAGAAGTTTTCATTTAAGGGGTCGAATGGTACGAAATTCCGAGTTTTACATCCTATTTATTCCCAAGAGAAGAGATCTTGGGATGTTAGAAGATTGCAAGAATTCTCGATGCCTACTGAATGTTGTGGTATTCATAGCTGGCAAGATGATTATACTGTATACACCAAACATCAATTCTATAATCATGGAAAAGTTTTCAATTTTTATCCTATACAAATTCCATATAAACCAGATAGTGTAAATCTTAAGATTCTGGAGCATAAGGCAAAACCACTTGGTGATTTCAAATTACATAACAAGAACAACGAATATTTGTTTGTGTATGATTCATATGCTGTTTTTGTACATGATAGAAGCAAGATTTGCAGTGATAAATATATCCCTTTCGAATCAAAACTTAAGAGTGTAATTCAAAGAGATGGATTCTTTTTGTTTATTTCAACAGATAAGATTGATGTTGGTATTGTTAGTTCTAGTAGTAGGCAGACATTTAAAAAGGTTCAAGTGATTGAGAAAAGGTATATTACGGTACTAGATGAAGAACAATTGATATTTAGAAGCGGTAAAGAAATTTTCCAATTGAAATTAAATTATGATAAATCTTATGTATAGTTTAATAGCTTTTGTATATAGTTAATTTTTAATAAACAAATGAAGCATTTACCGTTTATTCTTTTCAGTTTGTAGAACCATTTATAGTTGGATAAACAACTGATTGGCCCTGAGAAATCTACGATAAGCGGCAAATGATGACTGCAAGTGGGCAAAGTAAAAAATATTTTTTAACAAATTTCAAAGGAAATTATTTTTTGCAGCCAGACGGCTAAACACTGATGAATTTAAATTATATGATTATTCATCGTAATCGGAATAAAAATATTTTATTGATCAGCCACCATCTTTTTCAGTCAGAAGATATCTTGTGACCCTTACCCCAGAGTTACTTCCGCTCTTAGTAATCAATTTCATTTTTCAAGTAATTACTTATATCTTCCTTTTTATCTTGGTATAATCTTCTCATCTTTAGTCTATAACTATCAACATGAGCATTCATTCACTGTCAAGTAGTAGTCTTAGTTTAGACAAACCATCTACATCAAGTAGCATGAGTAGTGGTGGACCGGAATCAGAACCAATACTTCCCAAGATGGTTCGTTGGGCATCTCCGCCTGTATCAAGAGTAGTAGTTACACCTACCCTTTACCCAGCACCCAAACAAGGTAATGGCAATACCCGGGATTTATATAGAAAGTTAAGAGAAGACTATATTTTAGAAGGTCGTAGAGGGATGAAGAAAACCATCGGTAGGAAGAAACCTAAAGTTATCGAAGAAGCAGAAATTAAACAAGAAGCATTACATACGCCTGCCCTTTCACAATTTATTAATTTTCTACAGGTTGTCTTCTACTATTTATTTCAATTGACAAGGCTGATTAATATTAAAGCCGTGGTAGAAATCTTTACACTTCCAGTTCTTCCTAAAGGGCCATTTGCAATTCCCGGAACCTACCTCGAAGAAGAGAAAATCGACACTGGTAGGCAACAACTGATAATACGAAGCTTCATCCGCATTCAACAAAACTATATTTCAACCATCAGAATCTATGGAGAGATGGTAACCTTGAATTTTTCGTCAATGATAGGAAAATATCCTCAAGAGAAACAATTGGAGTTGAAAGCAACGGAGGTTGAGGATAGGTTTTCACATCTTTGGAATCTTGTGATATCAATTGAATCCTCAGTACTTGACAAATATAATCAGGAGGATTTTGAAGAGTTTTGCAATATGATGAATTATTGGACAACAGATGTGCGCGATATTTATATGTATTTAAATGGATGTCAGGCCATCTTCAACGATTTTTATCTTGAATTATCCCAACAACCTGGAATTGATTTCTTGGTACTTGAAATCTTTCGATACGAATTGATGCAGATTAAAGAACATCCTTCCCAAGTGCAAGCCATGTTGGAAAAGTTGCAAACCACTTTTAAAAATCCATCTGAGTTATGGAAACAAATATCAACACAATCAAATGTGATCTTGGAACTTTCGTCTCAGTTTCATATGGATCAACTGGTTCTTACCTCCGTCGTGGAAGAATTGATATCTGAAGAAAATCAAATCTCTGACGAGACCCAACGAAAGTGGTCGGCTACCAATACCTTAAGACCCAGTACAGGTGCATTTTGTCATTCGCCAGATTCGAAAAGAACTACATCTTCTTCCAAGAACCCCCCCTCAGATTATTATCGTACTTGGCCAACAACTTCAGGAGAGCCTTTCCTGATAGAAACTGTTTGGCAATCAGATATCAAGGATCCATGGATATTTCACAAGAATCAAAATACATTTGACGAATCGAATCCATGGGATCATGGTAGCTTTCCGATTTCGGTAGAGAGTAGTTGTTTCGTGACTATGGATGATGAATCAAGATATGTGCTTGCAGGTCTGAAGTCGGGTATATTTATGACAGTTGAAGGTGGCTATTGGAAGAATATGATTCCATTCAAAGCAATGACAGTAGAATTACTTACGTTTGAAGATATATTAGTTGTTAGAAGAGATAAAATTATTGACCTATATTCAATCCAAAAATTGATCAATAATTATGAAAACAACCAAACTACTACAGGTCAACATATGCGCTTAACTAAGAAAGCTCAATTTATGTCAATAGGATATTTAAATGATTTTCAATTTATAGCATACGGTAAAAAGAAATTCTCCAAATCTGCATTATCTCAAGGTTATCAATTCTGTACTGCCACTGCATTCAGTTCTCAAAATGGCGGAATTACATTAGTCGAATGTCCTGAATATTTTGTTGCTAAGCAATGTAATGGGGTTCAATATTTGAACGATCTATTTATTGTGAATACAACCTATGATTTCCTAGCACTTAGACTTGAAAATTTTGCCGCTTTAGAAATCCCTCTACTTAAAGGAGCACCCGCATTTTGGAATCCATTAAGATCTACTTCCAAGCCAATTGGGGTATTCACCTTACCGAATAAGGAAAATGAATATATGTTTGTCTATGAATTATTTGCTGTGTTTGTGAATGCAGCTATGCAATTCAATAGTGATAAATATGTTACTTTCCCTAATAACTTGAAAAGCATTTTTGAGAAGGATGGATATTTCTTTTGTGTTTATGAGAGGAAGATGGAGATTTGTAAGATTGATCCATATTGCAAACTGGTTCTAATTGTCAAGCAGGTCGTTAATGATCCAAATCTTGTTGTTCTTGATAAAGAGAATTTGATATTTAGAAAGAGGCAAACGGAAATTTTCCAAATGAAGTTGAAAGAATAGGAAGATGTCACGAAGTGAGGTAAGCTATTCAGATTGGAGTTTATTAATTTGATTTGTTTATTTGCATATTTATTTAAACCATAATTATTATAAATTAGTTATACAGATTTTTATAGACCTAACTTAATTTAATTGTACGTAATTTTTTTTGCAGCAATTCTTCACTCTGTACCATAACTTCTCTACTCGGTAGGAACATGGATTTCAACTGGGCTCCACTGAAGTTGTCCAATAGCTTCTACGATAATGCCAGAACTTTATTTTTGGACAAACCACTCTTGATTAATTATGTACCTGGCCAAATTTGCAACTATTGATTATACTCCACAGCATGAGAAAAGAGCGGATTTATTAATGAACAATAATTTTCCACGTTTAAATTCGGTTGCAATCCCGCGCGGGTCGGCAAACCAAAAGTCTAATTTTCGGTGCAAAGAAAAGGATCTAAGGACAGTTCAGTACTTGATAGTTCCATTATGCTGAAACAATGGTCATAGGGACTACTAAATCTCAAGTTATGTCCGGATTTTCTATTCTCCATTTGTTCAACAAATTGACAGATTATCAGTGGAAAAATTAATCTCCGTTCAGTAAATCAAATTTCTTATTCCGAGGAACAACTCTTTTTTCTGAAGGTGGGGGAGCCGCTACCCCATACAATTGTTGAAAAAAAATCTTATAAATATTAAACCCTTGACTTCTTCTTTTGTGATTCTTGGTTTATTCATCTAAGTAAGAAAGTAAGAAAGTAAAGAATAGAATGGTTGATTTTAACGTTAATGGAAAGATTGCAGTTGTCACTGGTGGTACTCGTGGTTTAGGTTATTATTGTGCTGAAGCATTTGTATTAAATGGTGCATCCACAGTTATTATAACTTCAAGAAAGGCAAAAGCATGTGAAGAATCAAAGAAAAGTTTAGAAAAGACTGCCAGAGAAAATGGTAAGAATTGTAAAATCATTTCCATTCCAGCTGATCTTGCCGTTGAAGCACAATGTAAGAAATTCTATGAAGATGTTGCTAAACAAGTAAATAAAGTTGATATCTTAGTTGCCAATGCTGGTGCTTCTTGGGGTGCTCCATTGGAAGATCATACAATTGAAGCTATTAATAAAATCATCAATTTAAATTTAGTTGCTGTTTTCCATACTATTAAATTATTCACTCCATTATTAGAAAAAGCAGCTAGTTTAGAAGATCCTTCTAGAATTGTCATTATGTCTTCTGTCATCAGTTTCCAAACCAATGATCGTGTTGGTACTTATGGTTATACAGCTTCAAAAGCAGGTGTTACCCACTTGGGTAAGAACTTGGCAGTACAATTTGGAGATAGAAATATTACCGTTAATTCATTAGCTCCTGGTTTCTTCCCATCTAAAATGTCTAATGGTTTATTGGAAGTTGTTGGAGATGCCATGGTTGCCCATAATCCAAGACATAGATTGGGTGTTAAGGAAGATCTTCAATCTGCTGTTCTTTATTTATGTTCTAAACAAGCTAATTATATCAATGGTATTGTCTTACCAATTGATGGAGGAGCTCATTTAAATCCAATCTCTTCTAAATTTTAAGATAGTTATTTAAATATACATTTTCATTTATTTTGGGTATCGATTAAGTATTGTAGCAAAGTAAATTTTTCAAATTGCGCATTTTTTCAAGGACCCTTTTGCACCTTCTTTTTCTTTGAAGATTATTGAACACCACACTAACAATGACTCATGTAACTATAGTAACAGGTGCTTCCAGAGGTATGTACAGCTATCCAAAGAACCGGTCACTCTGAGCTAGCATACTAACAAAATTTGTAGGACTCGGTAAAGCAATTGTTGAAGTTCTCCTAAATAAAAACTCAACAACTAAAGTTATAGCAATCGCGAGATCTCAACAACCATTAGAATCTTTAATTCAGAAATACGGAAATGATAGAGTAGGTATCGTTGTTGGAGACCTTACTGATTCAAACACTTCGATTAAAGCAGTCGAATTAGCGGAATCAAAATTTGGTCAACTTAATTCAATCATTGCCAATGCAGGAGCATTAGAACCAGTAGGATCAATTGAAAAACATAATATTAAAGAATGGAAAAGATTATTTGATATTAACTTCTTTTCTGTCGTGGAATTGATTCAAATTGCATTACCTGCCTTGAAAAAGACTAAGGGGAATGTGATTGCTGTTTCTTCTGGTGCTTCGACCAAGCCATATAGTGGATGGTATGCTTATGGAAGTTCAAAAGCAAGTTTGAATCATTTGATTATGTCTTTAGCTTCTGAGGAACCTGACATTCAAGCGATTTCTATTGCTCCGGGTGTTGTTGATACTGAAATGCAACAGGATATCAGAAATAAGTTTGGGAGAGATATGAGTAAAGAGGGTTCACAAAGATTTATTGATTTACATGAAAATAAACAACTATCACCTCCAGAAGTTCCAGCTAGAGTATATGCCAACTTAGCATTGAATGGATGGTCAAAAGAACTTAATGGTAAATATTTAAGAGTTGACGAAGATGTTCTTAAACTGTACACTACATAAGCAAATATTATAAATACGAAATCACCAGATTGAAAAATCTCGTAAAATTTCGAAGACAAAATTTTTTCCATGATTTTGTAGATCTTTCTTTCATTCACACCACTAGACAACCACCACTAGACAACGGACATGTTCCCTAGACATTCATTACTATTCGCTTCTAGACAAGCGTCTGTGAGATTATCCAGACAAAATATACTAAAGCAAAACTTTATTCGTTTCAAATCATCCAAGCCTGAGGCATCACCAAAATTCAAAGGAGCTTCATCTACACCACCACCTCCTCCACCTCCTCCAAAGGGTTCACCTAAATCAAGCATCTATAATAAAATTTATATAGGTGCAGCCGGGTTAGCATTACTTTCCACCATCGTAGTCATAGTGAAGGATCCTAGTCGTCCCCCAACCGCTGCCGTTGAGCCGGTTACCAAAACCAAAGCAGGGCCAGCGTTTGCTGAAGGAGATATCTCAGTTGTTTTCGTATTGGGAGGTCCTGGATCTGGGAAAGGTACCCAATGTAATAAATTAGTTGCCGAACAAGGATTTGTCCATTTATCTGCTGGTGATTTATTAAGAGCGGAACAAAATAGAGAAGGATCCAAATATGGAGAATTAATTGCACAATGTATTAAAGAAGGTACTATTGTTCCACAAGAGGTTACTATTGCGTTGTTGGAACAAGCAGTTAAGGAGAATGTAGCTAATGGATCTAAGAAATTTTTGATTGATGGATTTCCAAGAAAAATGGATCAAGCTATTACATTTGAAGAACAAATTGCAAAATCTTCATTTACTTTATTTTTCGAATGTCCTGAAGCAGTGATGTTGGAAAGATTATTGGAAAGAGGAAAGACTAGTGGAAGAACTGATGATAATATTGAAAGTATTAAAAAGAGATTTAGAACTTTTATTGATACTTCAATGCCAGTGGTTGATTATTTTGATAAACAAGGTAAAGTTGTCAAACTTAATTGTGACCAACCTGTTGCAAAGGTCACTACTCAAGTTAAAGACGCTTTGGCTTCTAGAGGTATTTAGAGAGAAACAGTAGATTTAGATATATAATTAATACATAGTTTTCAATAAAGATTTAATATAGGATGTTTTTTTGGTAATTACACGAACTTTTGTATACAACTGTTTAAATTCTCGGAGTTGTTCCTAATGGGGAATTACAAATACTTTTGCCATCTCTTCTTTGAAGTGTCAATTGAAGATAGATAAATATAGAGAATATACTAGGACCATGTCAGTAGTAAATACAGGATTACCTCCAAACTGGACTATTCGTGTTTCTAAAACACATAATAAAGAATATTATTTAAATCAAGCAACAAAAGAATCATCATGGGATCCACCATTTGGTACTGATGAAAATGTTCTAAAAGAATACTTGGCCAAATTTAAGGCTAATGGTAATAAACCGGTTGTAGGACCAAATGGAGAAGTTAGAGTCTCACATTTATTAATTAAAAACAATACATCAAGAAAACCAAAATCATGGAAATCACCCGATGGAATTACATTAAGTAGAGATGAATCAATTGCAATTCTTAAACAACATTTAGCAAGAATTTTAAATGGAGAAATTAAATTAAGTGAATTGGCCCAAACTGAAAGTGATTGTTCATCACATAGTCAAGGTGGTGATTTAGGATATTTTGGTAAAGGAAAGATGCAACCAAAATTTGAAGAAACTGCTTTTGGATTACATCTTGGTGAAATTAGTGATATAATTGAAACTGATAGTGGAGTTCATATTCTTCAAAGAACTGGTTAATTAAGTTTATAGCGCCGTATATATCCACAGTAATAAAAGTAAAATTGTAAACTAGAAAGCTAATTGTTATGTACATTATGCGATACTGGGCATGTTAATAAAGCGATATCACTGGTACTGCCATGTAATACCATGGCACAAAGTTCTACAACGATACGGCAGTAATTATAGACTCTTTTTTTCTTCTCTCTGTGCGTCGGTTCATTCTGATTGCGGTTAATTTTTCAGTTTCCTATTGTTCTCTATTTTTGTTTTCATTCCATGGAACTCGGATTCCTCGAAAATTTTTCAGGGGGGTTAGAGTTTGAAATTTAGAGAGAGAACCACTAACAAATTATACTACTAAGAGTCCGCCCCCTACCATATCAATTGAGACCCCCTTGATCTAGATTCGTGTAGTATATATCATCTATTAAGTATATACCCCAACGATGATACAGTCTAGACTTGTCCAATTGTCTAAACGGACTGAAGTTCGTTGGCTTTCAAGTTTCCTGGCACAATTTTCGCATTCGCACGTCCCGCACCTCCACAAGGCATTAACAATTACAACGACAGCCACCAACAAGAATATAAAAAGATTTCAATTGCCATCATTTCAAAAAAAATCAATTACACCAAATTTCAATAACTCAATTGGTGTTATCAAATCATTCCAACGTTCTTACTGTATGTGTCGTCGTCATAATTCAATTGGATCTGCTCAAGTAGTTCCACAAGATAGAGAAGTTTTACCTACAAATGTTAAACCCCTTCATTATGATTTAACTTTAGAACCAATCTTTGACAATTTCACTTTTAAAGGTGAAGAAACAATTGATTTCCAAGTTAATGAAAGAACTGATTATATCACTTTAAATTGTTTAGATATTGAAATTCAAACTGCTAAAATTGATGATGTTGAAACTAAAGATATCATTTTTGATGATGATAAACAAACTGTTACTTTTAAATTTAAAGATCATTTAGTTGAAGGTGCTATTGCTAAATTATATCTTAAATTCACGGGTGAATTGAATGACAAGATGGCTGGTTTCTATAGATCTTCTTATCAAGAAGATGGAAAGACTAAATATTTAGCTACTACTCAAATGGAACCAACTGATTGTCGTAGAGCTTTCCCATCTTATGATGAACCTTCTGCAAAGGCCAAATTTACCATTTCCCTTATTTCTAATCGTGATTTGGTTTGTTTATCCAATATGGATGAAAACACAACTGAATTAATTGAAGGTAACAAGAAGATTGTTTCTTTCAATACTACTCCATTAATGTCAACTTATCTTGTTGCTTTCATTGTTGGTGATTTGAAATATGTTGAAAGTCATGATTTCCGTGTTCCAATTAAAGTTTATGCTACCCCAGGTTCTGAACATTTAGGTCAATATTCCGCTGATATTGCTGCTAAAACTTTAGCTTTCTTTGAAAAGAAATTCGATATTCCTTATCCATTACCAAAATGTGATATGGTTGCCATTCATGATTTCTCAGCTGGTGCTATGGAAAACTTTGGTTTAATCACCTACAGAACTGTTGATTTATTATTAGATCCAGAAAATACCAACGTTAATACCAAACAAAGAGTTACTGAAGTTGTTATGCACGAATTAGCTCATCAATGGTTTGGTAATTTGGTTACTATGGATTTCTGGGATGGATTATGGTTAAATGAAGGTTTTGCCACTTGGATGTCTTGGTATGCTTGTGATTCCTTATATCCAGATTGGAAAGTTTGGGAATCTTATGTTTCTGATTCCTTACAACATGCTTTAACTTTAGATGCTTTAAGAGCTTCTCATCCAATTGAAGTCCCAGTCAAGAGAGCTGATGAAATTAATCAAATTTTTGATGCTATTTCTTATTCCAAGGGTTCTTCTTTATTAAAGATGATTTCAAGATGGTTGGGCGAAGATACCTTTATTAAAGGTGTTTCTAACTATTTAAAGAAACATAAATGGGGTAACACTCAAACTTCTGATTTATGGGAAGCTTTAGCTGAAGCTAGTGGTAAAGATGTGGTTAAGGTTATGGACATTTGGACCAAGAATATTGGTTTCCCAGTAGTTAGAGTTGAAGAAGTTGCTACTAATGAAATTAAAGTCACTCAAAATCGTTTCTTAGCTACCGGTGATGTTAAGCCAGAAGAAGATGGTGTCTTATATCCAGTCTTTTTGGGTTTAAAGACCAGTCACGGATTAAATGAATCATTAGTTTTGAATGGTAGATCTGCCAATTTCAAACTCCCAACTAATGATGACTTCTTTAAGATCAACGGTGATCAAGCTGGTATTTACCGTACTGCCTATGAATCTTCTCGTTGGACTAAATTAGGTAAAGCTGGTGTTGAAGGAAAACTTTCTGTTGAAGATCGTGTTGGTTTAGTTGCCGATGCTGGTTCTTTAGCATCTTCTGGATTTATTGAAACTTCAAGTTTATTGGATTTAGTTAAATCTTGGTCCAAGGAATCAAATTATGTCGTTTGGGATGAAATCTTAACTAGAATCGGATCCATTAAAGCTGCATTCATGTTTGAAGATGAAGCCACTAAGGAAGCATTAAAAGCATTCACAAGAGATTTAATTGGTGAAAAATTGAATCAAATCGGTTGGGAATTTTCTGAAAATGATTCATTTGCCGATCAACAATTGAAATCTTCCTTATTTGCATCTGCTGTAAATGCTGAAGAACCAAATACTGTTGCATTTGCCAAGAAGGCATTTGCAGCATTTGTTGCTGGTGATAAAAAGGCTATTCATCCAAATTTAAGAGCTTCTATCTTTAATGTCGTTGCCAAGAGTGGTGATGAACAAACTTTTGATCAATTGTATAATATTTACAGAAACCCACAATCTATTGAAGAAAAGATTGCTGCATTAAGATCTTTTGGTAGATTCGAAAATGAAGCCGTGTTGGATAAAGTAACTGCATTATTATTACAAACCGATATTGTCAAACAACAAGATATCTATATTCCAATGCAAGGTTTAAGAGCTCACAAGGTTGGTATTCTCAAATTATGGGATTGGTTAACTGTTCATTGGGATAAGGTTTATGAATTATTACCACCTGGTTTATCTATGTTAGGTTCGGTTGTCACTTTGGCTACTTCTGGTTTCACTAGACCTGAACAAAGAGATGAAGTTGAAAAATTCTTTAGTACTAAGAATACTAAGGGTTATGATCAAGGTTTGGCTCAATCTTTGGATATCATTGCTTCTAAGGGTAAATGGGCTTCTCGTGATGCTGAAACCATTTCCAAGTGGCTTGCTGCTAATGGTTACACCAAATAAATAAATAAATTTATGTAAATTTACATTCTAAATTAAAATAGTCTATATAAATATTATACCGTACGATTTTGTTTTATGTTTATCGTTCTATGAATGAATCCTATATGGAAATCTCTACTTGCTAATATCCCATCCTCTAAAACTCCACTGGCAGCTCTTTTGTTCTCATCAATCGTTAGTTTTATACTCTGTTTATTGGATTTTTCAAACCCGCAGTTTTGAACATAATACGGAACTAGATTATGTTCCTCGATAACATCAGCGTGTAACGTTATGCTCTCAAAATCATGCAAATTCCCCTTTCGCGAAAGTAAACCAAATCTTTCCGGATCAAGCAAACATTCGTTAATCACATATTCTAGAAATCGAGGGGCGGTATTTCTCATAAACGATGTAAAACTAGTAAGTTCGAAGTCCTTAGACTTTGGATCCGATTCTCCATGAAATGATCTCATTCCAACACTAGCAATAACTCTTCTAAGCACATTATGATCAAGTTCAAAATCATCATCTACAACCTGAACATTCACTTCAGAATCCAATCTATCAAGATTGAAAAAGTGATAGAAATCAGCCGGAATGTCACATTGGAAACTTTCTTCAACATTGGTTGCTTCTTTGGAAAAATCTCGGATATATCCATGATACGTTTCCAACTTGTCAAATATGGTTTGTGAACCTAATAAGAGATATATGCAGATCTCATCATCTATGCCTATTGAAAGATCATTTAAGAGTGAGTCAACGGTTTTGATTCGTGGGGTTTGGATTATGCCAAATTTATATCTTGGTTTATCATATGATCTGTTGATAAGCTGTCTGAGACCAATGAATTTGCTGTTGGGTCTTGATGAATGAATCCATGAGTAGGGTATTACTAAGACTTCAAATGTCATTATTTAACAGAGTGACTGAGGGGTTGCGATAAGCAGCAGTGTTTAGGAGAGGGTGGCTAGTGAGGAATTTTTCAATTTTCGGATTTATAAAAAAATGCTTTTCCGCATTTGATCAAAATTAGACTTATATGGACAACAGATGATTGATTATTTACGCTACGAATATATGCTTAAAGTATGATTTTAACTAAATATGTTTTTTTTGCTTCTATATAAAGGTAACTATATGTATATACTATAATTAAGGAATGTTATTATCTATTTGCATGAATCTTAAAATAATCATAAATTGGTCCTCTTCAAATGGGAAAGCGTTTCTGAACTTAATAACATGTTTCCATCTCTTTGAATTCATTCCTTTAGAATTTCGTTGCAACCTATCCCATAAATGATATCCACCGATATGTTCCATTACCAATCTTTGTGACAAATCCTCTAAATCATATTTCTCAGTAAACATCGCAACTTTTGCTTGTCGTTGTAAATGTCCTGCCCAAATCAAAATATGTCCCAAATAAGCCAATACAGAATAATCTAAATTATTTTGATGGACTTCTCTCTTAGATGGAGTTAATTGAGTTCTTGTTGTTTCTAAGTTGATTTCTCTATAACCTCCAAATAATTCCAACACATTTGAATAGCGATTTAAGGTTCTCTTGAATCCCTTTGATTCATACAAGGCAATATTTATACACAACTGCAAGAAAATCTTCTTCTTTTCAAAATCTTCAAATAAGTCAACGCCATGAGATCTTGTAAATCTAACACAAGTTGCCGCATATTTCGAAACAGAAGATGAAGACATCAAAGTTTTGATTTTAACATCTGATAAATCTGCTTGGAGAATTTGTTTATGAGAAAGACCAATAATAGTTTTGGTTGGTTGAATCTCTGGTAAGGATTCCGAGAGATTTTTATTAGCCAATTTCTTTATTGGTCTTAATTTGATTGCAAATGGATTTTCAATTGGTTTCTCTTCAACAACGGGAGGAGGTCTAACGGGATTCTTACTAACAACCCTTTTAAAAAATGAACCATCACCAAAAAGTCCAGAAAAAGCAGGCACTGGGCCAAAATCATTTTCCGCAAATTCATGGACCATATTTTGATATACTGCAAGACCAAGCTTCTGACTCTTGGACAAGCCACTAATCCCAACTGGATCGTCCTCGTCCTCTTCCTCCTCTTCGCCCTCCATGATCACTCTCACCCATTCCCCTCCTTCCTCCTCTGCCTCGTCCTCGTCCGTATCCGTGTCTAGCCAGCTCGCGTCCACTGTTGTCATAGCTTCTTCTTTCGTTTCCTAGAATATGGTTAGTATGTTTCCTAAAAGAGTTAGTTTCATCTTTGAAAGAATAGTTTGGATACACACCTTCGTCGTTTCCACCCCATGAATCTGCGGTATTCTCTTCACCCCATGAACCAAAAGAAACCGCACTATCGGCGCTCAGAACTGGTTGTTCAATAGCTTCAGCCTCCTCGTAGACTGCATATTGTTTAGTAGGTTCAGCTTCTTCAGATCTTTCTTTCTTAAAGCCTCTAGATTTCTCTCTTGGCTGGCGGTGGTGCTGTTGATGATCATCGTTTCCAGTCCAAGAGCTACCTGCATTATCTTCACCCCATCCTGTTTGAATGGCGCTTCCGAAAGCAGAATCGTCATTTGTAGTTGGTTGTTGTTCTTCTACAGGTTCAGCTTCTACCGCCTTTTCCTTTCTGAATCCTCTATGCTTTTCTCTTGGCTCACGACGATGATGGCCATCATTCCTATTATCGTTGCGTCTTCTTGAACTACCAGAATCCTCTCTGCTCCATCCTTCTCCGGCAACGTCTCTTGATGCTGAACCTTCGGCTCTTGTTGGATGTGCTGCTGGCGAATCAAACTTATCTTTTCTACCTCCTCTGGATCTTTCTCTTGGTTCACGGTGATGGTCCCTTTCATGATGTTCACTACCTCCCCATGAACTTCCGGTATTATCTTCACCCCATCCTTCTTGAATGAAACTACCAAATTTATAATCGTTACTTACCTCTGGTTGTTGATGTTCTTCCTCTGCTTCAGCTTTTTCATTGCTTGCTGTATTCTCCTTGGTGGACCATTTTGATTCTAATTCTGGTTGAACAGGTATAAAATCAGAGGCTTCAACTTCTTTATGTTCCTTCTTTTTCCTTTCTCTGGGTTTTCTCTTCTTCTTTTCTGAATCGACTGGTTTTGGTTCAGATTCACCAACTACTGCTTCTTGATCTTGGGTTTGCTGTGAGTCCTTTCTGCTCTTGTTTCTTGTCTTGGTCTTCTTTGGCTTAGCTTCTTCCGAGGTAGTTGCTTCACCTTGAGCAGCTTGTTCTCTTTCTTTTTCCTTTTGTCTATTTCTTCTTGCTCTTCTCCTTTGACTTGCTGAAAGTTCAGATTTCTCAGCAGCTTGTGGAGGTTGCTCAAATGATTGATCAGCAGATGAAGGTACTGAATCTCCAATTTGTTCCTTCTTTTCCTTCTTTCCTCTCGATCTAGGTTTCTTCGTCTGAGTTGGAGGAGCTGCGTCCAGTTCACTTTCTGGCTTGGCATCTTTCTTTGGCAACTCTTTTTGTCTTGGCTCTTTCTTTTCCTTTCTATTTCTACCTTTTTTCTGGGATGCGTGTTGTTGTACCTCTGATGATGCATCTTGAACATGAGTAACCTCATGGGCAGGAGCAGGTTCAGAAGAATCCCAAGATCCAAAACTGAAAGGAGATCCAGCATAATCACGAGGAATATCTACCGCTGACTCTTCAACTTCCTGTTCATCTTCTTTCTTTTGCTTAACAAGTCTCCTTTTGGTTAACTTCTTTGGTTTCTCATCTTCACTATCACTACTAAAATCAAGATCAATCATATCTTTTGTAACGTCGGCAACTGTGAACTTTTTCTCATGTTTTCTAGCAGTTTGTTTAGCTGTTTTAGGTTTATTCTCAGTTTCCCATGAAGAACTAATATAAACTTCCGAAAATGAAGAAGAAGTATATTGTTGATCAACTTCGGGCTTTGGTGTATTGGTCAATAAAAAATCCAAATCATTTTCAAATTCTTGATCTTCATCGACTAATAATCCTGGAGTAGCGGATCTTGAAGGAGTATTCGAAGAGTTTCTACTCGAGTTGGTGTTTCTGTTTGCCTTTCTTCTGGCCCTTCTGGCTGCAGCTGGCTCTGACATTGTTGCGGCGAAAGATGTTCGATTATTTCTAAAGTAATAAATTCGTTGTAAAATTGAGCGCTTAATTAATTAATTAAAATTTTTTCGTCTCAAATATGATTCGCAGCAAATTCCAGACAGAGAAACAAACATCGAAATTTGTTTAAATGTCTTAGGAAAGTCTAACCTTGCTAGGTGGCTATTTGCTAGATGGTTAAGTAGTAGTAAGTAAATGATAATAACTAGAAATATCTGCTTTTATTTTATAAAATAAATAAAAAGAGAAAAATATTTAAATAACAAAGAAAATTATCTTAATTTCAAGATTTTATATCACTTAATCAAAAAGATATAAATTATTTATAAAATGATGCTTGTGGATGTTTTAAAAAGTAGAAACGAATTCTTCAGTGACAGTTCTTAATCTGGCTAATTGATCCTTAGATAATTCACCCTTAGTTCTAATAGCTTCTAAGATTTCAGATTCATTAGATTTTAAGTGAGTTAAGAAGGATTCTTCAAATTCACCAATTCTTTCAATAGCAACATTATCTAAGAAACCGTTAACACCAGCGAAAATCAATGGAACTTGTTCTTCAGCAGCTAATGGGTTGTATTGCTTTTGTTTCAATAATTGGGTTAATCTTTCACCTCTAGCTAAGGTTTGCTTAGTAGAAGCATCTAAATCAGAACCGAATTGAGCGAAAGCAGCAACTTCTCTGTATTGAGCCAAGAACAATTTCAAAGAACCAGCGACTTGTTTCATGGCCTTGACTTGAGCAGCGGAACCGACACGAGAGACGGACAAACCAACATTAATAGCTGGTCTGATACCCTTGTAGAATAATTCAGCTTCCAAGAAAATTTGACCATCGGTAATGGAAATAACATTGGTTGGAATATAAGCAGAGACATCACCACCTTGGGTTTCAATAACTGGTAAAGCAGTTAAAGAACCACCACCTAAAGCATCAGACATCTTAGCAGCTCTTTCTAATAATCTAGAATGTAAGTAGAAAACATCACCTGGGTAAGCTTCTCTACCTGGTGGACGTCTTAATAATAAGGATAATTGACGGTAGGCAACAGCTTGCTTGGATAAATCATCATAGACAATTAAGGCATGTCTACCATTGTCTCTGAACCATTCACCAATAGCACAAGCAGTGAAAGGAGCAATATATTGTAATGGAGCAGCTTCGGAAGCAGTAGCAGCAACAATAATAGAGTATTTAAGAGCATCGTGTTGTTCTAAAGTTTGGACTAATTGAGCAACAGTAGATCTCTTTTGACCAACGGCAACGTAAACACAGTATAATTTCTTGGATTCATCAGCACCATTGTTCCATCTCTTTTGATTTAAGATAGCATCTAAAGCAACAGCGGTCTTACCAGTTTGACGATCACCAATGATCAATTCTCTTTGACCTCTACCAATTGGGACTAAAGCATCAACAGACTTTAAACCAGTTTGCATTGGTTCGTAAACAGATCTTCTTGGTAAAATACCAGGAGCCTTAACTTGAGCTCTTGAAGTGGAAGAAGCGTTAATTGGACCCTTACCATCAATTGGGTTACCTAAACCATCGACAACTCTACCTAATAATTCTGGACCAATTGGAACGGAAACAATTTGACCAGTTCTCTTGACGGTTTCACCTTCCTTGACTAATCTATCGGAACCGAACAAGACAACCCCGACTTGGTCAGCTTCCAAGTTCAAAGCCATACCCTTGGCACCAGAAGAGAATTCAACTAATTCTTCAGCTTGAATGTTGTTTAAACCGAAAATACGGGCAATACCATCACTATAAGTTTAATTGTTAGTAAATAAGGTTCAGTAGTTTGTAAATCCCTGACAACTTTCGCTTGTTGGTTAATAGATTGATTTCCTTGGTCTCCAACATCTATTCCTCCATTCAGTATTGATCTTGATAAGACAACGACAACAAGGACAACGACACTGGGTGGTAGTACTAGAAGTTGGTTGCAAATGAATGGAAGGGAAAAAATATATGTGTGTGGCAAGTGCACACTCAAGTTTTTTTTTCAGTTGTGGTTGGTTGGTCCAATGAAAATCAATTATTTTTTTTTTTGGTGCGCGAAAGCGTGTGTTGGTGGATTTTTGAAAAATTTTGGAACATAGTAAAAGTGATACATACCCAACAGATAAAACTCTACCGGTTTCGTTTAAGTTAGCTTCTTCAGAGAGACCTCTGATTCTTTCTTCTAAGATAGAAGAAACTTCAGTTGGGGCAGCCTTGGCAGAAGCAAAACGTTGAGCAGTCATTAAGGTTGGACGAGCCTAAAAAAAGTAAACTGTTAGTATATTCTGATCGATAAGTATTTGTAGTTATGAATAGGCCAGAGTCCAGTAGTAGTTGTCACTCTTCTGAGGTAATGTGATATTCAATTGAAATCTAGGGTGAAAATTCTCTTGTCCCAGAGGGTCCCAAGACATTCTTGGGCAAATATCCCATGGATCTGGGAACCAATTGATAAATAAATCTGATCTTGTAGTTGTAGATAGTACACTAGTAGTGGAATCATTCAATTGATTGTATTAATATCACCTATATACATTCAAGTTTGTAGTGGAAGTGATAAATTTTCACAATTGTGAAAAAATCCTGATTGATCCTATTCAATGGAAAACTTTTCAAATATTGATACATACAACTCTTAAAGATCTAGCAGCAACGGCGGCTGAACGAGCAGCAGTACGTAAAACAGGACGGGCTGACAACATGGTTATTGTTTTATTTAAAAGGTGAATAAATAAAAAATGGGTTATGAAAAAGAAAGAGAGAGAGAGTATAAGAAATTAGATTGAAATATAAAAAGGATGAACGAAAAAAAAAAATTTCAACAATTCAGAGTGAAAAAAAATTCGCATTTGGTTCAAACGGACGACATTTTTTTCAAACAGGATTGAAAAATTGATTTTTATTGGACTTCTCAAATTTTTATTGCGAAAACAGTCCGAATTTATTGGTATGCGACATTACTCCAGTACTTGAAAATATGACGACATCTGGACCCCCATGCAACAACAATTCTTATTGGTCAATTCGCTTACTTTACACTAATTGGAAAACTAAAAAATCTAGGTCACGTGAAAATATTGAAATCATATCCACATCCTTTAATTATTACAAACAGATATATTCTTGAGAGATAACACCTTTGATTAACAGGTATCGACATCGCATAAAGTATCTTGTAAACTAATGGGTATATTTTTCCTATACATTGAAGCGGCTGATGAGGCAATGGCTGCATCCTAATACACGAAGAGAAAATACAGAGAGCACCTATGAGAGCCCTTAGTTTACTTCAATTAGTTTCAAGACATGAGCTGTCTGTTCAGAGGTGGCTATTCGTATTTCATCTAAGGTCTAGCCAATGTATTAATAGACACACAAAGCTAGAGTTCTTCCCTCTGCTAATGGTAGACATTGAAAATGCTGATTACCAATGTAAACCTTCATCTATGCAAAATCAAAATTTCTTTAAATCTCGAAGCTTAATATACTCTTCTCTAGAGCAATGGTTATCTCATGCAGAATTGAGATACCTAGATAATTGCGTGTTGGTTCAGGGTGATTCAGATAGGTTCACCATTAACCAATGAATATTAGTATTGAAGATTGGATGTTTTATCCAATAAAACTTGGTTAATTTTACACTACCAAATTTCCAAAAAAAAAAATCAAAGAAAATTTTCATTGAACAATTGATTCAATTTAGCAGCAAACAATCCCTTCAAGTTTGAGTAACCCATTCCCTTATACGATTGGTAAGAGTTATTCGATTGGACTTAAAGCAATGTTAAATCCAGCCACAAGAACTCTTATACAAGGGTCCAAGAGACTCGGACTTAGATTTATTTCTACCCAAGGTAGTGGAAATAGTCCAGTCAACCCACAACCACCAAAGAAAGATGAAACGGTTTCCAAAACCACAGAAGCAGAATCTAAAGTCAAAGCAGTACCTAGTTTGGGTTTGAGTGATATCTTTAAGAAGATTGACATGATTTCTAAGAATAATAAGATACGTGGCACTGAAAAACAATCCAACAAAAGAAAGACTCATGAGAAATTTTATAAACAACGTTCGGACGAACCTGGAGAACAAGCCGAATCTACTGTAGAAAAAGGCGAATCTATTGATATTCAGAGCCATCCAATGAAACGTACTGGATTCAGAGTAGGTAGATTTGCAGGTCTAAGCAATAGATTTGGTGAACGTGAACAATTCAACGATGGTGAAAGAAGACCATATCAAAGACGTGATGATGGTGAAAGAAGACCTTACCAAAGACGTGATGATGGTGAAAGAAGACCATACCAAAGACGTGACGGCGGTGAAGGAAGACCATACCAAGCACGTGACGATGGTGAAAGAAGACCATACCAAGGGCGTGATAATGGTGAAAGAAGACCATACCAAAGACGCGATGACGGTGAAAGAAGACCATATCAAAGACGCGATGACGGTGAAAGAAGCCCATACCAAAGACGTGATGACGGTGAAAGAAGACCATTCCAAACACGTGAGGATGGTGAAAGAATACCATTTCAGCCACGTGAGGATGGTGAAAGAATACCATTCCAAACACGTGATGATGGTGAAACAAGACCATACCAAAGACGTGATGATGGTGAAAGAAGACCATACCAAAGACGTGATGATGGTGAAAGAAGACCAAACCAAAGACGTGACGATGGTAGACCACCTAGAAGCTTGGCACCAAGACGTGATGGTGGTGACAGAAGAGGTGGACCACCAAGAGGAGATAGAAGACCCGCTGGTCCACCAAAGACCACCGTAGCTCCAGAAATCCAAAGTAAGGAACTCTCTGCAAGTCCATTAAAACCAACTATCAATGCAGAAACTTTCTTCTATGGTAAGATTCCATCTTCTAATGCTGGTATTTCTTCTAGATTGGCTTCAGTTGCCAAATTGACTTTGGAGGATTCTAAATATCCTTATTTATTACCTAGACATATTATTGAAAGGGCTGCGGAAAACCCAACCAATCAATTCATTTTACAAAAGAATTGGAGTTTGAAGGTGAATCATTCAAAATTGGCTGAAAGAGTTAAACATATGGTTCGTGGTGATTTGGAAGTAGTGAATACTGAAAATGCCAATGATAAAGAATTGGCAAAGGTTACTAGTGATTTGATTAACAGTAATGGAAGTTTGGACATTCAGCAAAAACAATTCATGTTTGATATAGTTAATGGAACTATACGTCCTAGGGATCTCTTAAAGGATGCTCATTGGAATCAGAAAAAGTAGATAGTTAGGGATGTTTATATTTTCTCTCTTTTGTAAATAGCTGCAAATTTCATAAGTATAATTAATAGTTTTCTTTAACAATGTCTTCTTCGTGTTCGGGGTTGCTGCCTGAAACAAACATAAGCTACTAATGTTGTTAACAACATGACGTCAATGGAAAACTTAATTACATGGTAATGGAAGCTACCTTCTTATATCTGTAATTTTGAGCGGATAACTAGCATACGAGCATATGGATATGGAAATGGGTATTTTTATATCCGTGTTTATTAAAAGGTTGCATGATTTAATTTATAAATAATAGCGGAAAAATGGAAGATTAGCATAATAAAAAAATATGCGGATTTACTTAAAATATATGCAAATTTTTTTGCAAAACCTTGCTGCGAAAAAGAAAACAAAAGATACATTCGAAAAAAAAACGGCAAATAACCAATAGAGAAGTAACCGACGTGGGGAAAGATTCAATAATAGATCGAATTCGAAGAAGTATTCGTTGATATAGATACACTAGGACTCAAAATGTTTATTTTTTTATATCGGTTTAAAACTCTCGCCGAAATATGGGGTAGATATTTGCTGCCATTTTTTAAAGACGACACATTTGGAAACTAGAATTGAATAGACGATGTAATACTTATGAGTACCTTCGTACGTAACTACATTTGACTACAACAGAGTGACTGAAAAATAGAACGATAGACTTTAATCTCTAAAACTTATACTGCTAGACAAATTCTCTTAGTATTTGAATCGTACGATGTTAACAGAACCCCTCTAACGGAGCTTCCTCCCTGCCAAATATTATTATAGAAGAGAGTGCGATCGAAAGTGTGTATGTGTTCCCCTTAGCTTGATTTTTCATGTGGGGGAGTCATTCATGACAGGTTTCAACACAAGAAAAAAAAATATTAAATTTCTCGGTGACTTCGTTGCAACCGCCCCATCACACAAAAGAATAAAACAATGACGGCTTAATGACCCGACGCAAGGTTAACCTTAAAATTTATAATTCATTCGAAATGGTGGAGTTGACAGGAAAACCAATGACATGATTACAAACGTATAAAGTAGCAAATTGTTAATAATGCTAATTCGTATAATATATTAAAAAAATGTACGAAAAGACTAAATAAGAACTGAAAGTAAAAGATGCAAAAAAACATTCAAACTTAATTGAATGCATGTTATATAGATTATAATAATAATAAAACCACCGTATAAATAATAAAACCAACAACCCTATATAATAATAATAATAGTAATGATAATAAAAAAAGGCGTATAGTGCGTGTCGTGAAATAAGGAACTCATTCTATAAAAGTATATGCTAGGGTATGTGTAAACTCATTGTAGGAAAGGGGGCCCATTGAGAAACCACAATCGTTATTTCCTCGTAGTCATAAGATATGCCAGACATCTTCGTCTCTGTTAGGCTCTTTTGTTTTAGATCTTATTAAATAGACATCTGGGACTAATTGTTCCTTTTGTAGTTGAAAAGTCATGTGTGGTTGTCTCTTTATATGATAATATGAATGGAACAGTTGTGGATACAGCCAAATAACCTAGTAATAAGGCTCCTGATGCTCTTGAAGGACGTTTCATTTGAATACTGTACATTATTATGTTCTGTTAAGTAAATAGATTGAAGCTCTGTTGCTAAGTTAATAGAAAGCTAATTAAATGGATAAATTGGAAAAGCAAAGAAGTGATAGTTGAGTTTAGAAAACTTGTTGGATATTTATATCAGAATGCAATCTGATGGTGCAATTGAACCTTTATATTGAGATAATCCACAATTGCACATACAAAACTATGGCACAATAAGACTGCATACAGCATAATAAATTTTTTTCTTTGTTTCAGCCCAAAAAAAAAGTCAGATCATTTTTTATTTTTTAGAACTTTTGCCTTAATTCCGCTGAGGAATACCAAAAATAGTAAACATAAACGACGGAAAAGTCCGACATTTGTTCTCTCTACTTAACCATAAACAGCCACCCCCCTTATCACCCCTCTCTTATCGCATGCTTATTCCGTAACTCTTCTTAGTCAGTCTGATGCAAATTATTACACATTTTTGACATATCCGCCAGTATTTGTCATTTCTCACAATCCATACACCCACCTGACTTATTAGTTTCATATTTATAATTACTTTAGTCAGTCAACGCCATTTTAGTCATAGGGTAGTAATATTAGGTTACAAATCATCACACTACAACAGAAAAATATTTGAAACACTACATCAGAAAAATTCCACTCTTGCTGCGGTAAATACTACGATACCATAAACATTGACACATAAACATCTTCATTTCACTTGGAATGACCGAATGCCTTTGATGAAAATCCCGAGTTTCGGGTTTGCAGCCTTCTTCCCTCATATTTTAAGTAAGTTTAGTCCTGTTACGTTTGCTAAATTAAGGTTGAGAATTAGTTGTTCGGTAACACCGAGAGCTTCGCGTATTCTGGAATACCAAACGCAAAAAAATGAAACCATGCAAGAACCTTTATGTTTATTTATTTGTTTATCTCGGTGAAAAGAATCCATCAAGATAATATAATAATGCATGATCAATATGTCGGGCTACACGTCTATACGATCTCTAATACGTCATCGATCGATACCCAATATTTTCCGCGGAATAATGAACTTCATGTTATGAATATTAGAATACAACACTCCGGAAGCTTTAGATTGGCAATGCGCGACACAACATGCAATACGATCGTACAAATGCCAGTTCGTAAATCATGCCTAATTTTGAAATGCCAACAAAAAAAACTGGCCACGAACCACGATATACAATTTTAAAAAGCCGTTGCGAATATTAAGGCGGTGCTAATATCGTATGTCAGATAAAGCATCGCCTTTGTTGGGGTTCTGAGATGATCATCGAAGATGCGCTGAATAATAATGTGAGAGCGCCTGGCAACAGTTGCAGCTATATTTTATACTTACATTGTCATTCTCATATAGTAGGCACTGCTGTATTCTTCGAGTCATTTTACCCATGTGTCATTTTCTAGTTCCATATCTACAGTACCACTTCTTACTACGAAATGAATGTTTGTTATTAAATTATTAAAAAAGTAAAATTCTAAATCTAATCTTGTTGAACCTTAGCATAGCTGGGAGGTCTCAATCTTCTATTAATATACTGCACCAACCAAACCGGAAACAAACTCAACAGTAAAATTACCGCAGTTTGCCAGAAATAATTCACCGATATAATATACTTCAAATCAAAATAATCTTGTAAAAATGGTATTGAACCGATATAGATCAAAAATGTAATTATAATGGTTGCAACCATGACTTTATTCCATTTATAAATCGATAATGCAACCATAATTAATTCATTATATATCAAACATCCAAATGATAATGTCACCATAGCTGTGAATTTATTTTCTTGCAATGTTTGAAAATATTGCGATAACAATTGAACGATTGACCCTTGGAATAATGAAATGAAGACCCACATGAAAAATGTCTTATATGATAAGGATTTCCCCAATGTCAATTCTTCATATAATTCAGGATATAATTTTGTTAAATGCTCATCAATATCACAATCTAAAGTTAATGAAAACACAGGGGCCATGGTATATATAGTCGAATATCCAACTAACAAAAACCCTTGATATAAAGCAATAGGTTCAAATCTGGAACTAATCGAATAAACAGCTTGTGCAACTGAAATTAACAAACCACGATGAATGACAAATTGTCCCAATTTGGCCGAACGCTTATAAGAATTTCTACCATGCCATAATAGCAATTTTGATAAATAACAAAATTGATCAATACTAAAATCAGCCGCCAATGAGGCTTGTTTACCTTCTTTACCTACAATACCAACCCCAACATCGGCACATTGAATCATGGAAACGTCATTACCTCCATCCCCAATACAACAAACTCTCTTACCGGTAATTTCTCTAATTATGATAGCAACATCTGCCTTTTGTTGTGGGGAACAACGACATGCGATGACTGCAGGTAACTTAATTACAACTTCAAAGAATTCATTCTTGTGATATTTCATATATGTAGCCAAGGATTCACCGTCGATTAATAAACAGGCATTGGTATTAATTTTCAAATATTCTAATTGATTTAGGGCCATTTCAGGATGGGATAATTTTGTAATTTCATGAACATACTGACCACGGGAAATCAATCTGGCGCTAATACTGACACATTTGGCAGTTTCAACTTTATCACCGGTCAACATCCAGATCTTTATCCCTGCATTTCTCAATAATTCAATTGATGTCTTTACATTATCCTGCAATTTATCTTCAACACCAGTCAATCCCAACAATTCTAAATCTTGTTCCAAATACTGATTCATGACTTTTAACATATTGACATCACGATCATACATTGACAAAGAAGCTTGAGTATATTTATTAACAAATTCTTCATATAAATGACTACTCAATTTCTTCTTTCCAATCACTAATGTACGTAATCCTTCACGAGCCATATTTCCAGTTTCTTCATCTAACCAATCATTCGCATTTACGATCTTGGACATGACTGTATCTGCTCCCTTTTCCATAAATACGATTTCATCACGTATTGGGTCTTTTACGATAATTCCCATTCGCTTGGTTTCGGAACTAAATGGGAAATTATATAAGATTTCAAAATTTATCAATTGATTGGAATGGACATGTAATAATGTAATTGAATGCCTGTCTCTTTTGTATAATTTCAATCCTACCAATTCACAAAACTTAACAATGGCAATTTCATCCGGTGATGCAGCTTGATAGGTGACTTCAGGAGTGCCACTGGCTTCAATTCCTTCTTCTTCTTCTTCATAAGTTGGGGTGACGTTATGACATAATGCCAAAGTCAAGACTAAGTCGCATACACGACTGTTTAAATCTCTCTTTTTGGACAATAGTGCGTTTGATCCAATTGGTTTTGAATCAAGATATGATAATAAATTATTCACATAATCAATTACAATATCAATAGTCTCACTAGAATAACTCACAGTCCCAAGATGTAATTTTTTCATTTCCATATCATTTTGAGTCAAAGTTCCAGTTTTATCACTTAATAAATATTCAATACGTCCTAAATCTTCAGGAATAGTTGATGTTCTGACAATTGTGTTTGCAATTTCTTGATCTTTTTCAATTTGGGATGCATAAACCGATTTTGCCAAATCTAAATTAACTCTCAAAGAAACTGGAATAATTGAACTAAATAAAATCAAGAATCTCATTATATCAATATACCAAGTCTTCTTTAATGGGAATCCACCAGCTAATACCAATACCACAGACAATATAAACACAACAAAACATAATATTTTAGAAAGATTGTTAATCTCCAATTCTAATAAACCAGTTTTGACTCCAGTCATGGTAGTATTCATGGCTTGTCTAGTTTCTATCCCGGTATATATTACCATTCCGATTGCTGTACCTGATGCTAATACAGTATTTGCCCATAATGTTTGATCAACAGTTAATGGGAAACTTTCATTTGCCACTAAGGATGCAGATGATGAAGGATGATACACTAATTTCCCATTAAAGGAATGAATTGATTTTGACGGATTACCAACAATCACCGATACTGAAGATATTAAACTAGCTACGCCATTCATTTTTTGTGTAACATTATTAGCGATTCTTAATTTCCAATCAGTTTCACCGTCTAATTGATCAGTTTTAATAAATGATTCCCCCATGGGGTCTGAAGATTGTAATAAGATCATATCCGCCGGTATTCTCACATCCTTATGCAATCTGACTAAATCACCAACCCTCAAACTTCTAGCGGGGATTAATCTAGTTTCATATGTTAAGGAATTGGGTGAATTTCTATTCAAGACTTCATATAATTCACTATTTTGTTCTTTATCACGACGCCTTCTGGAAATATCATCACCAGCTTCTTTCATCATTGTGACGGTTAAAACAAAAGCTAATGGGACGATATAGGATGACAAGTACCCTATTCTTAATTGTGGGACAATTTGAGATAATGCAACTATTAAAAAGTATAAATTAAAGAAAAATTTGAATTGTTCATATAAAATAATGGGTATGAATGTGATTGGATTATATTTGGCATTTGAAATTGCGTTTGTTGGATATATGTTATTTGCTTTCAAGTTTGTACTTTTGGCAGATATATATCGTTCACCAAAATCTTGATTATTTGTATTCGTTGTACCCACCGTAGCATTACTATTTCTTCTAAAATCAGATGCTCCAGTCAGCCTTAAACGTTCTTGATCCAATTCTCTTTTGGCAATATGAAACAAATTGATTGATCTACGAAGAAACCTCTTGAATCGGGAAGATACCGATCTGGCCGCTATGTTAAGGGAAGATGAGGACGATGATGTTGATAAATTATTATGACGATGATATGAATTATTAATTAAGGGGGAACTATCATCACTTATATTACCATCTTCGTCATCTGCTGAATGCAAGCTACTTAGTTGTATTGCATTTGGGGATGTAAATGAGCTATTTCTTGATTGATTGGGATTACTAAATAAATTATTGGCTGCACTATTCAAAGCTCTATCTAGAGAACTATCAAGATCTTCAAATGAGTCATCATCACGATCACTTAGTGTAAAGGAATATCGCCTAGACGATGATGCCATAATGGTATGTTAAGGGGAATAGCTATGGGTTGACTGTGTCGTATGGATATGACTGTTGGAATTGTTGTCAACTGTTTAGACTAATTTTTTTTAGCGGTGGTGATTCTAGATTGTAAGTAGTAGTGTACTTCGCAAAAACATCGCCACGAAGCGCTACCATCACTACTGTGAGCGTGAATTAGGTAACGGGGATACACCCAGTTTATAAATATGGCACTTCTTTTGAAGCAAGCCGTTAATATCGCCACTTGAGACTAATGTGACAATAAATGATAAGAAAGTATCTGACATCAAACCACAAAGTATAGGAAAAGTTAAGACGCAAAATGGGGCAATGGTAATAGAATCGACAAATACATCAAGGATCAGGTTATACGCAGCTTGAAATGGTTTGATAAACTACAGGTTATAACATATTACATAGCTAAATACAATTGGATCATTAAATAACACTCTTGGTCAGTAGTACCTGAGTCAGATCTCACTGAATGGTTTACTACACAACAAGTGGGGTGGAAAATGGATTCTTTTCATTGACAGTTCAATTTAAAGTGTATTCTCCCACAACATTAGGTTGGAATTGTTTATAAAGAACAAACCCACTTTTAAAGTTTTTCATTCTATTGCCCATTGTCTCCTTATCAATTAGTAAGAAGCCACATGGATTATCTACAGATAATTTATGCCTGCATATAAACAAGGCAGTGTGGAACTGTTTTTCTTGTGTCTTTTATAAGGAGCATAATGCACCCATTAGCGCCGTTTGACTCATTCACATTTCTTTTTATTGAAATTTCATTACCAAGATACAGATTCAACAACAACCACTTAAACCCATATCACAATGCTGCTAAAACCAACATCAACATTGTTATTTTCCTCAGATGACGATTCTCAAGAATTATTGGCAGTTGACGCCGCAGCTGCTTCTACCAGAGCATCCCCAGTACCCCATCGAGGAGGATCTTCATCGAATGAAAACCGCCATCATTATTTAGATAAATTGTCACAATTATCCCAGCAGCAATATCAATCAACCGATACAACATGGAAGAAACTCCAACAATTCTTAAAAATCAACTTATTAGGATACCGTAATGAATTTGAAAAATATGTGATAAATAATGAACCCAGCGATTGTTCATTAATCGCCAAATATAGCAAAATTACTGAGATCGACTTATCAAGACAACCAACTATCTCTACTAATTCCGTGATTTTAAATACCTTACACATACCGCACCCAATCGTCAACTTTATGAGAAATGAAGCCAATCAAAAAGCAGCAGATGAATTAAATATCCTGAAAGAATTACAAGAATCACCTATATTGGTGTTCATACACGGTATGGGAGGACAAATGTCTCAATTTGAACCACTTATGGGTTTATTATCTCAATGCTCGGAAATTCTTTCTTTGGATTTGCCTGGGTTTGGGAATTCTAAAATTGAATTTAACGATAAATATAAGATAATCTCAGAAATATCCGAAGAGGACAAGCTTAAAGTCTCAAACAGTATAAAACGATTATCATGGGATGATTTTACCTCAGACAATGTCGCAAATATAATTTATGAATTTATAATTCAACAAATTCCTCAAGATAAGAAAATTGTCTTGATTGGTCATTCAATGGGTACACATTTATCGATTAAGGTTGGGAAAAAGTTGCCCAAGCATAAGATTGAAGGATTAATATTATTATCACCACCTGGTTTGCACGATGATATCCATGTACAACACCCTAGTGAGAAACACCAATTTAATATTCTTCACTTGTTTCAAATGTTTAAGTACACACCTTGGATCTTTGATTATTTTAGACTGTGGGATAGATTAGAAGGTTTACAGAGTGAGAGTGTTACTAGACAACTAACTAGAGAAGGTACAAATACTACCATATACAATAAATTACGTCAATTAAGATGGAATCTAGATATTGATTCGACAATAGTCTTAAAATACGCAAAGGGATTCAAAAAGGCAGCATTATCTGACTTAGTATCAGTGATTGATAAGTTCAATGACAATCCACAAGATAAACATACCTACGAGAAAACTTTATTAATCTGTGGAACCAACGATCAAATCACCCCCATAGAAGGAATATACCAAATTGATAAGTTCTTAACAACTACCTTCCAAAATCGAAAAGTATCCTCCACTATAGAAATCAAAGATGTAGGTCACTCTTTGTTATTAATCAAACCAGAATATATTTGTGGAATGATCTTGAATCATATCGAATCCAAATTCCCACAACGATTACATTTATCTCCTTCTTGGGTCTTACAAAAGAAAGCTTTAATCTCAGGCGATAAATGGGGATTAAAAAACGAATTAAAATGGCAACTGTTAAAACCAATCTCCGATAATATAACCAGAAGGAACGGGCAGGAAATCGCACCATTGCTAGGTATGAAAACTTTACGAGAGGGCGATGAAACTCATTCTCCAATTATCCTAGAATCACAATTCTATTCTAATAACAACGAAAAGAATTCCTCCCAAACACCTCAGGGAAACCTAATCGCAATCATAGATATATCGGCCGATATACCACCCTACAATCCAAAATCATTCAACATAATAAAATATTACAAATGCGCAACCGTATCCAAAGTCACTCCTGACCAAGTTGCAATCCGAAGATTTATTCAATTGGTAGACGATATACTCTCCTCAACCGATGTGGAAAATCCATTAATTGCCGTACATTGTCATTATGGATTCAATCGTACTGGATTCTTGATTTGTTGTTATTTGATAGAAGAATTAGGTTGGTCAGTACAGGAGGCAGTTGAAGGGTTTAAGGTTGCCAAACCACCTGGAATTAAGCATCCTCATTTTATTGATGCGTTGTATGTTAGATATGAAAATAATAATTAGAGCCTAGATGTATGTATTGGTTACAAATGGAATGTTAATTCAATTTACCGTAGAATGCTGTAGTCAGTAATGTTTCTCTTTTCCTGTGGGGTATTGGTTGACCATAGCAATGCAACTGGCACCTGGAAAGTAAACTCAGTCAATTTCCTGGGCTGGGTATTGTCTGATGTTTACTAGTTTTGTATCTCGACCATTTAAAGAACCATATGCCTTCTCTATAATTCACCTAAACATGTTATACTTCGATCTCTCCTTTTTACTGGAGCTAGACCGAGTACGGTCTCCGAGATTAGATTTCATTATAAATTTGCACTTTTGCAACCTTACGATGCACATTGGAGAGGTGGGATGCAACAAAACATAATCTTTTGGAATTACGAAAAAAACAAACTTTTATATTTTGCAGCTTTTACATCAATGTCACGTTTTGGTATTAAGTTCTTTCAAGTCCGGTCCCCGCAAGTCGTCAATCTTTTTATCTAGGGGGGGCACGTTATAGAGTTAGCATATTATCGACTATGGCTAATGCTGCTTTATTACATGGTAGTTGGAATAAACTGTCTACATGCGAACACCACCAACCATTTAGACGTTGTGGGATGTATATGACACTGCTCTTCATCTTTTTATGAACTTCAATGATATTGGAAACAAGTGGTTAGGTAGTATTGAAACGGGAAAGCAAGCACAGACGGGGACTTGCTGGTTAAACTAAAGATGATGTCACTAAGAGCAAAAATGTGGATGCTCAATGTGTGACCTGATTAATCGTACAGATGTTGGACATAACACTTTCCGATATCGTTGTGAAGAAGAGCCAACCTTGAGGCTGAGTGGTATAGGGGTAAAATCATAGATGAATTAGATCTAACAGAATTATGCATGAATTCGCGTGGAAAATGATCATACGTTGAATGATAACCAACCATACTCTGACATGTAACTAATGATTTACAATGCAGTATAAGATAACTGAATGTTTGCCGGTATCATAACTGAACTACATGGGTTTTTCTTCGAACATAATCCAAGAAATATTGGGCACTCGAAGCAGCCCCGTTTCATATCTACTCAAAGTACAGAATCTCCTCTTTTATGTAACTCTAATTTAGTATATCTCCACATTGTGTGTCCTCACAACACCGACCCTCTTTTTCTGGGTTATGTGACTCCATTAATCTTACATACATGTTCCTTTTCGTGTAACCAGTTGATCAATAATTGGGGCTCCACCGAATGTGTTTAATGTGGAGAATGAACTAGTGAATATTCTTTCGGAGTTTTTCGCCAAGACAACAATGCTGTAATTCGTAGTTTTAATTTAAAATAAACTTTCGATTCAATTCCAAGTTAGCCCATTATGCATAGTATCGAATTATAAGCTTTTGCTTTGAGATATTATCTGACCCTGTTAGAATGGTCAGAAGAATGAGTCTTGGTCTGTAGCCAAAGAAATCAGTTGTGTCAATAAATTACACAAAAGGAGGTAGCCTTTGTTTGAATTAAAAACCTAGATGAAAGTAAGGGATTCAACAGATCTGTAATTATACCTACAACCCCACAAAATAATCTATTAATCGAATGATTAAATGCATAGGTTTTTGTGTATGATTAAGCATATCGTTATTAATTCAGAAATGTATGATGTGACTATCTATTTGTGGGGATAAGTGTGGAGTTCCATTGTGTTTGTTATCATCTTTGCTGGTGTTGCTAGTTCAAAATAGGAAATTAACACGAGGTGCATTAAGAATGCACAATGGTAAAATTTTAGTTTGTTTAATTGGTTTATTTCTCCTCCAATATCAGCCTTTGATTAATATATAAATGGGTCCAATTCCCCTTAGACTTGGGAGTTCCTGTTCTGGAGTTTCTTCCTCCTCACGCACAACATAAATTGCAACTTGTTAGTATAGTTATTAAAATAAATTAAAATGTTCGACTCTCCAAAGAAATACTTGACAAAGAACTATATGTCCAAGAAATACATGCCAGATGTAAACATGGCCTACGGTGGTTCCAGGAAAGAAAAAAAAGACAACTATATCATTGACTATTTATGTTCAGTGAGTAGATAAGCTTATCGGTGTAGAGTTATGATGATGGTATTGCTTGCATAGAAATCTCCTATGGTACAGATTGAGATACAATATGTATAGTTTCAAATTTTGATTAATATACGTTTATACTTTTTTATATGTCTTTTTAGAATTCAATTAATGAGTTTTATATTTATTAACAATCATCGAGATTACTGTAGATTAAGGACAGCCGTGATAAATTCGTTAATAATAATTCCATTCGGAGGGCTATTTCACACTGTCCGGTTGGATCGTTATAAGCAGATACTACGGAAGTGATTCAAACTTATAATCTTCATTGAAGTTCTAATCTCTGTTTGTGGGGTTCCAATAGATATTATAATTTCATAGAAATCACCCATCATTTAGAAGATGGATCGTAGGATATCTATCTAAGTCAATTAAAGTCGTGCTCCTTCCTGCGTACTTTTGATTGAGCTAGAACAAATGTCGCAGTTAATCTGTATTCAAATTCTGGGGTATTGTGTGAAGAAAAGAGTGAGGGAATAGATACACAAAAAATATTGGGGGTTTCTTTTGCAGCCATTAGGTGTCTCCAATTTTGGTTTATTTCTTAGGAATGGGGGGATTAACCAAAAGTAAGTTTGGTTGCTATGACGCTTCACGTAAATATATCATCTGTATTCTGCCTGTGAGGTAACGCGTATTTTATGTTGTAATTACTAAAAGGTAACTTTATTGATTGACTAATGATATAGTGTACAAAGTTGTCTCAATTGAAAAGATTTGGCCTCTAAGTGTCTTGATCCGTTCTGGTAATTGAGTATGAATATAGTTTTACAAAGTAAATACTTATAACTCACAAAATATAATAATAACTGAATTAATTAAATATAAAAGGAATAAGTATAAAACTTAAAATAAAAGTTCTGAAACATCGGAATATAAATAATGTTTCATTTCATAGAAAATATAAAATATAAAAATCACGTGACAGAAAGTTCACGTTTCATAAAAAATGATAAACATCACCTGCCCGTAATTCGAATCTTGCCAAGTTCCAGAACTTCGATATGGTTGGTTGGGGCAAACCAGCTTAGTTAGCCCAGTATCATTTTTTACGTCTCTAGGACATCTATAAAAGCGTATGTCTAGAAGTACTTAGGGAAATGGACTGGGAAGCAGATCCTAGAGTTTAGCTTTATACTAGTTGAGGATTTTGTTAACATTGCCTATATTTGAGTGCCTCGTAACGAAATCCAATATACTTGTATATTAATATGTCTTCTATACCAAATATGATTAGTAGAAATCCTTAAAGAGGCTGGCGTCAGCCAATTGCTTTGTTTGCGGGTTATAAGCGGGATTTTCTGTTATTGTGGGAAAGTCACCAAACTGATATTTTGCTGTTTAAGGATCGTGTGACTAATTGTGCTCCTCGCTAATATTTTGAGTCCCGTAAATCAAACAATGAATTTCTTCGAATTGCTTTGATCTATTTCATCTGTTTCGATTGGATTACTAAGAGTTTCTATTAGTTTTAGAAGCAAGCTTAGTGGTGAAGGTAATATATTGCAATTAGTGATCAGTGTTAAAGTAACTCGTGTGACCGTATTAAAGTGATGCTGCCGGGTGTAGTGTGGGGTGTACTCATAACCGTTTGTTTTGTACAGGATAATGGATCACCAATATGCCATGGGGTATGTGACAAATATGAATTTATACAAGAAACAAGTTTGGGGAAGTGATTGTCAAACGGTTGCGGTTAGATACAGAAAATAGCACTAACTACTATCTTTACTAGAAAATAATTAGAGTGTATTACGATGGTACTTTATAATAATGATTCATTTGGCAACTGCGATAAAAAAAAATAATTTAGTGATGCAATTTAATTTTTTCAGCGCTTAATTAGATTTGTTAATTTATTTATTATAAACCCGTGGTTCGAGTGATTGCTTTAATTTTTTTAAACTTTTCTTATAATTTTTTATTTTTATTTTTGCTTTTTTCTTCAATAATAACTTTTGAAATTTCCATTTTTAAATCTTCAATTTTGTATAAACTTTCGCTTTTAGATATTTATCTATCTTTGTATTCCATCGCTACAACTTCTGGTGAGGTGAAAGAGTTAAGCTTAAGTAGTTACTGATGAAATTTGCTGAATCATTAAGTGAAGGATTAGTACCTGAATGGCAAGATCAATATGTTGATTATAAACAGGGGAAAAAGTTAATTAAATCATTATTAGCTTATCGTGAACAAGAAAATGCTATTAGAAGACCATCTGAAGGGAATCTAGATACTACTCCATTGTTAGAAGCACAAACTGAATCAGAAAATAATACAGGACAACCACATACACAATATGTAACCGATGAAATCCCCCCTCTGATAAGTAGGGGTGATTCTAGTCAAAGTTCAAGATGGCTGCAATTACCTAGAGCAAGACGTCCGTCGATTTTTACTTCTATGAGATCATTCAGTCTTAAACGAGATGATAAAGAGAATGATAGCGATGAGGATGCAATGGAAGGAACAGAAGAGGATAAATTTAATAAATGGTTAGATCAAGAAGTAAAGAAAGTCAATAAATTCTTTATTGAAAAAGAACAAGATATTTATGAACGATTTTTATTACTTCAAGATCAATTGTATCAATTAAGAGATCATAAGTTACATATTATAAAAGAGAAACTGTTACCCCTGTTAGCATCCAGTCCAACTTCTGATCATCCAAAAAATGTATTATTATCTGAAAGAGTAGCAAATATACAAACCAGATTTGCATTAGCTGGAATAGGTCAATTTGAATTCCCAAGTCTACCTTCAATGACATTCTGGCATAAATTAACCCAAAAGAATAAACAAAAATCAAATTCAAGTATTGCATTACATAGACAAAAAGAACCAACCGATATTAATTATCTTGAAAATAGAATTAGAAATGGAGTAATAGATCTCTCTCCATACTCCGGAGCTGAAGACCAGTTGTCTTCAGCAACAGAATCAGAAGAAGATTTAGGTATACCTTCCCGATCTCCACCGCCACAAACCGAAGAACAATTAAGAACGACACAAAGACGTGATTATACAGTGAAAAAACATCATTTCGGAGTTCCATACCTCCATGCCCGTCGACAATTGAAAGATGCCTTATTAGAACATTATCGAGCATTAGCATTATTAAGAGCATACAAAACCTTGAACCGTACAGCTTTCCGAAAAATCACCAAAAAATTCGATAAAGCCATGAAAAATACCAATGTAATGACACAATTCTTAAACAAAATAGATAATGAAGAATATTTCCTAACCAGTGATTTAGTTGATAAATTGATTTCTCATGTTGAAGAATTATATCTTGCATTTTTTGATCCTAGTTCAACTGATCGAAAACATTCACTTGAAAAATTAAAAAGTATTGCCTATGCTTTAAATGCTTCAGAAATGAGACCAAAACAATATTATACTGAGTTTTTCTTTAGTGGATGGTTTATTGGATTCGGAATCCCATTGTTTACATTTGCATTATATATTGCCCTTTCTAAAACCATAAACGGGTTATTACCAGAAGGGAGATATTTATTACAAATATGGGCCGGGTTTTTCTTATTAAATCTTGCATTTCTATTATTTGGAATCAATATGATCATATTCGATAGATGTAAAATCAATTATAAATTCATTTTTGAATTTGATATGGCTACTGTTTTGAATTATAGACAATATTGGGTATTGCCAAGTTTTGGATTCATGTTATTAAGTCTTATTGGTTGGTTTAGTTTTAATAACTTCTGGCCTAATCAATTCGATGGCCGTGATTGGCCATGGATATATCTTGCTACAATGGTTATAATATTCATCTGGCCCGGAAAACAATTTTATCATCATAGTCGAAAATGGTTACAAATCGCCCTTTGGAGAATTTTATTCTCGGGGTTTTATCCAGTTGAATTCCGGGATTTCTTTTTGGGTGATATAATATGTTCATTAACTTATACCATGGGTAATTTATCATTTTATTTTTGTTTATATTCGCATCATTGGAATGGAAGTTTATCGGATAACCTTGGCATGCATAATGTTTGTGGAAGTTCGAAATCTAGATTAATGGGATTTTTCAGTACTTTACCAAGTATTTGGCGGTTCTTGCAATGTCTTCGAAGATATATGGATACTGGAGATTGGTTTCCTCATTTAGCTAATATGGCGAAATATTGTTTAAGTGCCACGTATTATATCACTTTGAGTATATATCGTATTGATCGGATCCGAGAAAATAAATGGGTGTTTATATGTTTTGCGATGATGAATTCGATTTATTGTTCAATTTGGGATATATTAATGGATTGGTCATTAATGCAACCACATCTGAAGAATTATTTATTAAGAGATCATTTATTTTATAAAAAACCAGGATTTTATTATACGGCCATGATTGTGGATGTTATTTTAAGATTTCAATGGGTTTTTTATGCATTTTTCAATAATCAAATTCAACAATCTCAAGTTACAAGTTTTGGAATTGCATTTGCAGAAATTATAAGAAGATTTATTTGGATTTTTTTTAGAATGGAAAATGAACATTGTACAAATGTAACTTTATTCCGAGCATCAAAGGATACTCCATTACCTTATGCGATAAGTTATAAAGTTGAAAAAGCAATTAAACAATTAGTTGAATTGAAATATAGAAAATATGCCGATTCTACACTTTTTGAAGATACTCAAGTAGATTATGAACCTGTCACAGGCACTGTCCCTGAACAAGAATATCAATATGAAGAGCCAGAAACCATTCCATACAGACCAACCCATGCCACAGGAAGACAACATCATTTGGATGAAGAACAATCAATCGATTCAAGTCTTGCCGAATTACCTAGATTACAAAGGAGAAAATCAGCATTCCAGGCACTTAGTGAACATATCCCTCATGCTCATATTAAAGATTTCCAAAGAAGAAGAACATATGTTGGAGTGGATGAAGATAGTGATGAAGATGAATATGACGATGATAGTTTACATCCACATCCAAGTAATCGGAGGAATCCCAGTGATGGAGAATTGTCTATGGTACTGGAGTAGACTATACAATATGTAGATTTATATATCCCCAATTTTAATTAGAGATTAATTACTATTTATTATTTTATTTTAATTGTATGTAATCGCGCAATTGCGTTTTTCAAATTTTGCAACCAAAGAATAATTAATTTTCACACGACTCTTTAATCAAAGCAGCAATCCGGACCACCGGTACCGGCGCTCTTGTAAAACCGTTCAATTGATGAAGATGTCTTACTCAATTGGAAAATGAGAAGAAAGTTGAAAAGCGGAATCTTCCTAAATGTAAACCCGAGCAACTCTAATCTCACCGGCATCAACATCTGCTGTTTGCTACCCGATGTATGACTCACGGAAATATGTTATGGATATATTTGCTCATCATAGATTTAATTTTTTCGTTGATGAAATTTCAGTCTTCTACCAAAATCCGACCAATAGAAAAACTATCTTATCTAATACAAACCCATCCCCGATATCTTTTCACTACTACAATACTATATTACACATGTCCGATTTATTCAAACCAATTAGTGAAAACCTCCAATCAACACCCACATCCCAAACCAACCCCTATGGTCCCAACCCCGCCGATTTTCTTTCCAATGTCGGTAGTTTCCAACTCATAGAATCCACTCTTCGTGAAGGTGAACAATTCGCCAATGCCTTTTTCTCCACCGAGACAAAAATCGAAATTGCAAAAGCATTAGATGATTTCGGAGTGGATTATATCGAATTAACATCTCCTGTTGCTTCTGAACAATCACGTCGTGATTGTGAGGCGATATGTAAATTAGGTTTAAAAGCCAAGATTTTGACTCATATTAGGTGTCATATGGATGATGCTAGGGTTGCTGTAGAGACTGGGGTTGATGGGGTTGATGTTGTGATTGGGACTTCTCAATTTTTGAGAAAATTTAGTCATGGTAAAGATATGAATTATATTGCTCAGAGTGCAATTGAAGTTATTGAATTTGTTAAAAGTAAAGGAATTGAAATTCGTTTTAGTAGTGAAGATTCATTTAGAAGTGATTTAGTTGATTTATTGAATATTTATCGTACTGTTGATAAAATTGGGGTTAATCGTGTTGGGATTGCTGATACTGTAGGTTGTGCCAATCCGAGACAGGTTTATGAATTGGTTAGAACTTTGAAATCAGTGGTTAATTGTGATATTGAATGTCATTTCCATAATGATACTGGATGTGCAATTGCAAATGCATATACAGCATTAGAAGGTGGGGCAAAATTGATTGATGTTAGTGTTTTGGGAATTGGTGAACGTAATGGTATTACTCCATTAGGTGGATTAATGGCAAGAATGATTGCTGCTGATCGTGATTATGTTTTAAGTAAATATAAAGTTCATAAATTAAGAGATATTGAAAATTTAGTTGCTGAAGCTGTACAAGTTAATATCCCTTTCAATAATCCAATTACTGGGTTTTGTGCTTTTACTCATAAAGCTGGTATTCATGCTAAAGCTATTTTGGCCAATCCTTCAACTTATGAAATTTTAAGTCCTGCAGATTTTGGTTTAACTAGATATATTCATTTTGCTAATAGATTAACTGGTTGGAATGCAATTAAATCAAGAGTTGATCAATTGAATTTACATTTAACTGATGAACAATGTAAAGAAGTTACAAATAAGATTAAGAAATTAGGAGATGTTAGACAATTGAATATTGATGATGTTGATTCGATAATTAAGGATTTCCATGCGGATGTTTCAACTCCATTAGTTAAACCTGTTAGTGGATTACCAAAAGTTCCTCATATATTAGAAGGATTAGATGAATCTGAAGAAAAGAGATTAAAACAGTAAACCCGTTGAGTTCGTTTGTTATTATTTGTGTATTTTCTATATAATTATTAGTGTAAAATTTAAGTTGATGTTGTTACGCCTGTCGTTCCACCTGTTGGGTTTGTAATTGGAATCTTTTCAATTGGTATATTGATATTCTTTAATAATAAACACATTGACATAATACCAAATAAAATACTCATAGTCATACATATTTTGAATGACTTAAAGTTCTTACCGGAGTTAATAGAAACTCCTTGATTATAATCATTTAAATAAATGACTATAGCGGCTGACAAATTAATAAGTGAAATTATTGTAAATATTAACTCAAAATTAGTGTACATTTTGTAATTGTAATAGTTGTCGTTGTAAAATGGTAGCGGTCCAGAAAGAAGTATAAATAGGTCTAAGTAGTGGTTGTCGTTATAAATATAAGTATTATTATTAAGNTAGCGGTCCAGAAAGAAGTATAAATAGGTCTAAGTAGTGGTTGTCGTTATAAATATAAGTATTATTATTAAGTTATGGTTCGTATCGATCAAATGTAATCTAGAATGTCATAAAGACAGTTTATGTTGTAAGTCTAAGTTAGTTTTAAAGTAAAATGTGTTCTGCGTATATGGTTGATTACATTTGTTGGTTGTTAAAGGGGGTAGATTCGTTTTGTGATGGCAGTTGCAATGATGGGGGGTTGTGAGGGGCGATGGATTTTTTTGTATGTGGATCCAAAGCGATGAAGACAGCAATCTAAGTATAAGACTGTTGAAGACGACTTAACTAAGTTAAAATGGATAAAATGGAAAGGAAATGAATAAAAGTTAAAAAGAAAGCAGTTGAAAAAAGTATCATTGAAAAAGATCAAGAAGAAGGAGGAAAGCCAAGCCGCGGGAAGAGAGGAAGAGTGAATTAGAGACAGAAAGACAATTGAAATTAATTAAGAGCCGATACATTTTACCTTTTTGTAATTAATTGTATTGTTTTAAAGCCCATTTTATGTAAGCCTTGTTAAATAACGTTTCTAAGGGGAGATGATATGAATTGAAAGAATTCATTCCTCTTTTACTTCGACCAAGCAGGTAAACTAATTGGAAGAAGTTCATAAAGTAGCTTCATTAAATCATAACCAAATAAATTCATGGAAAATATTAAAAATTAAAATTAAAAAAAAAGAAACCCCAATCTTTATTTGTTGAAAATTACCGTTGCACATTCAGTTAGCCACGTTTTCCTCTTTATAAATGCGTAACGCCAATTCTTACACTTTTATGTAATTAAATTGCTATTCGGCTTTTGTTACTTACATATTCATTGCCATCAATCTACACCATCATTGGTGTGTTGTAATTAATGGGGTTAAGACTTTTATGAAATTCAACTCTCCAAGAGATATCTGAGACATTGTTTCGTTTATACTTAATGCTGCAGAAAATTATTTTTAAATTTATTTCCCTTTATATTCCTAATTAGTACAATCCTCACACGATTAAAGCCACTTTTTTTACATATTTACGATTATGTAATCACAGTTACTATGATTATGTAATCATACGATACTGCATATACAGTTTTTTTTTCGCTCTACTCTTCTCTCTGTCTGCTCTGGTCTACACCTCATCACGGTTAAAACTCATCACAGTGCTATAGGGATATAAAAGGTTAAGACGAGCTACTAGGATATACATTATGGCTGCTACAAATACTCCAAACAATAAGAAACCAAATAGAAGAAGTAGGAAGAAGAGAAGAACCCAAGATTTCTCCTCATCTGAAGAATCTTCGTCTTCTTCGTCATCATCAGAAGCTGAATCTGATGCAGAAATTGAATTAGATCAACCATCGTTAAACAATAACGACAATAATAAGAACATAAACATAGACGACATAGATATCGATTCAGATAATGAAACATCAAACAATAGAAGAATACCCGAAAACTTGTCAATACAACAAAAACAACAATTACAATCTGTTCCATTTACAACAACACCAGTATCTAATTTTACCACTACTTCCATAGCCACCACTAAGAATATTCCAAATGCAAATAATATAAATAATCAACTTGATCAAACTAAAACAGAATTAAATAATCGATATTTAAAATTAATGGCAATGGAATTTGAAAATGATTTAGATGAATTAAGAAAAAAACCTGATTTTAATGAAAATTCTTTAGTATTATTAGCAAAAACTTTACAATCAGGTGTAAATATGTTTGATCCTGATAGTTTAAATGCATTATTGGGATAATGAGCTATAATCAATTCCGATAAATACGTACCGTGTATAATAGGAGTATGTTTGTATAATAGATAAATGCCATTAAGGCGAATTGCAACCGAAGAATACGGACTCCACTTGACAGCTGCATGGAGTATCGCGACAAAGAACCCGTCTATAGTTGAAAATATTTCATTGTAATAGAGGTCATGCTCATAATTTTCATTCCGTAGTTCCCAGTTTCTCCTATCATCGGTCTAGAATCGACACAAAGTTAGCTTAATCGATACTAACTCTCAAAGACACATGTTGCTAGAGAACAAATCATTGTAGTAACGCATGTTAAGCTCTTTTGCTAGTAACACGCGTTAAGTTTTTCGATTTGCCTAGAACTAAGAATTTTTTTTTCGCTCTCCTTTACACTACTCATTTAACAACCAGTACCTTTATCAATTTCACCCCACGTTGTACGAGAGGGAATTGTTTGTTTATACAAATTACTGCTCAACGTTTTCATAAATTATTGAAACAATCTCAGCATGGCTTGCGTTGTCATTGACATCTGTCGCCAAATGATTTAGCCATCCAAAGATCTGAATGACTAAGTCCTAGTGTGACGTCATTATAATCTATTGTTCTTGGAATTCTTTTTGTGTGTCGTAAATTTATTTCACCCTTTCCTCTAATTCTCTACTCCCCTCGATAAAAATATAAATTCATTTTTATGTTTTTCCCCTTTTCATCTTCTTTTCAAATTCAACAACAATTCATATTGATAAATAACCTTGACATTTCTTTAATACTTTTTATAGATTAACTAATATTACAAGTATACAGATTATAGACATAAACAGATTAATTTATAAATTATGTCATTGTCTACAACACCTACAGTAGATACCGGACAAGACCCACAACCAGATGATAATGAATCTACTCATTTACTTCGCAACCAAAGTGAAACTCCTAGTCATGGATCTATTAATGATGAACCTACAAAATACGTATTAAATAAATCTTCATCTTCTCAAGAAGATGAAAACCAGATGAAACCAGTTGGTGACGATGCCGATGAGGACGACGCGGATGGATTTTTACAACCGACTTCCACACTTTCCGACCCGGAATTTTATACTGCCAGATCTCCTCCACCAGATCAACAACCACTTATGTATGACCCAGACTCTCAACAAGAGAATCCTAATTCCAACCAACCTCGGATTCATAATGACGACGAAAGCGATTATGAAATAAATGACGATGATGATAATATGAGTAAGATTGTCAAATTTGCAAAAAGACCAAGCTTTATATGGATATGTACATTGGGAATACTAGCTTTCATAATAATGCAATTAACTTTCCTCCCAAGAACATCACTTGCTAGAGATTATAGAAGATGGCATGGGATTCATTTAACTAAATCGGATGTTAAACGACGTTTTTTACAAATGGCCGGAATTGGGAATTCTCATAATAGTTTAACTACTGAAGAATATATTGATAATTGGTTAAGTAATTTCACTAATATAAATTCAAAACATGCTACAAATATGATAAGTGATGATAATTTGGAATTGTTGGGATATGTTGAGAATCAATTCAAGGGGTTTGGATTCAAGACTGAATTATTTAATTATGATGTACCGAATGGAGTTCATTTGAATGAACCAAAAGGGTCTAGTTTAAGATTGATTGATAAAAATAATGGACAAGTGATTTATTCCCCATTGTGTGTTGAACCAGGATTTGAAACCCCGGCGTTTTATGCCATGGGAAGAAATGGAAGTGTGATTGGGGAATATATATTCGTGAATGAAGGTACACCCAAGGATTATTCATTGTTATCAAAACATGGGATTGAAGTCCAGGGCAAAATTGTCATAGTTTGTAGTAAGAATTATGATTCTAAAAATATAACCATTGCTGAAAAAGTCAGTATTGCGGAATATAATGGAGCAATTGGATTTATAAATTATTTCGATTTCCCCAAATCATCCAAAAATAATATCGAGAATGAATCAAGATTAAATGTGGCAATTTCAAGAGATTTCATATTTGAAAATTGTAAAATCCCAGCTATTCCAATAAGTAAGAAAATTATTAAACCTATTTTGGAAACTTTATCTACTGAAACTTCTTCAAAATTCGCTAATTGGGAATATTCCCCCTATGTTTCCAATTCACCTATTCAATTAGAATTAAACTCCACATTTTCGTCCCAAAAGCGGAAATTAACAAACATAGTCGCATCAATAAAAGGAATAATGAACGATGCAGATGTTATTATCGGGGCCAGAAGAGATTCATATACTTCTTCCAACCCATTATCTGGCCATGCCATTCTTTTGGAAATTATGAGAAATTATCAAAGATTAGTTAAATTAGGTTGGAAACCATTACGTAATATCATATTTATTTCCTGGGATGGATCAATTTCAAATAATATTGGAGCGAAATTATTTATGGAAGATAAAGAAGTATTTAACCCCAAGAGATCAGTGGTAGCATATATAAATATTGATGGGGATGCGGTTATGGGGAGTAAGTTTACGGTGGATGCACATCCTATGTTACTGGAATTGTTAAGGTATACTGCGAAGTTTATCCCAATTCCTACTGAGGCTACTTGTGTCAAGACTTTGAGTAATGTGTTTGAAAAGGATGATCAGCATGCCAAGGACGATGATGATGATGATGACGATGATGGCGATGATGGATATACTACTTTACACAAATATTGGATGAAACAAGATAATGCTACTATTAATCATATATTGGGATTACCGATTGTCAATACTGAATCAATGATATTTCAACAACATTTAAGTGTACCTACCATCAATCTTAAATTCAGCAATGATCCAAAGAGAGATAAATCATTATACATCCCTAATTCTAATTATTATTCTCGTGATTGGTTAGTCAAACGAGAAATCGATGATGAATTGTTATTACATGGTCTGATGATTCGATTTATTGGATTGTTGGCTATATCTTTAAGTGAACATGAAGTGGTTGATTATAAGACCCATAGTTATTTCAAACATATTGGAAAGTTTTTCCAACAATTTAAAGATGGGAATGAAAACACCATAATTGGATGGAAGGATCAGCTTATCCCAAATTATTTAATTGGAAAATCGAATATTTTATCAGATATGAATATGGATAAGATTTCATTTGGTAGTTTGATAAATGAAGTAACTACCCTTATTTCCAAAACAATTGATCAATCACAAATCTTTGATGATTGGAATTATCATGTTGAAGAAGGTTTGACTCAAGATTATCCTTGGTATATGTACTATAAAAAATTACAACATTTTGCCCAATTTAAAGTCTCGAATTATAAATTATCTCATCTAGATCGAGATTTGAAATTGAATTCACATGATTATAATACATATTTGAATAAAGATCGTCCAACCGAAATCGCACCTCGTCAGATGTTGTTGTCCTTATCTATGAAAGAACAACATAAGAAGAAACAACCATATTATTATGATTCGATAATATATGGAACTCCGGATTTTACTCCTGATGTAGGTGAGGATTTCTTCAGGTCGAAATTGAATGCAAGTACGTTTACGAATTTACATAAGGTTGTTGGTGAAGAAGATTTTGAAATGAGTGTTAAATGGTTAATTTTGATCTATGAGAAGTTTAGAAGTTTGAATTATAAGATGACGTAATATGGTCAATAGGGAGTATTGACTGATAGAGGTAATTACGAATAGGGGAGGTTTGTATAGAAGGTTGGGGTTTTTTTAATGAGATTATGATTTTATGTTTTATTACTTTAATTTTTTTATTTAGGAGTTTATAAAGTTTTAATTTGAATGTTTGTATTTTTTGGCAGCCAAAAAAAAAAGACAGCATCGATTTTTTTGCAACCAAAGTTTGTCTTAAACAAACAGAGGTAGGGGGGATGAAAGAATGACAACCAGAATCAATAGTTGTTTCTATTTATAGTTCTCTTTCTCTTGCCATGTAGAGGAGCCTGAAGAGGACCAATCAGACGATGGAAGCTATTCAAGATAAAGCAAGTGGATTACATACAGCTTGGATGTTATCCATCCTTGGATCAAAACAAAAAGTTCAAAAGAAAGATTTAGTCAATACTTCCATTCCTGAATTATGTGACGAATTAACCAGAATATCAAATGAACAAAACTTCAGATATTCTTCAAGAATTCTTCATGGGATATCCATAATCTATAAATCAAAAGTCAATTATTTCTTAAATGATTCGATTTATATTCTGACTAGATTATTGAGTATGAATAAATTGGCTAATTTCACTACCATGGAGGTGAATATACATACTGGACAAATCATTCCTCAGAAGAGAACATTGGATAATGATCCAGGGTTTAATATCGAACACGATTTAGTCCCGCCACTACCAGATGGTGATGAAGATGTATTGGAAGAACGGGTAACTAGGAGACGATTGGAGATCCAAAGAAATGATTTGGAACTCTTTCCAGATATTTCGGTTGACGGTAACAATTCAGCTTTCAATAATGAAACTTCGACTTTTGCACTCTATGTTTCTAGACAAAGCACGGATGAAGATGAAGGGATACATGGATATTTCGAACGGTCTTTGGATATAACTATGAATCTGGCTGATTTTGAGTTCAATCTGGAAGGTGAAATTATCGATAATGGTGTTGAAGAAGCTCAAGAAATTCAGGATATTGAATTAGATCTAGATCTTTCAGATCCTAATCATCATGATGATAATGTGAATAGGGATAATGCAGAAACCATTATGCAAGATTTTGTCTTGGAAGAAGTGGCAGAAGATCCCCAGCAAGGTGACCAACATGGAAATGGGGAATCTATTTCCAATGACCCTAATTTCCAAATATCTACCTCCAACGGTAATCAAACCACCTCGGTTGAACAAGTTGTCTTGAATCGAACAGCCGCAACAAGACAGAAACAGATCCCTAAACAAGCACTTAGGATTGATGAGGATATTAAATTAAGTAATTCACAAATGATCATTATGCAAAATGAATATGAAACCAGAATGACAACCTACTGGAAAAAGAAGAAGGTAAACTCGATTGATTCTCGTGAAGAAGCCTTATTTCAGCAAATCATTAATGAAAGAAATCTAAATTCAACAGCTTATTCCACCTTTATAAACAGACTTATTCTTCCTGAAGAAATTGCTAGAACAGCCCAGCCTCCTCTTAGAAGAAGTGAACTTTTGGCCAATGAATCTATGAGCACTATGGCTCTTGAGCTCGGAGTAGCAAACAGAACTAGCTTTCTAGTGGAAGCTGATTCCGAACAAGGAAGAGAAGTAGTTAGGAATCAAGAAGAGATAGCTGTACATCATAATGAAGACTTTGAAGTTGGATCAGACTTTGAAGAACAGGGGGACCTTCCTCCTCTCACTAACGAAATTTTTAATTTAAGTTTTGAGGTAGGGAAATCAAGAAGTAGTACAATGACACAGACTACAAATAGTGATCCTATTTTTAACGTATCTGATTTACAGGTTGATCATGATTTAAATCCACAACTTTCAAGGTTTTACAAATATTCGAAAATGAAATCACTTGAAATTGGAGAAAAGTTTGAGTCTTCAACATATGGTTTAAATAAACTTGGTGATACTGATTTACCACCAACTTCAACTGCTGAATATTCTAAGATATCTTTTGCTGATTTAGTGCCGGGAAAAGACAAGAGTATCACCATTGGAGAGACACCGGTCAAGAGGAAACATGCTGCTAGTTCCTTTTTCAGTCTCTTGGCTTTGTCTTGCAAAAATCTAGTTCATATTGAGGCTGAACCAGTTGACGAATATAAGGTAGGGTCGGCTTCTTCGATTAATGTCATTTTCCCTAGTGATGAAATTGAAGATATTCTTGAAACCAATTTGGAGGGAAATTTGTAGAAATCTTGCGAAATTGGTTGCGAAAAATTCGGATTTTGATACAAAAGAGGTAATTCCGATCACGCATTAAACAAATTTACTTGCTATTTTTAACTTTGCTATTTCAAAATTAAATAAAATTCAAAAGTTCATAGAATGCCTATAGAATGTAAATGAAAAGTGAATGGAACCACACAAGCCCAAACACTACTAAATATTAATACAAAAAAAAAACATCATCATAAGTGTATATATAAAAACAAGAAATCGACGTGTTTACTGGTATCAAAGAAACCTAAAGACGATTTTCAACAAGCTCATCGGTTTCTACACCATCAGCAACTTCCTCATCTTCATCATGCTTAGCGAATTCTTGTTCTACTTCCTCGTCAATTTCTCCATGTTCCAACCCTTCTTCATCATCCTCATATTCCTGATGTAACGATAAAGTTGGCTTAACTGCAGCAGAATCTAAAGTCCAAGATGCCAAGGCATTTTCAGCGTCGATGATGATTTGTTTGGATGCTTCATAACCATCATAAGCCGGTCTAGTTTCACCTGGGGTCACTGCGGAATCATCTAATAATTCCAATAATGCCTTACCATATCCAGCAATCAATGCATATTTTTCAGCTAATTCCCTAGTAGCATCAAATTGATAATTAAAGGCTGCTTTCAAACGTTCTCTAGTGATGTTTGATAATTGAGCTTCGGCAACTAAAGATTCTGCTTCAGCTCTAACCAATTCTTGTTCCAATACTGGAATCTTTGGTGATTGAGGGTCTTTATATTTCAAATGAGCAATATCATCAGTAATCTTTTGTTTTCTTTCTCTTGAAGGTTGAACACTACTTTCAATATCTCTAACACCTTTAAGTGTGATTCTATATTGATCATATTTATCAATATATTGATCTTCCAATTCAGCAATTTCATAAATTAAAACCCCTAATTTATCAGTCACATCAGAAACATCATCATCATTACCTTCACCCCAGGCACTTAATTGTTTAGCAACATCTCTTCTTTCTCTGGAAGTAACTTCAAGAGATCTCATGAAATTCTTTTCCATCTTAATGAATTGAGCCAATTTACGAGACAATTCAGGGCCAGTGGCACCAGCAGCAGCCTTTCTAATTGATGATGAAAGTCCGCCACCTCCGAAAAATCTGTTTTTGGTGGTTGATGGTGGTGGTGGGGGAGATTGCAATTGAGCGGCAGTAGGAGCTTTTTGTCCTCTTAATGAATAAGTTCTATGCATTTTGTTGATAATTGAATCAATTGATGATGAATACAAACAAAGAAATAGTTTAACTACAAGAAGAAGAAGAAATTGAAAGAAACGTAGCAATTTATAAAAAAAATGGACCCCAGGGCCCAAAGCGTTTTCCACCTTATTTTTTTAGGGGGTTAATTACAGAATTTCATATTTTTTTTGTGGTGCTTCCTAATTGGGAGTGGACATGAGAATTTTAAATTGTGATGATGATGAAATTGCTATGGGAGATGACATAAACAACGGAAATCTGCAAAGACATTCAATGTAACTATAAAAGTGAATTTCAAATACCAGTATTAAAAGATGTGATGCTCGGATTATAAAGCAATCAATAATGAACGGTTATTTTATTATTTAGGAGTGATCAATTGCCCCATAATATTCTAACCGAGATGCAAGGAATACTAGAGAAATTAGGTTGTTAAAATAACCTGGAGAACCCTAGGATCTCTATAACGAACAACTACTAGTAGTGATATCTTGTGTAAGATAATTATCCAACAGATCTTAAGGCTATTCTGTTCAAGGGGATCCCCAATTTCAATTGTTTTCGTTTCTTGCATCACAAAAAGAGTTTCTTCTAGAAAAACAAAATTGCTGCAAAAGAAGATTAGCAAGCAAATCGAAAAAATCTATGATTACGTAATGTCCAGAAAACAACTTATGGTAGAATCTTAAAATGATAGACCTCTAGTTGACAGAAGCAATAAAATATTGGTAGACCATATTAGCACATGAACCCCGAAGATAACAGGTTGAGGAATGTGAACCAATCTTACTAGGAGGCACTTGATATTTTGTCAAATATAAGACAAATCTTCACGATTCTACAAAGAAAGCTGATTACTTAAAAGGTTTACATTGCTCTACAGAATTGCTTTTATATATTACATAATTTGTTATTATTACACTTTGAGCCTCTTGGCATCATTGGATTCTTCTTCTGATCCAGATCTCTTTACTGATAGTCTGATATCTCCTAATATTCTATAATAATCTTCTTCAAGGGATTCGTATGCAGTCTGCAATTTATCCTTTCTAGTATTTTCATCTAATGTACTTAACCCATCTTTATTTTTAATGTACAATCTTCTTTTAATGAATAAACGAACATCCTTCTTGGATACTTCTTTCGTATGTTTCAATTTATATAATAAAATGATTTCCAATAATCTGGCAAATTGACGCTTCTCTAATTTCAACTTGTGACGCGTTTCTTCGACCCATTTCGAATCAACACTTGGGGTAACTTTGGAAAAATCGAGAACTTTGTTCAAACGAGTAAGGTCAGCTCTATCTCTCATATCATCGAATGCTTCATTTGGGTCCTCAATGACAACTTCATAAATACTATCATCTTCATACCATTTATCGAATAACTGAGAATAAAAAGCTCCACCTATTCCCTTACCTTGATGATTTGGTAATATCACAAACTGAGAAATTTTCATTCTTGTCTCTTTCAAATTCTCGTCAAACTTAGCAGATCCTGGATATCTCCAATAATTGTATGCAGTTGCAAATCCAACAATCGAAGGTTCTGGTTCATTCTTTTCATATAATACATAAAGATCCCATGATTCATCAGAGGCATCAATGTATGAACCAGCTTCAATGTATAATAACACCAAAATTTGTAATCTTTTGTGCAATTCTAATCCAGCTGCTTCCTTAAGGTTAATTTTATAAATTTCATAACTTGAACCATCGTGTTCAAATGGCCCTTTTACCAATTCCCCTGGAATTTGATAATTATTTTCTTTCTCTTCCTTAATTGAATCCACCCATTTCTCTTCATCCTTGAAGATAGTAGATTCAGGTAAGAATTTAGTTACTGTTTGTTTCAAATCGACAATCTCCAGATCATCCAATTTCTCACTATATTTTATATTCAAAAATGGTCTGAATGTATAATGATCAAAACATAAAAATATAACCAAGTCTTTGTATCCATAAATAGTTTCTGCATCTCCAAAGATTGGATATGTGAATGTTGGTGAAAAATTGATTGCCCCTTCAGGATCGGTGACGAATAACTTAAGAACTTCATTGGCTGATGAGGTCCACAATTCTGGTTGCAATGCTGATGCTGCTGCTGCCTTGGCTGTTGACCCTTCATTGCCACTCATTTCTTTCTCGAGGATTGATTGATATCTTTTAAGTCAATTAATGAATTTCATGAAGTTGTTTTTAGTTTTCAAAATTCGAGATAAATTTTTGGTGGTTGCATAGAGACGCGCGTTTCATGGAAATTAATACGACATTTGCGTCCAGCGACATATGTCGCACGAAATTGATGCAAAATTTTGAGAGTGATAGCCAAAGACTATTGAGGCTACATGGACTTCATAAATGAACTTCCAGTGACTACATGTACAAATATTTGGGGGAAAAACAAGTTAATTAAATCAATATACAATCTAAAACTAAAGAACTAAACAAGTATAAATAAATTGCAAAAATCAAACTATTCAATAACAACAGATATAAATAAAAATCAAACTATTCAATAACAACAACTAAATCACCAGCATCCACCATATCACCATTTTGGTGGAAAATCTTCAATACTTTACCATCTCTTGGTGCATTGACAATCATTTCAGTCTTCATGGCTTCAACAACAATCAATGCTTGATTAGCTACCACCTGCACACCAACATCAACCAATGCCTTCCAAAATCTTCCAGAGAATTCAGAATAAACCTTTGCAGACGATTCATCAAATGTTTCCAGACTAACTTCTTTGGTACCAGAATTTGCAAGTTCAGAATTCGAGATTTGAATCAATTTGTTGAATTCTTCTAATTTTTCACCACCTTGCTGTCTTTGGAATTCTTCAATTGATTCGGAATTCTCTTGTACCCATTCCAAATATTTACCATGATCGAAAACAGTATCAACAATATCCACTTTGAATTTTCCGGCATTCATTTCTTCAGCAAATTTGTCAACTTCTTCTTCAGCAACTGGATAGAATTCAATTTGATCAAATGGAGATAATAACCATGGTTTTTCACTTGGAGAATGAGTACCTAATGATAATTTATCCCAGATTGGAACAGTTCTACCTACCAATTGATAACCACCTGGAGATTCCATAGTGTAGATACACATGTAACTTCCACCAATACCAACTGTCCCATTTGGAGTATAAGTTCTTGAGGGATTGTATTTGGTACCTAAGAATCTTTGTCTAGGATCTAATGGAACAGCACAAGGAGCACCTAAGAAAACATCACCCAAACCAAGCACCAAGAATCTAGCAGTATATAACATATCCTTAACATCATCTCTGGTAATACCATTAATTGTAGCAAGGAAATCAACATTGTTAGGCAACCAAGGAGCTTCACTTCTAATAGTTTCTTGATATCTGGTAACAGCTTCCAATGTCTTCTTATCCTCAAAAGCCATTGGTAACCTAATGATTCTCGATTTAACTTCCCATTTGTTAACATAAAGTATTTCTTTCTCATATGACACCAAAGTTTCCAAAAGATCAGATTGAGAGATCTCATCAGCGAATTCAACCAAAACAGATCTAACACCAGGAGACATTTCAAAGATGCCAACTGTTTTGTGCTCCTTAACCATTTCGATCAACTTGTGGATTCTGTAAGATAAATTCAAATTAAGGAAATTTTCACCATACTCAACCAAGATGTATCTATCACCAGCTTGACGATAAGTAACAATTGGAGCATTTTCAGAAATCTTATATTGATATAAGATTGGATTCTCAGGAACAGCTAAAGCATCACTTTCAAATGAAGGTAACTCACCACATAAATCTTCAATGTTTGTATTTTGTTCAGCCTTCAACCGTTTAGCAGTCTCATAAGTAATTGGGACAAATTGAATATGTTCACCAGGTTTGACTTGACCAATTTTCCAAAGTTCAGCTTCTGCAATAACGGCTTCACATACAAACCCACCTAAAGAAGGACCATCACAAGTTAAAATAACAGGCTCATCACCAGTGAAATTAATAGCTCCCATTGAATATACATAATCATGAGTATTGGATGGATGCAAACCAGCTTCACCACCATCAGGTCTTGCCCATTTAGGTTTAGGACCAATCAATCTAACACCAAATCTGTTTGAATTGTAGTGGACTTTCCAAGTGGAAGAAAAGAAATCAATCACTGATTCAGGCTTGAAGAAATCTGGAGAACCATGAGGACCACAAGTAACACCAACATGCCAAATCTTATTTGAGTAGTTTGGAATTAAGGATTTTGGAATGGAGACAGGGGCAGAAACTGGAGCAGACAATGTACAACTAGCCACTTCAGGTTGACCTAAGAATAAAACATCACCAAATTTCAACACTCTTCCGTTATGGCCACCTAAATTACCTAAAGCAAATGTCGATCTAGATCCCAAGTATTCAACAACATCAACACCACCTCTGATAGCCAAATATGCCCTACAACCAGAAGATAACTTACCAATTGATAATGTGTCACCACGTTTGATTGCAATTGGTTCCCATTGATTAATTTCAACACCATTAACTTCAATGACAGTTTGACCACCAGTGACAGCAACTACAGCATCATGATGAAACATCATTTTTGGACCATACAAAGTAATTTCAATACCAGGAGCAGACTTGTCATTACCAACAATTCTATTAGCCATTCTAAATGAATACTGATCCATACAACCAGAAGGTGGGACACCGATATTCCAATAACCAGTTCTACCAGGATAATCTTGCACAGTAGTATATGCACCAGGATCGATAATTTCAATTGCATGTGGTTGATAATCATATGAATCTAAGACCTTAGTTGCAACTTTAGCTTCTTCAAACATCTTGGAATTGGTAATTGATCTCAAATAATCTAAATTGGTGACACATCCATAAACTCTAGTTTCATCCAAAGCTTGACGTAACTTCTTCAAAGCATCTTGTCTATCTTTACCATGAACAATGATTTTGGCTAATGTAGGATCATACTCAGCAGAAATGACAGTACCTTTTTCAACCCAAGTGTCTACTCTTGCCCATTCTGGAAATACAACTTCAGTTAATTGACCTGGAGATGGCATGAAATCTTTAACTGGATTTTCAGCATATAATCTAGCTTCCATTGATGCACCATTAACTTCAATCTTTTGGTTGAAATCCGGAGGATTACCGGCAGCAATGAATAACATCCATTCAACTAAATCTAAACCAGTTACCATTTCAGTGATAGGGTGTTCAACTTGCAATCTAGCATTGACTTCCAAGAAATAGAATTCATCTCTCTTTTCATCATATATGAATTCAACAGTACCAGCACACTTATAATTCAATAATGAAGCTAATGATTCAGCAGCTTGTCTCATTTTGGTTCTAGTATGTTCAGGGAAATTAGGAGCAGGAGTCTCTTCGATAATCTTCTGGTTTCTACGTTGTAAGGAACAATCTCTTTCACCAAGTGCAATTGCTTTTCCATTTCCATCCCCAAGAATTTGAACTTCAACATGTCTAGCATCTTCAACAAATCTTTCCAAGAAAACACCAGAATCACCAAAATATGATTTCCCTTGATGTTGAACTGTTTCAAATACTCTTTCAATATCATCCTCAGAATCAACCTTTTGTAAACCAATACCACCTCCACCTGCAGTAGATTTAACCATGACAGGATATTCCAACTCAGCTGCAATTTCTTTAGCTTCAGCAGCGGTACTAACTAAACCAGAACCAGGAACTAATGGTACACCAGCCTTCATGGCAATTTCTCTAGCTGAATGTTTAAGACCCAATTTTCTAATTGCATCACCAGAAGGACCAACAAAAGCAATCCCTTCCTTTCCACAACGGTCTGAGAAGTCAGCATTTTCAGATAAGAAACCATAACCAGGAATAATTGCTTCGGCACCAGAATCTTTTGCAGCTTGAATTACCTTTTCCATTGAAATATAAGTTTCAGCAGCAGTTGTACCATGTAATGGAATAGCAACATCAGCCATCAATGAATGCTGAGCATATTTATCTGGATCCGAATAGATAGCAATGGATTTAATACCAAGTTTCTTCAATGTCTTGATAATTCTAACTGCGATTTCACCTCTGTTTGCAACCAAAACTGAATTGAAAGGTTTTCTGAGTTTGGCATTTTCTTGAGCAACATGATCTTGATAATTCTTCCAACCTCCAAATTTAGTAATATCAATTGTTCCAGACTGAGTGTAACCAGCTTCTTCACAGATGAAAGATTTAACCCATTCGCCAGATTTTAATTCAACAGATCCAATTCCAAGTGGTTCAGAAACATAACTGATAAAATTCCCAAATTCTTCTTTTGGAATAGAGTATACTTCAACTGTGATACTAGCTCCATTCTCGGCAATTCTTCTTAATCCAGGTTTAGAAACTGATCGAGTGTTTGATAAAGCATACAATTTGTAGTTTTCAGATGTAGTTGTAGATTCAATAAATCTAGCATGTACCTTCTCCAATTGCCAATGTAATGGGAATCCCTTCAAGTGAGCACCAACGACAGCTAATTTAACTTGATTGCCGGCGATAAGTTTTGGAATGGTTGAATGTAATTGATTACCAAATGTAGATTGTTGTTTAGTTGCACCAATAAAGTGTTGACCGACCTCACAATATGATTTCATGTATCTGCTTGCCAATTCTAATAAAGCATAATCATTGAACTTATGAGACAAGAAAGTAATTCCAAAAGGTAATCCATCACTTCTGAAACCAGCTGGAACCGAAATAGCAGACATATCAGCCAAGTTAACAAAATTAGTATAAGTACCTTGATATGAATTCCATTTGATTGGATCATCAGTGACTTGTTGAATTGTAGGAGTTAATGGAGCAGTTGGAACAATAACAACGTCAATCGTTTCAAGAATTTTCTCAATCTTTTGCAATAATGCTTGCTTTTTGTAATCGTATTCAAAAGCTTCAGTTGCTGTTCTCTTCTCACCACTTTTAATGATTCTCATAACAGTTGGGTCCAATTCTTCTTTGGGAGGATCAGTTGACAAGAACTTCTTAATTGCAGAATATCTTTCCGAAACCCAAGGACCTTCATATAAAAATTGAGCTAATTCAAGCATTGGATCAATGTTTGTAGATACCAATTCAACACCTACTTTCGTATCAACTAATTGGACTGCTTTGTCGAATAATTTAGGATTTTCAGTTTCACCATACCATAAAAGATTGGTTGGAACAGCAATTCTTGGTTTAGTGGGGAATTGAACTAATGGATTCTCTGGTAATGCTCTGGAATAAGGATCCTTTTCGCCATCTTCTTTTGCTAAAATGTTGAAAACTAATTGAGCATCTTGCAAATTCAAGGAAAAGATGGAAACACAATCTAAAGACTTACAAGCAGGAACGACACCATAACAAGAAAGGGCACCTTTAGTTGGTTTTAATCCAATGATATTATTTAATCCAGCAGGAACACGACCTGAACCAGCAGTATCAGTACCTAAAGCAATTGGAACTATACCTCTAGCAACTACTGAAGCAGAACCACTTGAAGAACCACCAGATACATAACTTGAATTAAAAGTATTTGGAACAATTCCATAGGGAGATCTTGTACCCACTAATCCTGTTGCAAATTGATCTAAATTGGTTTTACCTAAAATAATAGCTCCTGAATTTCTTAAAAGGGCAACAACAGTTGAATCTTCTTCTGGAGTATAAGCAAATGATGGACAAGCTGCAGTTGTTTGAATTCCTTTGACGTTGATGTTATCTTTAATTGCAACAGGTACACCATATAATGGAAGTTGAGATTTATTTGATTTTGATTGTAAGAAATTCCATTGATGTTTTAAGTTTTCAGATGAAACAAGTGAAATCCAGGCAGTATCTTTTGGAGCAACATTTTGAGATGTTAAAAGTTGTGATAATAATTCTAATGATTGATTTGGTGTTGATTCAAAATGAAATCTTTTCCAGTCTTCAATTGACCAGCCAATAAATGATTGAGATGTCATAGTGATTTTTTTTAAAAAATTTAATAATTTGTAAACTTTTTTACTTAGAAAAGAATGAAAAGTAATAGAAGTTCTTACATTTTGAATAATATAGATAAGACAGGGGGAACCACCAAGATATATAAGTATTTGATATTTATTATCTTTGGTTAATTAGAAAGGCTGCACCAAAATGAAAAATTATTTTTAGATTCTCCGATAAGAAAGATAACAAAATGCAGCGTAAATTAAAAGCGAATTTACACAAAAATAATAAAATTAATTTAGTAACACTTTGAGTGTAATTTCTAATTATGTAGATTTAGTTATCAGGCTAATGTAATCGCATGTGCTTATTGGAAGTTTCTCTGAGGATTAACCAGTATACAGAAGATTTGACTTAGTGGAGAAACATAATTCTGATAAGGATAACTAGAGTGACGTAAGAAAGATATTTGCCAAGTAAGATTGATTACTCTACTTCGGACTTATCCCCTTTCCTCATTGATACTCCGCAATGTTGATAACTTCTCTGGAGAAAAAGGAGAGCCAGTTAAATGGGAAGGAGAAAGCGCAAACCTAACAGACAAGTTAGTCAGAAAATAATCCGTTGGAGTCAAACATTTGTGGGGTTAGAATGCTTGTTCCTTGAATAATTACCTTGGCCAATGGACAATGGAGATCCTTCTTCTAACGATCATAGAATTGTTCTATGTAAAAGCAAAATATCATTACTGATAAGAAGCCGAATTATTTATTGATAACAATTCTCTCACCTCTTCTATCCGGAATTTCAATTGTTGCAAATCTCGGAAAAAATATTTTGATAAGAGAGGTTATTTTTTGTTATCTAATCAGGAAAAGATAAAACACCTTTCTAATTGAGAGACGTTTTTTTTGCAACCAATTGACTTTGATATCTATATTCGATGGAATGTAGAAAGGATTTAGTAAGAGTATTACCTATACCAAGAAAGATATTGCTTATCACTTTTTGATAGATTACAGTACCATCATTTTGACTAAGTGTTATCGCAAATTGAAAAGTCGGAATACATGGCAGGAGTTGGGAAAATATGGGTTAGCAGCCAGATTAGGCGATAAATTTAAACTTGGGGGAAATTTGAAAATATTTTGCCTGTTGCTTGGACTTGGGGTTTCTTATTGCAATGTCCAATAATTTTAAAGCAAAATGACGTGAAAGCAGTTTCTCTAAAGTAGTTTCGTCACTATGACTTACCCTGGTACTGAAACTGTTTTCAACATGTATGGCACTACGTAAAATATACTAATAAATATGTTCGGTATTGAACACAAGAGCTAGACTCTAGGGTTATTGGAACCTTCCATTTGAAAGTACTCTATTACTACAGTAAAAGTGGTTTATATAAATGTAAATATATTATTAGCGTATACAAAATCAAACAACAGAGTAATTAACTAAAAACTAAACTTTCAGAGAAGAGTTCTTACCAGTAGAAGCAACTTCTTCATCAACTTCCATACCTTCCAAAACATCAGCCTCTTCCTTCTTCAATTTTCCAAAACGAGCAGCTTGATAAGCTTGTAATTTTTCCTTTTGTCCAGTCAATTCCCAAAAGATTTGCTTCGAAGTGCTTGCAAGACTTTCTCTACTTTCCCAAAGTGGGAACAAGATAACTTGGAAAACAGTGTAAAAGATCCAAATGAAGAATACAGCAACCCAACCAGTAAAGAATTCCTTACTGAAAATATATCTGGTACCATACATTGGCATTGGCCAAAGAACCAAAAGACAAACCGTCAATGTAATACAAATGATACAACATTTAAAGAAAGCATTATGAAGAATTTTTTGTTCTTCTTCGTATGCAGCCATATCAACTTCTTTTGAAGCAACAAAAACATCAGATTTCACCTTGTCAGTAATTTCATTGTCAGAACTTGGTTGGTCTTCTTCCAAATCATCATCAACTTTACTGATCTTTTGTTTCAAGATTTCCCAATCGAAGTTTTGTTTCTTGAAGATGAAAATAAAAGTAGGAATTAAAATAAATGGAGATAATAAGGCCACACAGTTACCAGTCAACATAGCTTCGTCTTGGAATGTATTGTCATAACTAATGGAACCGAATTTAACCTTAGTACAAACCAACCAGGCAATAATAGCAAAAGTTGTTGAAATTGGAGGAGTGAATGTAGCAGCATGCCAATTTTGGTGTTTGTATAATAAAGTAAGTGCAGAAGACAACACAGCACCACCAATTATAATACCCATTAATTCATACAAGTAACCCAAGGAAACTTGAGCATAGTAGAGACCAATAGAAAAGGCAGCCATGGTATAAGCAAAAATAACAACTGACAAATGTGAAATCCAAATCAACTTCTTACCAGTAGCTTGTGGGTTTACGTAAGTTCTGTAAATATCATAAGTACAGATAGTTGAAACCGCAATCAATTCAGCAGACATGGCAGAAGTAACAGCCATAAACACCATTAAAAGTGATAAAACCGCACCAGTTTGACCTAATAAAGCAGAGGCAGCATTTGGTAAAACTAAACCAGCACTAACTTCAGCAGCAGTCATTCTTCTACCTAATGGCCAGTATTCAGTTTGTTCTAAAGCCAAAGCAGCAAGACCCATAGTAAGGGAACAGAAGGCTGGGATTGGAAGCCAAGCTAATGAGCCTAAGATGTATCCACGATAGGTAGAAGCTGGGTTAGCTGCGAAAGCTTTGTTGAAATAACCATTGTCTAAAAAGACGGTACCGAAATTACCAACAATATTAATCACAAAGAACATAATACCAGATTTAGAATGCATGGTAAAGTAAGATCCACCAGCATTACCTTCTCTTGGTTGAGTTTCAGCTAATTTAGTAACAATTTCCCAAACAGCACCTGGGGATCCTAATCTGTCAGAAGTAGCCCAAGTGGTGAAAGCAAATGCAATAATAATGCAGACCATGACAACAGTATGAGCATAATCAGTTAAGATAGTTGCCTTGATCCCACCGAAAAGGGTATAGACGACAACACCTAATGGTAATAACAAACAAGATGCAATTGGATTCATACCAGTTAAATCTCTAACCACAGCAGATCCACCTGTTAATAACATGGAAGTGACTAAAATATTAGTAGCGAAACCCCATATGATATAGATGATATGAGTTTTTGATCCATATCTTCCTCTAATAATTTCAAGATAAGTATGAGCAGCTGGAGCTCTTTCTCTTCCTTTGATAGCCAAACAAGCAAACAAGGTAATTTGACAGGTTGCACCAGCAGCATAAAAGAACCCACCTGAAACACCATTATTGTAAACCTGAGTTGTTGAAGTCAATAACGTCGCCGCCCATGTCCAAGATGAAACAACTGCAGAACTAATTAAACCAGTTTTCACTGATCTACCAGCAGTGGAGAACTCTTCAGAAGTCATTCTTTCTCCGTTGTATCGTTTTAAAATGTATGTGGTTAACATCATACCGGCCGCAAATACGAAACCTAAACCCACCACAACTGCGTAACCTGCACTTTGTGGTAATGGATAACTAGCAACTTCAGACATGATTAATATTATAGTTGATTTGTTTAATTGTCTTTGATTGGTTTTACAAAAGTTAATTGGACTTGTAGGAATATTGTGGTTACTTATATATTTGAAACATTTCAATGATTTTTGCAACCATTCTTTTCTTATCTAAAGGAGTTTCTGAGAAAAATAAGTTTGGCAGTAAACAAAAAAATCAGAGATAAGGATATTGCGTCTTTGTTTTGTGCAAGCCTTCTCCATCTACAACAATAGGCGAATTTCAAACGGTTTGGGAATTGCCGTTCGGTATATTTAATTCTCTCGTGGAAAATATATGTACCTGATTCCAAAGTTCATAATACTGATCAACAAGACTTACCTGGTATCATATTATTGCTAATCCTTGTAATGAACTTGACTGCAGCTACTCCATTGCTAGGGACCTTCGGGAAAAGAGGAAGTTATTCTTGTTTCAGAATCCTTAATTTTTGCATCTTCGACATTTTGTGACGTTTTTCGTGATAGTGATTTAATTTTCTTGGTTTAGTTTTATCAGTGTTTAATTTTCGGCCCGTGATAGGCGCGTGAAAACTTTATTTCTTCGCATCTTTCACAAGTAGTTGCAATTTATCTTTCAGTAAGAGCGGCTGTGCTAAGATACATTGATTTGACTGGTATGTGTTTATTAGATAAACATACACTTGCTTTATCTATAGATAGATATCTTTGTGCAGGAGATCTACTTATCAAATTCTGGGCAACTGTACGAAGTTCGGCTCCCCAATTTGAGGGGTGGAACATTGACATCAATTTTTTTTCTTATACATCTACAATATTGGGAAAACTACATAATTAGAGATAACTATACAGAAAAGACATCACTTGTATTAAACCGATGATAGCTTAGTAAGCACTGTTATCTTGATCATTCTGATTCAGAGCTGAGATCTTATCAATTGTGGATGGATAGCTGTGAGAGCCCTCGTCAATGATGGAGCTTGTCAATCAAACTTAAGACAAGCAATCTTGCGTCGCAGCCATTTTCATATTATGAAAGATAAACCTTTGAGCTTTTGCAGGTTAGCGGAGAAGGCAACTCTTATGTTTAAACCGAAATAAGAATCCGTTGGCTGTTATAAGTTTCGTCTTAGGGACAATTGTTTGCGATTCGTCTGTCAACATGTTTCTGTACATAGTTATCGAAATAGATTTTTACTGGCCCGAATCAGGCTCCAATGGGTTTGCTAAAGAGAGCTCGATCTAAACTCGCACTAGGTAAGAGGGTTCGTCTAGAGAAATAAGTAGTTCTCCGTTCTAAATTTACCACCAAGATCGTGCGAAAGCTTATTTTTTTAAACCTAGTGAGAAAGCTACAAGATATAAATCAATTTCTGTGTTGTAAATTTGTCAATTCTCCTATAAACAAGAATCCAATATCTAAAAAAATCAATCAATTACGTAAACTATATAAAACAAACCATGTTGTAAAACTAAATAAAAGGTCAATGGGGGAAATAAAACAAAATCCTACAAACGTTTCAAAACATCTATTCAATGTATTCTCTATCATCAACTTTCCCTTCCACTTCATTTCTAACTTCTTCCATTTCAACTACTTGTTGCTTCCAGATCTTCTTATCTTCTTCTGGGTTGGATTCCTTAACAAACAAAGAGTCATCAGGTCTTCTATAGGATCCACCAATTCTGTCCCATAAAGTTGTGAATTGTCCATAATTATAATTAAAATATAAATGATGGATGGTATGACAGGCAGTACCATTAACAAATGGATCATTGGACATATAATTACCATCATGAATCATAACAGTCCAGAAATTAACAAAAGTGAAGAAAACCAAATAGGAAACCTTATGAAGTGGGAAAAGCAATGGGAAAATGTGATATGAAACACTTTGTGCCCAACCATCAACAGGGTGGAAAGCATGAGATGCAAATGGGGTACAAACAATCCATTTATGATGTGGCTTGTGTAATTTCTTGTAAACACTTGGCCAATGTAACCATCTATGAACAAAATAAATTCCACAATCGGTAAACAAGATGAATTTAGGGAATTGGATAAATACAGCCTTCCAACCACCGTTCGATTCATTAATACCCAGGTAAAGATGTGAATAACCTCTTAATTCCAACAAGAAGAAAGGGATAGTTAACATGACCATAACTGGAATGGCTCTGGTTGCAAGACTGATTTCCAAAGACATTTGATTCTTTAAATATCTTGGATGGTTAAAGATCTTTCTATCAAAGACAAATACATAGGAAAGGTATGCAACTCCGAAATATAAGATCCAACCGAAAAGGGTGGCAATAAGAAACATACTAAAAGATTCTCTTAATAAGTTTGATCTAGCAAGCAATGACGCGTCAAAATAATCACCAGCAGGGAAAAGTTTTGGAGCTAATCCATAAACTTCTGATTTATCGGCATAGTTGGCTATCTTGGAGATTATATATTGAGGAATATTGGCCGCATTTATACTTGATGAATTGAATTCTGGCATTGAAAGGGTAGAATTAACGGAGTTAAGCCCAGGGACCTTGGAAAATATATCGATATTGGAAAGAGTATTGACAATTGGAGAGTCCTTTAAAAGTTGATGGACTGTACCATCCTTTGGCAAAACCTTAGCATAAGCTTTATCGAAAAGATAGTAATCAAAGATTTCTAATACAATATCCATCGTGAAACAAAAATGTTGTTGATCTTCTTCAGGCTGGTTTCTTGAATGAGTCGGTGAGTGTGGGTGTGAATGTTTTAGAAGGGCTCTCCTATAACTATGAAACCTGAAGGATAAGAACTAAATTCAAAATAAAAAAACGAATGAATGAACAGATCTTCTATGTAAGAAAATCAAAACAAATAAAGAAATATCCCCTTTATTAAATAGAATGAATGGAAGGTGTAATACAGTTTAGAATAAAATTTATTGCACCATTCATTAAGAAAACAAGAAAGATTTTTCCCGTTGATGCAGGATTCTACGATGAAAATTCAAATATCTGATCGTATAGCTTTCCTCATTTGATGATGTTTTTTTAAACGATGTAACAATTTAATTTTATACGACGAACATTGGAACGAGAAACGAGGCAAACAAAAGAAAAAAAAAGTTTATATGCAGGATGTCACATCTGACGGTCGGTAAACCCGGTTGTAAATTTTAGTTAGAAAAAAACAACATCAGGTCATACCATGAACAATTGGCTGCAAAAAAAACTAAAATGGACCCATAACCTGGAACTGCCTATTAAAATTGATTTCAGAATTAAAGTTTATAAATTCAAATGGGCGAATATCTATTTAAAGAAGATTTAATAAATCAGGATTAACGTGAGACGACTGTTGTTGCAGTTTCTGTGGCTGCGAATGAGATAAAGCAGGACTACCTGAACTTTTTGGTGCCAAAATCATATTCGAATTGAATCCAGGAGGATAGCTCGCATTATTAGTATTCACTGGCGGATTTCTGACCGGATTCATAACATGCTGTTGTGTGTTATATGTTGAGCCTGACGTGTTTGTAGCCTTGGTTTTGTTCATTTCTGTTTGCCAATTCAACTGACTTGAGTTGACGGATGTAGAACTCTCGTTACCTGCCAGTTGGAAATCATCAAAATCATCATCAGCATTATTGGGTCTATCAAATGTGCTTTTTAATGCATTTAATAATTTGGTGTTTGAGGCATTTGTGGCTTGGTTCGTAGCTCCGAATTTTAGTCCAGGTTGCAGTGATGGTTTGTTCGGTTGCATGGGTTTTAATGTCACTGGTGTGGTAGTGCGTGACCTTGGCTTTAACGTCACTGGTGCAGTATGCTGTGGGCTTGATCTATTAGGTTGGTTCGATCTACGAAATACTGGTGAATTGCTTACTTTTGGAGAATTGCTTCCTGAACTGTCATTTGATTTCCTCATTGGCTGCATAACAGACATTGATTTTGGACCTGGGAGTTCTTTTGGACTCTCATGTATAACTTGAGTTTGTAAAAGTGATTCAAAATTGGTAGGTTTTGCATTTCCATTTGATACTGACATATGAGAAGTCGATGTCTTAGGTAAGGATGAAACTTTCTTTGCAATTAAATGCTTTTGAATTCTATCGGTAATTGATATGAAGTTTTGGAATTCCATTTGAGAACAATCATTACATCCAAATGCAAGGGCAAGACATTGTGGTAATACTGATTCAACTGACGATTCTAAATCAAGTGATATATGTTCACTTTGAATTAATTTGGAATAGAAGCCCAATACTTTCCCAACAATTCTCTTGTCTCTACTCTTCAAATTTCTCAACACTGGAAATAATTGTTCATTAACAATGATTTTATCAATGATCTTGCGTTCGACAAATATCTCAAACGTTTCTATGGTGATCAATTTCGTTGATAAGATAGTAGTCGTTTTAAATACCTGACACAACATGGGAAATAAAGTATTCTTTATAAATGGGAACTCGATTTTTTCAATTATTTTAGGTAAAAATCGCAAAAAGGTTTCCTGAAGTTTGATCTGATATTGGATCTGCTCTTGTTCTTTAGGAGAGGTAGTCAATACCAAATCCAACATTTTCTTAATCAAATCCACAAATTCTTTATCATTCACTTTCTCTTGAATAATTTCCAAATTGTCCACTACGGCAAGACGACATCGAACTGAAGAAGTAACCAATTTCGTAAATGTCTTGGGTGCCTTTTTGTTTCTCGAATCGTCTTTAAATAAGACACTGAAAACGCGATCCTGGAATGTCAAATGAGATAATGTTTTGGAAATATTTAAGATGATATCAAGGGATCGACAAATCAATTCTTCTGTATTTGGATCGAATCCAGTAGATTCATTCAAAACATTCAATTCATTGGTTAATAAATCTATCAATAACGGCAATAATTTCAGTGACCTATATGCCGGTGGGAATTGTTCAATCACACTTGCTTGTGTCCTAGGGTCGATATCCATTAATCCATTCATAAACAACAATTTCTCGTCTATTGCTTTGGTTGAAAATTCATCAATAAACCACATAGCTTTAATTATACTTCCGTTAAAGAAGTCCGAGTCTATAAATCTATTCAACGTAAGTCTGTCATCGGGATATCTTGCTAATAATTGTGGGAATATTGGATATAATCTTTCTGGAACATTTTTCAAGACATATTTTAATTCAGATGGTTTATGATTATAGAATTTTTGTTCAAATTTTCTAAATTCTTGTTTATAATCGGAAATACTATTTGAATCAAAGCAATTTATCAATAAGTCTTGATTATATAGATAATATATCAAATGTCCCAATGACCAAATATCGTTTGCAAAATCTAATTTTGTATGAGAATCTATAATTAATTCAGGTGCAGTGAAATTCAAATTCAAATTTGCAAATGGGATCATGGATGAATTATTCATAATATAGAAATTCTCCCTTTCTTGCGGTGATATTTCACTTAGATTTTCCAAGAATCTAAATCCAGCTAATTTCCAATCGCCTTGATTATTTATAAATATTGAAGATGGTTGAATATTCAAATGAATAATCGAACAATGACTATGTAAGAATTCCAACCCTTTACTAATCTGTAACAACCCTTTCTGAATCGATAATTCATCTAGACTACTATGATTCACTGTAAATAAGTTATCTGTCACTGGTTCACTAGCAAATAAGAATTTTGTTTTAGTTTCTTCAAGAACTTCAAAAATCGTCAATAATTGTGGATGTTTTAATTTACTTAATTGATTCACTTCAGCTTTGATAACTTCATAAGATTCATTAATTATAACTTTGGGGTTCTTAATACTTGATGAAGATGAATATAATCTTTGTACTTGAGATTCAAATTTGGATTTATCAAATATAAACACTGACACAATTTTTCCATTTGATTTATGTTTAGCAGGATAGATATACCATGGTTCAGCAACAAAAGACGGATTGTCCAGGACGTTATATGCGGCCCTAATACCTGTCTTGAATCCTAATTTAAACATGATTTCTTTCACCTGTCGAGATAGAATGCAGTTGTGTGAGGTTTTGTAAATGATTGGTAGATCTTTTAAAGGATACGTGGGGCGGCGTAGCTGTCAGAAAGGGAGCAGGAAAAAAATACGAATCTTTTTTTGAATGGAGAATTGAAAAGTTTGAATATTTTTTTCTTTGCATATGTGAAACAAACTCTTCTCGAAGAGAAACTAAACACATATACAGAGAGAGACACAATAAGGCAGTATGGAATTAATGGAAGACAATTTTAAACATTCAGCAGAGCGATTGGATAAACCATCTGCATATTTACGAAGAAAGGCAAGAAACAACAATTTTTCTGATGTAGAACGGGCATTAACTCTGAAAACTGTTTATGTTGGGAATTTATCAAGATTTACTACAGAAGAACAAATACATGAATTATTCCTGAAATGTGGAGCTATAGATAGAATCATTATGGGATTGGATAGAAATAAATTAACTCCATGTGGATTTTGTTTTGTCATATATAGAACTGAACAAGGATCACTAAATGCCATGAAATATTTACAAGCAACAATTTTGGACAGTCAAAGTATTTCAATTGATTTGGATCCTGGATTCCGTGAAGGAAGGCAATTCGGAAGAGGGAAACACGGAGGTCAAGCAGCCCAAGAAGCTGCTGCAGCAGCGGCTGCAGGCATAGACACTAGAAGTGAAGGTGGATTTAGAGGAGGTTTCCGTGGTGGATTCAGAGGTGGATATAGAGGCAGAGGTGGGTTTCGAGGACGTGGAGGTGGTGGTTTTAGAGGTGGGTTCCGTGGTGGTAGAGGACGCGGGGGTTATAGAGGAAGAGGTGGAGGTGGTGGATATAGAAATATGGAAGCCTCAGTGTATATCCCATCTAATGACCCTACTTTTGATGCACCCACTACATTCAATCCAATGCAATCAGATCTGAGTAATCAATAATAATCCAGTGCCAGTTTCATCATAGTTTAGAATTATGTCAATGTAAAAATAATGTACGATATATTTCATCTTGACTATTTTGTAGTTGATTACTTCTTCTGGCCTATGCCATTCCTTTTTTTGGCAAAGTTACTCTTTCATGGGATGACATGGGATGACATAGTCTAGACTCTCGTGACAATATGTAATTGCATCAGCCACATATCTCCTGATTTGTAGATGTTGCAGCCTGGGATACGAAATGGAAACCCACCCGAAAAAAAATCACGTTGCCAAGCAACCACAGTGTCTCTGCCAAAATGATGTCAAAAGATTACAAATCCAATTCCATGACAGAATTGTCAATATGAGTCGATCTATTAAATTTAAAGAGTTCTCTGTGTAGGCATTGATTAGTGGACTAAGATTAGTTAGACACATTAGATGTAGAACTTAATAGTTGAAAAGCTATAGCTGAAAATGATGAAACGGCTAGAGTTTTGTTCATTTTGTATTAGTAATACCATATGAAAGGGGGGAAGGGATCCGCCTTACAATCCAGAATTTGGGAGAATTGACTAAATAGGGGGGGAGATATATCTAAACATTAGTAATGTAGTAAGGTCCAGTCTTGAAGAGGAAGTATACCACTATGAGACATGTCATTGAAAGTCCTTGCTTCAACCCTGTCCCCGTTCTATAAAAGTTGCGCGACACATAATTTGGGTGCAAAATGGATTTTGCTGCAACAATTCTCCCCACACAAATAATTATTATTTACCAATTCATCATCCATGAGAGGGTAGATTATTAATTCTAAAATTGTAATTGGATGTTCAATATATGTTTATTTTTTTGTTTCTTCCAATGAAAGATTTAGCAAATGTCATCAGTTTAGTTTTGGTGTAATTATTTTGTAGGATTTCATGACTAAATTTCACTAGAAATGACTGAGCCTTTGTTTTATCAAATTTAGTTTTAAAGTATCAACATATCATCTTGATAGATAGCATTAGGTCCCCAACCTCTTCTAGCCCCTAAAATTTGAGCAATTTGTACTAAACTGGCAAAACTCGGAAACATGGAACTTTGCATCACGTGATTTAAACGTGATCATAGAGGAAAGCTATCGTTTATCTTATAGTATGCTGAAACTATTGCTCAGCATTCCAGGGATGTTCAATTGGTACTTAGCTCTTGGCTGTTTAGCTCACCAAGAACACATACCCCGAGTTTGTGTCACAAAATGCTCATCATCAGCTCATAAAGTCGTCTAGAAAATTCTTCATAGAAAAAATGAGTGACACTTTTTATTTTTATTTGCGACGTTACATGGCCACGTACCCCGGACGAGTACAAACCACACGTCATTAGATACCTTAAATTTCCTGGCGGTCAATATACAAGTTGTTTATTTACCAGTTCAATCCAACCTTCATTTAGCTTTGGTGAAAGGTATTGAATATATTACTCAGTGCCATACTTATTTGCTACGACCAATAATTAAGTGAGGTAGAGAAGAAAAAAATATTAATTGTGCCATTAGGAGTTGACACAACGAATGGCTTCAAGAAAATAGTCCCAAAGAAAAAAAACGTTTTTTTGAATTCATGGTCATTTTTCTAAGGAATACTTACAAAGCAATTAAAGTATTAGTAAATGATTTGTATAACAGTGGAGTGTAAATAATGTCAATAGAAGACCTAACTACACCAACACAAGAACAAGTGCAAGAGCACCAGCAAGAGAGAGACCAAGAGCAACATCTGAACGGAGGTTCATCTCCGTCAGTCCTGTCAACTTCATCCCAATCAACCAAGGGTAAGTCAGTTCATTATTCTGATGCTGTGCTTACCCATAGATCAGCATCTACTTCGAATTTACGATTGCAGAATTCGAGTACTCCTTCATTAACCAGCAAGAAGCAACACCCTGGAATACGAGGGAAAACCGCTACCCATACGAGATCCCTTTCGCATACCAAGTTAGTGGCAACAAGTAAAGTATTATCACCATCATCAGGAAGCGGAATGGCCGTACGACCTCACTTGAATAGATCTAAATCAAGTGATGTATTAATGAAGAGTAGACAACCAAGTGCATTAAAAAGAAATAGTAGATCTTTTACAAAAGTAGGTGGTTTGCAACCTTTAACCAAGACCATGTCTAATCAATCACTTAAATCAAGCAAATCAACAACTTCTTTAAAAGCTAATATACAAATAGGAGCTCCATCCCAAATTGGATTAAAGTCAAGTTCCAAAAAGGGTAAAGCAATTTTACGATTAAATGATAATGATGATGATTATGAAGATGTCGACGATACAACCAATAATGAACCAATTCCACAAGGATTTGATAGTGATGAAACTATATCGACTAGTATGATACTGCCTCCAAGTCAGAATGTACCTAGTTTATACGAACAGATTAATGCAATAGTGCCAGACCCAGTACCTACAGCACAAGTAGATGAAGTTCTTGACAGAGCTGATTCAAATGCTGCTGAAAGATTGGAAGTCGTTGAGGAAGGAGGGACCATCGATAGTGCAGTATCTCATCTCAGACAGAATCTTGCTCCTTCAACCAGGAGTTCAACTGAAGATTTTTCCATGACTAATAATCTATATGGTGGATCACTATTATTATCACAATCTACTGGTTTGGTTAGAAAAGTAAATCCGATGAGTCCAGCTAATCAAAGGACAGGGCCCGGAGGAGAAGTATTTAATAGCAGTGGTGGTCCTATGCATATCGGTAATAGTGATCAAACTATTGAATCACATCATTCTGATTCTATTAGTGGGATATCTTTCAAAGCAAATCCAATGGAAAAGCATAAGATTGCCGAGCCTGTGATTACAAATAAGAATGTAACTCAGAAGAATTCATACCAACCTGATCAAACTATTTTTAATAATTTACAAAGAACCAATAATCAATATTTAACCACCAAGAAACATCAACAACAGCAACAACAACAGCCTCATCAGCAACTGAATATCAATCATTCAATCAATAATGGTGCCAATAATTTCTCGGAATTTCTTCGTGCTAATCAATCCTCATCCTCATCAACTGAACTGTATGCACATAATTTGGAAACAAGAACTCAACAAAGATTGTGGTTACAAAGGGAAAGTTCCCTTATGGATGTAACCAATTTAGATTCCAACAGAATATCCAATTTTTCCAACTTGTCATTAAATAACCTAATGTTTGCTCATAATTATAATCAAAGCCATGCAAATGTGCGTGAGCTCCAACAACATTCACAACATCCCCATGGACCACATGCACCTCAACATGTCCAACATTTACCTCAGAGCATTGCCCCATTGACTCCACTAACACCCACTGGACCCCTGGTACATAGTAATATTGCATATCAACAGCCAAACAATCAAGAACCACCAGCTGGATATAACGCAGTAGGTGGAGGAGGAAGTGGATTATTGTTGATGGTACAGGGTAGTACTCAACAGACTACAATTCAATCCAGAACTGAATTTGAAAGATTGAATAGAGAATATCTTAATGTCAGAAGACATTTGAATCCAGTTGGAGAAAGTTTGAATCGAGTGAATAAGTACTTGAATCAAGATCTTAAAGTTGCCAAAACTAAAAAGAATGGCGCTCGCGGTGGTGGCGGTGGTGCTGGCGGCAGCGGTCAAGATATACCTTCTGAATCTACTGCTATAACGTCTGCACAACATAATACAAATGCGAATTCATTCAAAGAGTTTTCGCCAATGTTTCAAGAAAAGGAATTAGAAGTAAGTGCAATGCTTGGTAAATTATGGCATGATGGGATCATTTCGTCGGCGCTGTCTTCAATGGTGAATATGAGAGGAGCTATCCATCCGGGACATCCACCTCAGCCTCATCAACAACAACAACGTCAAGTTGGACATGGTGGTATGTCTGGAAACTCCCAAGTTTCGATGAGAACCAGTCAGCCTCCTCCAACTACTCGAGCGGTGAAATTGGCCGGTGTTGCCGGAGAGTCGCAGGATCTAATGCCAAGGAGACGTACACATGAGCATCTAATGAATATTGATGCTTAGTTGGAAGGTTTGATTCAAAACAAAAATTTGCATAAGTTTTTCTTAATATATATAATAGTACTTAATAGTACTTGATGAATTTTACAAATAATATAGCATCATTTAATAAGGAGTTAATAAAAATGTAACGTGTAGTATATATTAAATTATTTACATGCTAATCCTTCTCTCACTATTATACAAAAACAAACTTAAAGGATCTAACCTTGTCTTTGTTTATGTTTACCATTTGACTTACAAAGGACATAAACTCTTCCACTTCTTTTAACAACATAACAATCTTTACATAATTTCTTTACTGAAGTTCTGACTTTGAATTGTCTAAGTGGAGCAAACAATGAAGCTGCAGTATTGTATGGGTTTATTATTCTTGGGGTGGCATTAAAAATGGATCTGTTGACGTTGGGCACGATGAATTGTCTCTTTAATAAACCGAACATTGTTGATGGGATAATGATACTTCAATATGATGATATGAAACGTTAACCGTTAGACTCTATAGCTTTTGAAGATTTTTTTTTTCTCCAATAACGAATGAAAAAAATGAAAAATTTACTAACAAAGAAAAACACGTGATTCGATTACATAAGAATTCTGGTATTATTACATAATCAGACTGAACGTTGTTTTTGCTCACAAAAGACAACACATTTTTTTTTTCAGATTTTGACAACCCACCAATCCAACTGATCAATCTAATTCAATTCAATCAATCAATTGGAGTAGGTTAGTCGTATCAATCATACAATGTCCACACTGTCATACAAAAAACAGGATGCGTATGCCGTTACCGCCAACATTCCTGATAAGATGGCTGTCTTTCAAGAATGTATGCAACAATTCAATGCTTCACCAATCAATGTTAAAAAGTGTCGTCAATTATTAGCTAAATTATTAAGATTAATTTATTATGGAGAACAATTCCCAGCTCAAGAATCTACCCATTTATTCTTTTCAATTTCTAAATTGTTTCAACATAAGGATCAATCATTAAGACAATTGGTTTATTTAACTATTAAGGAATTATCAGCTACTTCTGATGATATTCTTATGGTTACTTCTTCAATCATGAAGGATATTCAAGGTAATGATGCTGTTTACAAACCAAATGCAATTAGAACTTTATCTAAAGTTTTAGATCCAACTACTGTTACTGCTGCTGAAAGATTATTTAAAACTTCAATTGTTGATAAGAATCCAGTTGTAAGTTCAGCTGCATTAATTTCTGCCTATAATTTATTACCAAATGCTAAAGAAGTTGTTAAGAGATTTACTAATGAAGCTTTGGAAGCTTTACAATCATATAAACAATTTCCAGCTACTCAATTCCAATTACATGATTATTATGGAAGTTCTACTTCAAATTTACCTTCTACTTCATATATGTATCAATATCATGCCTTGGGATTGATTTATCAATTAAGAAGTCATGATAAAATGGCACTTATGAAATTAATTACAACTTTATCTGAAGGTTCATCTTTAAAGAATTCTTTATCCACAATTCAATTGATTAGATATATTAACAAAATTTTAATTGATGATCCAAATTTAATTGGTCATTTATATCCTATCTTATCAGGATTCTTAAAACATAAATCCGATATGGTTGAATTAGAAGCTTGTAAATCATTGATCAATTTACAACATTTAATTAAAGAAGATCAATTTATGGCAATTGTTAATACATTACAAAAATTATTAGGTGTTCCCCGGACTGCTACCCGATTTGCTGCCATTAGATTAATTAATAAGATTTCAGCTAGACATCCTGAAAGAATCATGGTTGTGAATTCTGAATTGGAAGGATTGATCAATGATTCAAATAGATCAATTTCTACATTGGCCATTACTACATTATTAAAAATCATGGGAGCTGGTACTACTGCAGTTGCTGGTTCAGAAGGGGGTGAAAGTGTTGATAGATTAATTTCCAAAATGACTTCTTTGATGGATGAAATCACGGAAGATTTTAAGATTGTAATTATTGAAGCGATTGAAAATTTGGCACTTAAATTCCCAAATAAACATAAGAAATTAGTGGCATTTTTAACTGATTTATTAAGAGATGATGGTACATTACAATTAAAAACCAGTATTGTGGATGCTTTATTTGATTTAATCAAGTTTTTACCTGATGCTGATGCAAAACAATTAATTTTAATGAATTTATGTGAATTTATTGAAGATTGTGAATTTACGGAATTATCAGTTCGGATATTACATTTATTAGGTGATGAAGGTCCAACTACATCTAATCCATCATATTATATTAGACATATTTATAATCGATTAGTATTGGAGAATTCCATAGTTAGATCCAGTGCTGTTATTGCATTAGCTAAATTTGCTGCTGTTTGTGGTGGTGATGTTGCTAAGAATATTACTATTTTATTGGGTAGATGTTTAAATGATGTTGATGATGAAGTTAGAGATCGTGCTGCTATTTCATTGAAATTTATTGAGAATAAATGTAAGAAATTAATTGTTAGAGAATCAAGATATGATTTATATTCTTTAGAAAATAAATTAATTTCTTATTTAAATGATCCAGCTAATTTTGTTGATAAATTTGCCATTGAAGAAGTTCCAATTGTTTCTAATGAAGAATTGAAATCAATTGAATATAATATCAAGATTAATAGATTAGAGAAGAATGCAACTTCAGCCACCAATGAGTCTGCCGTTGGTGCCGAAGATCAAACGGGAGGCAGGGCCAAGACTGAAGAACCTAGTGAATCCAATGCTGCTGCGCAAGAATTATTAAAACAACAAGAATATGCTCAAGAATTATCTTTGATTGATAATTTTGTTGATTATGGTAAATTAACTAAATCAACAATTGTTCCAATTTATTTAACTGATAAAGAAAATGAAATTGTGGTGAATGTTGTTAAACATTTATTCATTGAATCCCAAAAATTAGTCTTACAATATAATATCACCAATACATTACCTCATACTGCTTTACAAGATATTTCCGTTATTTCTCAACCTGATAATGAATTATATGAAGAAGATTTCATTCTTCCCTTGGATGAATTAAAACCGGACCAAACTGGAATTGTTTATGTTTCTTTCAGTATTCCTTCAATTGACGAACAAGCAGATTTGATCTGTAGATTTGGAAATACAATTGCATATACTAATAAAGATATGGATGATGATGGGAACGTATATGAAGGTGATGATGGATGGGCTGATGAATATCAAGTTGATGATTTGGATGTGTTGGCCTGTGATTTCATTACTCCTTTATATAATTCGAATTTCACCGCTTTGTTTGATCAATTGGAGATTCATGATACTGGGGTAGTTAATTTGACTGGAGAAGGTAGTAATAGATTAGAAAACGCGGTTGAGAAATTGAAGTCTAGTTTGAATATGATGGCATTGGATGGAAGTGATTATGTTCCAAGTGATGCTACTAGTCATGTATTGAAGTTGTTGGGTAAAGATGCTTGGGGTGGGAAAGTTGGGGTTTTGATAAGATTGGCAAGTGCTGGTGGTAAGATTGCTGCTAAGATTGAGATTAAACTGGAAACTGAAAATCTTGGTGGATTGATTCTTAATAGTGTATATTAGTTATTTTGTTGTTTAAACAGTATGTAGAGAATAAAAAGACTACACTTTTGTATTGTGATAACGTGTAATTTGTCTATAATATCAGATACACAGAGTATCTATCTATAAAAAAGGTATTTATACAAAATATCAATGCTTCCCTTTGGTGGGATTTGATTTTATTTTCTTCATTTGTTTATATAAGAAACCACCTGAGAAGTAAACCATAATTGCTGCAAGGACAATTAATAAGAATATCCATACTGCACCAGTTGTATTTTCTTTCCCAGCAGTAGGACAAGCATGATGAGATCTAACTTCAAAGAAATAAGAACAATCATTAGATGATCCAACAAATGACACTTGTGCTTTTGCCATCATTTCTCGATCACAAGTAAATGTCAAAATAGTTGATTTTCTTAATCTTTGACCTGATTTTGAATCCAATGCATTACAATAAGCTCCATTTTCATAAGTTAATGTTAATTTCCTGCCTCTAAATTTCGGAGTAGTTGAGAATTCTCCCATTGAAACATATTTATTAGTTTCATTATCGATATAGAATGCACCTATTTTATTTGCTTCTACACCATCTTTAATTTCATTATTATGACCATCATGTGATTTCTTGAATGGATTAGAACAGATTCCTATTGTGTAGTTATTACCACTGTCATAACCTCGACTGGCCCAAGGTAATGGTTTTCCTTCATTTGATATAGAGGAAAGACCACGAAGGTCAATGAATCCTTTACTTACTGGGTGGATGACAGTACATGGGTCTAATTCAGCCTCTTCTTTATGTTCTTCGTGTTCGTGTTCTGGTTGTTCTTGTTGTTGTTGTTGTTGTTGTTGTGGGTTAGTCTCTTCCCTTGGTGCCTCGAAGGATATATGACTTATTGAGTCAAGTATATGAGATCCTGCTTCATATAAAGTGTCATTTTGTTTTGATTCTATGACAGTAATAGTTGCTACTAGTAGTATTAATATTAGGAATAATATAGTTACTTTTCTAAGTATTATCTTAGCTGATTGTCTTAGTGTGAAGTTCATTAGCGAGTGACTGGATATCTATGTATCTATCTATAAGATATCGGGGGGATGTGTTATTATTATTATGTTGAAAGTAAGAAGTAAAAATCTAAATGTCTTGGCTTTATCGTGTTTTTATTTATAAATTTGATGAGAGAGAAAAAAGAAAAAAATTAAAAAATAAGTTTTTTTTTTGGCATGAAATTTTAAGATTTTAAGATTTTTGTCATTTGAGACAAACGACACACTGTACTATACATATGTAGAATGGATACACAACGTGATTATAAGAAACAGTTTATAGAATAATCAATGTAACAATAAACTGATAAATTTAAGGGTTCATATTTTTAATAGTTTTTAGTTCCCTATTCTTTATATACAAGTATTGATTAAGAAAACATTGTCATCTAATCCAATTCAACGGTTTTATGTATAATCTCTAATAATATCTCATCTCTCTTCATGTGTAAAATTGGTTTAATTAATAGAGGCGATGTGAGTTATAAATGATGGCGGATTAAAATCTTTGACTGTGTTTGTGTGTGTCTTAACCAAAAAAAAAATTGAAATTTTCTCACACAGCCGAAAAAAGATTTCTGGTAAGTCAATATACGAGTGTGTAAAGATTTTCTAGAAGTGACAATTTAATTTGCTGTTCTCTAAATGAAAACTCAATCAATCAATCGACAAGTCAATATACAACAAAAGCCAAGACATTAAAAATAGAATTAAAAATCCATTGAAACTCAATCAAGTGGAAGAATCAGATACAACCCCATAGACATTCCCTTACTACATTAACAAATACAGCCAACAACAACAATGGATGCTTGGAATATAACAAGTACAATTCCTTCAACAACAAATATAATACTGGGAATTACACCATCACTTCCGACAATATTAAATTATTCTGATCCTTTATTAAGTAAAATATTAACTTCAAAAAAGGCTTTACAATTATTAGAATCTAATTTCGTATCTCCTCCTTCATTTTCATCCAACGACGAAGGTGAACATACAACATCAGATCAATCATCAAAAGAAAAATCATTAATTGAATTATTAATTGCCGCTTGTGATGGTGATTTAGTAACATTAGAAAGTATAACAAGATCAAATCCACAATTAGTTAATCAATTGTTTCCAACTCAAGAAGCAGGAGTATCTGCATTAATTTATGCCATTTGTTTTAATAATTATGATATTGCTGATTCATTATTAAATAATCATAATGCTGATCCTGATTTATGTGATACTTTAGTTAATTATACTCCATTGATGTGGGCAGTTTATTTTAATCAATTAGATATTGTTAAATTATTATTAGATCATCAAGCTGATCCATTCAAATGTCCTAATGAAAATGAAGATAAAAATGCTGTATCATTAGTTACACTTGAAAATATTGAAATGTATGAATTTTTCAAAACTCATAATTTATTACATCAACAACGAGGAAGTGGTAGTTTTGATGACGGTTCAGATCAACTTTATGGATCAAGTAGTTTCTTACCTCAAGATAATTATGAAGATGACTTATCAACAAAATTAAAAATGCAAACATTAACCGGAACTGAACGTGGACCGGATGAAGACGATGAAGAAGAACAAGCAAAAGGAAGAGATGAAGATGACGAATATGTATTAAGTCAAGATCCAATCTTACGTCAATTACCTGAATTTGATTATGAAAAACTATTACCGGAACAATATTTAAAATTTACTGATAGTGATATCCCTTCATTATTAGATTATATATTTGGACTTCGATCAAAACCAAAATATCAACATATTACAAAATTACCAGCAGCAATAGTTTTCCAATTAATAAGATATTCATATTTAAAAGTTGAATCAATTGAATTGACGGAATTTTTATTTGATTGTTTTACAGCCAGATTAAGAACAGTTACAAATACAAAATCAGGTGCTTTTAATATGGCATTACAAGATTCAGATTCTTCCAATCCTCATGGAGGAGCAGGTGATATCGTTTCACTTAGTTATTGGTTATCTTGTTTACAATTTTTACATTTTTATTTCACCAAGAATGAAATCTATTCAAAATTCCCTCAATTTTTACAAGAAATTATTAATTTAGTACAATCTTTAATTGCAACTTTATCATTCTCAATAAATTCAAGATTAAATTTATTAGTTGATGAATGTTTACTTGATTTCATTAATCTTGTTGATGTTTCCAATGTATTATATGCCAAAGATTGGAATTTATTTAAATCAAAATCAACCCTTCATCCAAGTACATATGATGACATATTGGATATGTTATATCCACCAAATGAACGAGAATTAATGAAACCTTCTCCAATTAGATATATTCAAGTATTGGGTGCTTTAGATTATGTTCTTAAGATTCATCAAGTTGATAATTTATTGAAAATTCAAACATTTTCTCAAGTGTTTTATTATATTAATTGTATTATTTTCAATCGAATCATTAGTCAAAATAAATATTGTTCAAGAGCTAAAGCGATTCAAATTAGACTTAATATTTCGACAATTGAGGATTGGTTAAGATCTCATAATATGAAAGTATATAAACCAGATGCAATTGGTGGGATTGAGAAATTAGTCCCACCAGAAACAAAATTAAATAATTTATTACAATTAGAAGAACAAAAAGATGAACCAGATAAGAAACCTTCTACAACAACTCAAAAGAAGAATCCTCATTATTTACAATTTTATTATAATTCATTATATCATGTGGGGAAAAACCAATTAACCCCCACCATAGAATTATTACAATGGTTACAATGTCTATCCTCCCTTCATGATGAAGACAGTTTCATCAACACCATAAATCAATTCGATTCCTTAAATTATTATCAACTCCTCAAAATCGTTAATAAATTATATAAATATGAAATCAATGAATCCAAATTCCCGAAAAAATTAATCCAATTGCTTAAAAAATTAGTCTCCCAACAGGGGGAACAACAAATCCAAACCGGGTTTTTGCATTATATGACCCAATCAACTTTCTTATCGAAAGAAGTATATATTTACCTAAATCCAAATTTCATCTTTTCGGTAGCATTACCTAACATAACTGAATTAATCGACAATTATGGTTCTGGTATTGGTGGAGTTAAGATCTTACGAGGGAAGAAATATCAACCGTCGTTGCCGATTGGGATTATGGATGATATTGATGAGATATTGACTGAGAATAAGAATAGTCAATTGGCGGAATATGATTATGAACGACAAGAACAGGATATGGATTATAATGATGACGAGGAGGAGGATGGGGAAGAGGGTGGGGAAGAGAGAGTGGATGAGAGGAAGAAGAAGGATGATGATGAGGAGAAGGAAAGGTTTAAAGGAGATCAATTGTTTAAGGAGGTGCAGATGCCAAATGTGTTGATGCATAAGGAATGGGAGAAGCCTAGTATGGATGATTTTGAGACTAATCCGTGGTAGATGAGAGAAAAACACACACAGAGAGAGATATATATATAGACGGAGAGTATATAGTAGTAGCAGTAGCAGTTTTGCTCATAATAGTTAATATCAGACGATTTAAAATCTAAACAGTTTGCAGTTTACTGGGTTTATTCGATCTAGGCTCTAAAATTCACGAAATTCTCACGTAGTTTTGTTCACAACTTTAAAATTAAATATCAGGTGTCTATTATATTTACATATTATATATACAAGCACTCAAACCTAGACTCGATCACTTCTTCATAGTTTCCATAAAATTATTTTGTTTAATACGTTTAGCATTTGCTTTTCTTAATTGAATCTTTCTCCATCTCATAAAATCTTCATTCTTAATCTCTTCTCTCACCAATTCTGGATCAAGCATCTTCCATAACCATTCAGGATATTCTGAATCTTCTAATGCAACTGGTTCATCACCTCTTTGTCTTACTTTTAAATTTAATACAGTTCCTGCTGGACAACTTGATTTAGGTACTTCGTTTTTTAAAATTGTGGAAGTAGAGAAGGAAGCTGGTTTGTTTATTATACTTCTTCTAATGGTGGCGGTGGATTTGATGATATTCCTGAACATGGTTTTAGTTATTTGGAGTAGTCTGGTTCTCGTCTGACTTGGTAGATATTGGTCTTCAAATTGTAGAGAGAAAATTTTGTGAGTTAATTAAAGAATATTTTGGTAGCAAGAAATGTCTGATACGACATCAAAAATGTCGTCCTTTAAATTGGTTGTAAAAAAAAAATTTTTCAGTTTGAACAAATGTACACTACCAATCTAATGTGTGAATGAAAAAAATTCCATCCATGCTTTCAAAAGGGTTGCACATCATACTATTGATCTTTACCAAGACTAACTCATAGTAAATCAATATGCCACCAAAGAAGAAGAACGTGCAAGAAAAGCCAATTTTATTGGGTAGACCAGGTAACAATTTAAAATCCGGTATTGTAGGATTAGCCAATGTTGGTAAATCGACCTTTTTCCAAGCAATTACTAGATGTCCATTAGGTAATCCTGCCAATTATCCATTTGCTACCATTGAACCAGAAGAAGCAAGAGTGATTGTTCCATCTCCAAGATTTGACAAATTGTGTGAAATGTATAAACCAAAGAGTGAAGTTCCTGCATTTATGACTGTTTATGATATTGCTGGTTTGACTAAAGGTGCTCATGCTGGTGAAGGGTTAGGAAACAATTTCTTGGCTAATATTAGAGCTGTTGATGCTATTTTCCAAATGGTTAGAGCTTTTGATGATGCTGAGATTATTCATATTAATGATGAGGTTAATCCTGTTGTTGATTTAGATATTGTTAAGGATGAATTAAGATTAAAAGATATTGAATTTGCTCAAAAATATTTAGAAGGGATTGAAAAGATTACCAAAAGAGGTGGTCAATCTTTAGAAGTTAAACAAAAGAAAGATGAAGCTGAATTAGTTAAGAAGATTATTGCTATGTTAGAAGAAGGTAAACGTATTGCTAATCAAACTTGGACTGCTAAAGAAGTTGAAATTATTAATCAAATGTTATTATTAACTGCAAAACCATGTATTTATTTGGTTAATTTATCTGAAAGAGATTATATTAGAAAGAAGAATAAGCATTTATTAAAGATTAAAGAATGGGTTGATGCCAATTCTCCAGGTGATTTAATTGTTCCAGTTTCAGTATCATTAGAAGAAAAATTAGCTGGTATGGAATCTGATGAAGAAAGAGAAGCTTATTGTAAAGAAATTGGAGCTCAATCTGCATTACCAAAGATTATTGTTGCTATGAGACAAAAATTAGATTTAATTTCTTTCTTTACTGGTGGTCCAGATGAAGTTAGAGAATGGACTATTAGAAGGTGGTATACTGCTCCACAAGCTGCTGGTACTATTCATACTGATTTGGAAAGAACATTTATTTTAGCTCAAGTTATTAAATATGATGATTTAGTTGAATATGGTGATGAAAAATCAGTACAAGCTCATGGTAAATTACTTTCAAAGGGTAGAGATTATTTTGTTGAAGATGGTGATATCATTTATGTTAAGGCTGCTGAAGGTAAGGCTCGTTAAGGCTTGGACTAGTTTACTATAATATATATAGAAATAATCTAATGAAACATCTTCTCCCATAATAAACAAAAAAACAATCTTATCTGATAAAAAAGCCATTTAACTATGAGAAATATTATTATGTATTTATAATTTTGTGTCTTTTGTATTCTTCTTCTTCTTCTTCTTGTTCTTCTTCTATGAACGTGTATAAAGGCTTACATTGTTATAAGAATCATTGAAAAAGGCCGAGCCGGATATGTGCTGTCATTAAATTGGTTACAAAAACTATGAGTATTTTCTTCCAACTAAACAAATCAGACAGATATACATTGATATTTACGAGAGTCGTATATACTATAAACCCTGTTTCCTAATCAGTTTAAATTGGTCTTATGACTATTATTACTTAAATGGTTCTAGAATTGTATTAATAAATCATAAGGAAGAAACGGTTAAGATCAAAAATTCTCCACGTGCCTGTGGTGCCGTAGAATATTATTATTTTTTTTTCAACTGTTAAAATAAATTTAAATTAAATTTAATATTATTTTACCGAATCAATTGAAATTTTGAATTATTAAAAGATGCTTTGCCATAAGCCTTGTAGCAAATTCAATAAATACACGTATATTACTCATTCTATATATAACTTACAGAAAGAATGTTCAGTTGAATATTATAAAATATTATAAATAGTTTTGAATTAAAAGAAGTAGTAGTAGAAGAGTAGTAGCTGTAGAAGATATAGAATTTATTATGACAAGATCAATAAGAAGAATATTATTATTAACAATAACTTTAATAACAATTATATCATTGTTAAGTATATCTAAACGTTTACATAATTTAATTAAACAACACAATTTNCAATTATATCATTGTTAAGTATATCTAAACGTTTACATAATTTAATTAAACAACACAATTTCATAAATGAAGAATTAGCTGTGGCAGATCTACCAACCACAAATCAACAACTAAGAAGAGATATCCATTATACAAACTATTTATATAGTGGATATGATAATTTTACTGCTTTATATAATGGAAATTTGAAATCTCTTGAATCCACTCCTATGCAAGATAAATGTTTCGATTTCTTTAAACAACATGAAGATTCCAATCCTGATTGGAGTTTCCCATTCCATGATAAAGAGGATGCCAAATATGACAAAGGAGTTGACAACAAGCAACATTTCTTTAAAGATCAAATCCATAAATTAACTGTCCAGAAACGTCGTACTGGTAACCGAGAATTCATAGTTCAACAATCAGATTTAAAAGAAATAAATTCAAAATATGAATCCTCATTAGCTCAAAGTAAACTGGTATTGAAGAGTATGGCTGATACTATCTCAGTTATGAGAGTATATGGTAAATGTTTCATCCAAAGTATTCAACCAGGAGAGAAGACTGGTGAATATCATGAATTAAATAATAGATTCACTCACAAGCTTTTCCCTTATTTAACTGGGAAACTTCCAATCTTTCAATCTATAGATGAAGAAAATCCAATTTCAAAAGATACTTACCCAGTATTAATGGATTCAAGAAATAACTTCATGACAAAGACCAAACCCAATACTGATAATATTATCGAATTCATATCCAATAATCTAAACGGAAAAGGTATTGTCATAGCAGCTGGTGGGCTTCATTTAAAAGATTTATTAAGATTAATCAAAATATTACGTGCCCTAAATAATAAACTCCCAATTCAAATCATGCATATTGGAGAACTAAAGAAAGCAAAAATTGATTATATAAGAAGTGCCGCAACCGCTCCTCCAGAACAAATATTTAAACTTAGTAACTCGGAACATTCTTCTTATTTACCTGAACTTAATCTTTTGGAAAGATATCGTGAATTTGGTTCCGAATTCCCCAAACAAGAAATTCAAATTGTTAATTTGGCCAAAACCATTGATCACAGCAAAATCAGAGCTTTTACAGGATATTCCACCAGATTATTAGCACTCTTGTTTTCATCATTCAAAGAAGTGGTGTTATTAGATGCAGATACAGTCCCCTTGGTACCCATTGAACAATTCTTCCAATCAAAACAATATCAATCTTCAGGCACATATTTCTTCCGTGATCGTTCATTACGTGATTATAATGATTTCATAGAAACAAACTATTTCTCCACTTTATTCCCCACCAATGAAAAATCAATCGAAACCTTATTCGACATCCCCAGAATCACATCCAAAACATTAGATAATGTATATATGACCGGTTGGAGACATTTCCAAGAAGCAGGAGTGGTAGTCATAAACAAAAAACAACATTTCTTGGGAATACTTATGACCCTACCTTTGGTCATGTGGAAAGAACCCGTGAATTCAAGTATATGGGGTGATAAAGAAATGTATTGGCTTGGACTTGCCATGGCCGGTGATGAAAACTATGAATTCAACCCCTTGGCAGCTGCTGCGGTTGGATCGGTGACTAATGACCCAAGTCGGAAATTATACACCAATACACCCGCCAATGAAGTTTGTTCCACTCATCCTGGACATGTGGATGATCAAGGTAGGTTATTATGGATTAATTCTGGGTTTTCGTATTGTAAGAAAAATGGGTATTTTAAAGATAAGAATAATTATCCATTTAAAAATTTTGATATTACTGAACTTTCTGAATTATATCTGGCTCCATTACGTATTCGAGCCGCGATAGTGCCACCGGATTTACCTAATTTTAGAAAACCGGGTAGTCCCACCAATCCAAAAGTGGAGAATAATTTCCGAAAATCCTGGGAATGGAGACCGAAGGATATTGATGAAATTAATGAGAATATAAAGAATGGGGATGTGAGATATGATTTTATTTCTCATTGGGGGCCTCAGAAGGGGTGGATTAAGAGTGATATATGTAATGGATATTATTATTGTGCGTATGATTCAGTAGCGAGTTATTCGGCATCGGAGAAATATGATAAAGGGAAATTATTCGAGTTTGGAAAAGAAGAAGTGAAGTTGTATGATTATTTGAGTAAGATTTGGCATACTGGAGGAAATAGAAAGGTTTATACAGATGGTTAGTTAAATTTATAGAAAAAAATTGGAATGAATATTTAGATTCTGTTTATATAAAGGTAGACTGCTACTTTTTCACATTCAATACAACAGCATGTGTACCCATAGGTTTGATCAAGATAGTTTTCTCCTTATCAGAATAGCTATTGTCATCGACAAGAATGTCAATCAGTTCTTCTACGTGTTTCTTCATACGTTCTTTATCTTCATCTCCAAGCTCAGTGATATATGATCTAGTTTCCCAATATTTCCATACTTCATCTCTCTTAATTCCCTTGTCATAAAACACAAACAAATCTTTGATCTCGGACCCGAAAAAAGGATTAGCCCGTTCTAAAATTGGTCTCCATTTCCCATGTCTATATTGAGGAACATGTTGATCAAATGAATAGATATACTTAGTCACCTCTGCATTCCATTTCTGATTATCAAAATAGCTTTCAAACAATTCAGAACATTTCTCATATTCCTCAAACTTAATCTTATCAAAATATAAACTATTATCATTAAAAAATTTCGCATCTGCAACTAATCCAGATTGACTTGGAGAACTATAATCAAAATTCCAAATCAATCCCAATTTCCCATCTGGTTTCAAAACTCGATTTAATTCAGCAAGACTTTCCAAATCAGCAAACCAATGGAATGCTTGTGCGATAATAATGACATCCACTGTCGAATCACCCACAGGCAATTTATATGAATCTCCTTGATGAACATTTTTTAAATCGGGGAAATTGGATTTAAAACTATCAAGCATTCCAGAACTTGGTTCTACAATAATCAAATTATTATTCTCATCATTTGAACCCCAACCATTCTTAATCAAATTATGAGTAAATTTTCCTGTACCAGCAGCTAATTCTAAAATCACTTTCTCGGTCTTAAATTTGAATTCTCCGTCTTGATCTTGTTCTGCTAAGCCAAGTTCAGCAAGGAATGGGTTTACTAAAACTGGGGTAAATGAAGGTCTATAAACATCGTACTCTGCATGGTTTGAGTTGAATGAAGTTACTGCTGTGTTATGAGCTTGTTTAGTTGACATTTTTCGATGGTTTTGATATTCATTGGATGAAATTGGAAGAGAAATTGTCCATTTTATAGTCAAGATTGCTCAGAACCAAAGCTTGATTGTTGTTTCTGGTTTTGAACAATGGGTGATAAAATTCCAGCCTCAATTTTGAATTGCGAATAAATTATTAATTAGTGACAACATGGAGTCATAATGCAAATCTATAGTGATTACTGTTTTACAATGGGTATTCTATACTCTATCAAATACATTTAAAATCTAAACAAATATCTAGAAGTAAATAAGCATACATAAAATAAACCTCATAACAAATCAAAATAATTCAAATAAAAATCATACAAAAAGAACAATAATAACAATTGTAAATAAAATACCAGCTAAGGTAGGTCCCTCTGACCTTCCAGCATCATTAGATAAGTCCACTCCGACAGCAGTATAATAATCTCCTACTTGCTCAGGAGAATCATCAGTAGCAACACTGCCAGTTGAGATACTTCCTGAAGGAGCACCCTCAATGACATTTTCTTCACCATTGCCATTGCTTTCGCTACCAGAACCACTACCAATATTTTCACCATTGCTTGGGCTGTCAGAATCATCACTGCCACTGCCACTATTAGCACCACCAGCAGAACCACTATCACTCTCGCTCTCAGCATTGATATCACCATTACTTCCACTACCGCTATCAGTCCCGCTGAGATTGATACTATTACCAACATTATTAATTTCACTAAGAACATAGTCAGTAACTATGGAAGTTCTGGTGGATGTAGAGGTAGATTCCTCGATAACTTCTCCACAGGTATTGTCTTTACATTTAGTAACAGTTTTCGTTAAGGTAGTGATAAATTCTTCTTCAACCACAGGACAATAAGTTTCAATGATAATCAAGTAAACCGATGTTCTAGTTTGACATTTATTTTCCACTCCACATTGAGTGACGGTTTTAGTATTTTGACGAGTGATGGTAACAAACAGCGACTTTGGTTTGGTTCCGATGTAGTCAGTTGTGGATACAAAATCAGAAGCAGCACTATGCACAGCATCACTGCTTGTAGTAGCAGCAACAGAAACCAGTGTACGATCAACATCAATGTCCGTATGCCTAGACCCAGCAAGTGAATGACGGGAACCATGGCGTGTAGTAACAGAAGCATCAGATTCAATTTCACTTTCAACAGGATTCTCATCAGTATTCTCAAGTTGAACTTCTAAATTCACACATCCACCATCTTCTTCAACATTGACATGTACAACAAAAACACCAGTAGCGGTTTCACAAACTAAAAATTCAACAGGTTTTGCATCACCCAAATTTCCATCGGTTATAGTATTGTAATAAATTCCACCATCGACAACAGAAAACCCTGGAGATGCATCCTCCTTTGAAGTTGTTACAACCAATCCATTGGTCAGATTTTGAATGTACAAACCATCGGCAATTACAAGATATGTATTCTGGATCGAAAATGTGATTTCTTGATAAGTTGAACCAAAAACAATACTATTACCATTCTGAGCAAAGTGACCATATTCCTGTCCTTTCAAACTTCCCCAGATTCTAAACGGTCTTGTAGGATCTATTTGAGTTGGTTGTGGTTCGATTGAAGACTCCTGTGAAGTTCGGGATGTAGTCTGAACTGAAGAAGATTCGGTTTCCAATAATGTTCCACTTGATGATGATTCCAGAGATGATTCACTTGATGATGATTGAGGTTCTGTTGAACTTTCCAATGAAGTCTGAGATGATGAAGATTGGGTTTCTGATAAACTTTCGCTTATTGATGAACTTGTCGAAAATTCCAATACTGCTGACGATTCGGGTGCAACCTCCTGTATATTCTTTGGAACTAGCTCAAGACTCATACATCCTTCAACATTAACATACACCAACAGGTCACAAGATGTGAATTCTGCAACTTTACGACGACGTAATCCTGATTCTTCTGGTGGATCGTAGTGAATTTGGTTGTCAATCATAGACCACCCTAAAGAAGCATTCTCTCTGCCTACAGCAAGTAATAAACCATCCTCTTGCACTTGAATGTATTGGTCTTCTATACCAACACCCATGACACCTTCTTCAATCGTGAAAGCAGCTTCATCTTCTTCAACAAGTATAACATGGGTTCCGTTAAAACCAAAAACAAGCTCCTCTTCACTAACGACAACATCAATTGTAAATGGTTCTTCGGGGACGACTTCTGTGGGCTCAACAACTTTACTAGTTTCTATTCGATCAATTGTGGCGGTAGTAACTTCCGTTGTAGTCTCACTCGAGAAAGGCTGGATTTCTGGAGAAGATGCTTCTTCCAGTGAGCTAGAAGATTCTGGTTCATCTGAAGTGACCATAACTGAAGATTCTGGTTCATCTGACGTAGCTTGTGCTGAAGATTCCTCTGAAGTAGATTCATTTGAAGATTCTGGTTCATCTGAAGTGGCACTAACTGAAGTTTCTGGTTCATCTGAAGTAGCTTGAGCTGCAGATTCTGATTCATCTGAAGTAGCANTGAAGATTCCTCTGAAGTAGATTGAGCTGAAGATTCCTCTGAAGTAGATTGAGCTGAAGATTCCTCTGAAGTAGATTGAGTTGAAGATTCCTCTGAAGTAGATTGAGCTGAAGATTCCTCTGAAGTAGATTGAGCTGAAGATTCTGGTTCATCTGAAGTGGAACTAACTGAAGATTCTGGTTCTTCTGGATTGAATTGAGCTGAAGATTCTGGTTCATCTGAAGTAGTATTAGCTGAAGATTCTGGTTCATCTAAGACAGCATCTGTTGAATAGTCCGCATCTTCTGAAATTTCAGGTTCATCTGAGGTCACAATCGCTGAAGTCTCTGGTTCATCTGAAGTAGGATTAGCAGAAGATTCTGGTTCATCTGAAGTAGTATTAGCTGAAGATTCTGGTTCATCTAAGGCAGCATCTGTTGAATAGTCCGCATCTTCTGAAGTTTCTGGTTCATCTAAGGTCACAATCACTGAAGTCTCTGGTTCATCTGAAGTAGTATTAGCGGAAGATTCTGGTTCATCTAAGGCAGCATCTGTTGAATAGTCCGCATTTTCTGAAATTTCTGGTTCATCTGAGGTCACAATCACTGAAGTATCTGGTTCATCTGAAGTAGTATTAGCTGAAGATTCTTGTTCATCCGTAGTAGCATCAATTGAGGTTTCTTGTTCATCTGAAGTAGCATCTGTTGAATATTGAGGTTCTCCTGAGGTTGATACTGTGGAATAGTCCGAGTCGTCTGAAGTTTCTGGTTCATCTGAAGTAGTATTAGCTGAAGATTCTTGTTCATCCGTAGTAGCATCAATTGAGGTTTCTTGTTCATCTGAAGTAGCATCTGTTGAATATTGAGGTTCTCCTGAGGTTGATACTGTGGAATAGTCCGAGTCGTCTGAAGTTTCTGGTTCATCTGAAGTAGTATTAGCTGAAGATTCTTGTTCATCCGTAGTAGCATCAATTGAGGTTTCTTGTTCATCTGAAGTAGCATCTGTTGAATATTGAGGTTCTCCTGAGGTTGATACTGTGGAATAGTCCGAGTCGTCTGAAGTTTCTGGTTCATCTGAAGTAGCATCAACTGAAGTTTCTAGTTCATCAAAAGTAGCATCAACTGAAGTTTGTGGTTCATCGGAGGCGACATCTGTTGAATACTCTGGTTCTTCTGAAGTAGGATTAATTAAAGTTTCTGGCTCATCTGAGGCAACATCTGTTGAATATTCTGCTTCATCTGAAGTAGCATCAATTGAAGTTTCTGGTTCATCTGAAGGAACATCTGTTGAATATTCAGGTTCATCTGAAGTAGTATCAATTAAAGTTTCTGGTTCATCTGAGGCAAGATCAGTTGAATATTCTGGTTCTTCTGAGGTTGATACTGTGGAATAGTCCGCGTAGTCTGAAGTTTCTGGTTCATCTGTTTCTGGTTCATCTGAAATCACATGAGCTGAAGATTCTGGTTCATCCGAGGCAAGATCAGTTGAATATTCTGGTTCTTCTGAGGTAAATTCTGTGGAATAATCTGCATCGGCTGAAGTTTCCGGTTCAACTAAAGTAGCATTACCAGAAGTAGCAGTTTCTGGTTCATCTGAAGCAACATCTGCTGAATATTCAGGTTCATCTGAAGTAAATTCATCCTCTGAATTCTCACGGGCTTCGAGTTCATGTTGTTGAGAAGCAACATTAGTAGCAGATTCAGGTATCTGAAACGGCTTTTCCTCAGGTTGATCTTCCGCTGATGGTATTATCTGCCTATCTGAGGATTCCTCGAACAAGATCTCATTTTCTGAACCATCAGCATCATAGGATTCTGGGTTTTGCATAGGAGTTGAATTGACCATGTTAAATTTTCTTATAGCGAAGCACTCGGTTGTCCCACCTTCGAACGTAACCTTATTTTCCCTTTGTATGGTCAATTTACATGAACGAATAGTCCCACCAAGATTAAGAACTCCTTTGGTTTCATCAAGTGTATAATCAAGTAATATTGCTCCCTTTATGGTTTCAATTAACGCCAACGGATAATTCCCAGAAAGAGGGTAGCCAACATTCATGTCATCCGCCATGAGGACATCACTGTCAAAAGTGAAATCAGTTGCATATAATAGGTCAGTTGTTAACAAGCAGGATTCCTGGTCACATGAAAGGTAATGCTTAACTCCATTAATTTCATAACTTAACTTAAAGTATTCGGATGCTTTTGATAATTTGAGAAGGTAAAAACTCACTAACAATGCAATGGGGTTCATTTTCTTGGGGGATTTCTTTTGTAATAAAATGAATGTACTGGTTAATAGAAAGTGTAGTTAATTGTTAATACTAATAACTCATATTGTGAAATAAATCAGGTGAGGGAGCGATCTCGGTGGTTTTTATATTAACTTGATCTAGATAGATCTCAAAATCTTGAGAAAGATTCATGTTCTAAAACTGTGTCGTGTTCTGTCTCAGATGTGTTTGAATGGATCCTCAACAGTTCTGAAACCCAATGCTTAAAACACTGATGCCCAGCGTAGAAAAAAGTTGCTTAGTAGTAATTCATCCATCTCAATACTCCCTAATTATAGTAAATAGCAACTAAANCATCTCAATACTCCCTAATTATAGTAAATAGCAACTAAAGAACAATATCGTAAGTCATATGACAGTTTATTGATGAATCGTAGCACAATTCTAAAGATACGGTGTTTAAACATAACATTTTTTTGGTGCCTTTGGGAAAGAAAGAAGGTTGTAACAGATTTGCAACAACCTATGAATTTTTAATGTTTTGTGGTTTGCTTTTAATCTTGGCATATGGGAAACCAACACTTTAGATCTTCCTTTTCAACCTTGATCCTAATAAAATTAAGAAGACACATTTGTTTTGAACCCCACGATATGTGTTTACGGAACATCTAAGGGGACCAACCCTTGGCTGAGGAGTTAAAAAGATGGATTCGGGACTGTAAAACGCATACTGAAACTCCAGCATTCAAAAGACTTAAATATTTTTAAAGGGGTTTCGGTTTCCATACTTTCCCCTATGTACAGTTTTTATTGTTTTAATTATCTATAGAAACAGCTACTTGTAATTTATTTTGGTAAATAAATGTGCTGTGTAGTGAGTAAGTAATTGTGCTTTGTGGTCATGCGATATCGATGAAACGTTTAAGGATCTTGAATATCTTGGGAAGTGGAGATCCTGGGGATAACCGTTGTCCGATATTTCCAACACTTAATTATTTTCATTCACAATAATAATCTCAGCTCTTAATTTCTTCATGTGTATGAAGTCTTGCATTAATACATATCTCAACAAGCCATTGCTCATTTCTCTTTAACCATTAAATTGAATTTGGGTATTATTTACTGCACTTTTCCTTTTCGGTTGTAGTCTAGACATTCAGTTTGTGATTAAGCTGGAGAATAATTAATTTAACAAAAGAAATTGATTTACGAAAAGAAAAATGTACATCATTTAAAATTTTTTTGCAGCAATCAAAGCTATCCATCAGGTGAAGATGACAGAACAATGGGTCACAACAAATGGAAAGTCAAACGCTACTGAGAATCGATCAACTTAATTGTTTAGAGTAAAACTCGAAACAAAAGGAGTATTGGATTCCAATATTCATCTTCTATGAATATATTACTGCATGTTCTACATCGAGTTCATATTGTATAAATATATTAAATCTAAATAGTCGTCTTTATAATAAAACCATAATAATTCTTTAATCCATTAAAACCATAAAAATAATAAACAAAAAATAATAATAATAATAAATATATTAATGCCTTGGGTCGACCCTTGGGAATCGTGCCCATTTCATAAACTCACAATACTCGTCAATCCGCTTGATATCATCTACCAACTCAAATTCATTTGCAAGGTAATATAACGACTTTAGTATCGATCTCTGATCTTGGTGGTCGAATATATGTACTTCTAAGAAATAAAAATTAATCACATCTAAAATTTGATTATCGTTTAAAACCCGTTTAATTATCAACCTTATAACTTCTTCCGATTTGGTGATTCTTAAAAATTCTAAAATTTGTTGGAACGCAGATACAGGCAATTCTGATGACTCTTTATTGATCAATTTGATAAATTTCAAAACCTTGTAGAATTTATTCATAACAGCTGGTGAGTCATTTGGAACTTGTTTGGCAACTCTGGTTAATTGTTCAAATAATAAAGTGGTGAAGTTTTCACTTGTGCTTTCTTTCAAAATAGACCTGCGATTATGCTCATATAAATCTCTCATGTGTTCAATATCTCCACTTGATAATATTTGCAATGATAATTCTTTAATTGATTTATGCTCTTCAAATTCAGTAATAGGTGTTGATGTTTGAACAGAATAAAGAAGTTTTGCATAACTAATCAATTCACTAAGTTCAGTTGAAACGTGTCTAAGCTTGGCATACTTATCAAGGATATTCTTGGTAGCTTCTGGAGTGGACAATGCTAAACGATATCTAATCAATGCTTCACCCATCTTTTCATTCAATTTCACGCCCTTGAAAAATTGAACAAAATGTGATTCAAACAGATTCAAGTCTATTTGTAAATCTGCCTCAAGTAAATACACAGCTACTTTTGGATCACTTAAACCACATTGCTTGAATAATTTGGAAATCAATTCATACTTTTCACGACTAACCAAATAATTGAAATATGCTTCCATCCATTCAACATCTTTGTTGTTCTCATAAATTTTAGGGAAATAGGTTTCTTGGGTCATAATTTTTGATGGTGGTCTATCCTTAATGGCAGCAGATGATTCAAATAACTTAGCCAATAGCTTAGTATCAGTAATCCCATTTTCATATAAATAACTAGCAATATGATAATTCAAATTTCCAAAATTATGTTCAATCAATCGTTCAGTCAAATCGAGTTTATTTTCAAACTTCATATTCGATGACCATAATCTTTCCACAAATTGACTAATCTTGATTTGTGATTGTACTAACAAAATATCAACAATGAAATTATAATTAATGATTGCATTCCAGGTATTGAATTGGAAATTATATCCTTGATGGAATAATTCCAAAAATCTACGCACACCTTTCTCATGATAAATAGTTAATAAATAACTTATATCTAACTCACACTTCAAATCAACTTCTTGAGTTCCCATCACTTGATTCTGAATATTCAAATAATCACAAGTCTCGATCATAGCTGGGGTCAATTGAATCGCTTGATTAGTTGCTTCGACTAAATGCTTAAAATGCTCTTTTAACAGTTGTCTGAAGTCAATCATTTCAGATGTCAATTCAATATAATGATTATCAGGATCTTCAAATTGATTTATCAATATGGCTTCAAATTGGGCAATTTTGGCCAACAAGACTGTTTCATTACCAGTATAATTCATCAATTGACGTGCAATTATAACTAAACCATAAAGATTATCAGTAGCTAAATCAACATTATTAATAGCGTTCCAGACCATAGTTGAATTCATAAATAATTTCACATTGTAATCATTGACGGATTGAACTGCCATCTCATTGGTAGCCAACTCCGGTGGAGTTTGAACCATAAAATATGTAATAAATTCAGAAAGATAATCATTGACATCAGTAGACGTACGATAATGTCTAGATTGAATTTCTAATAAATTGCTAAGTAACCCAAAATAATATTGATTGAAGAATTCACCAGGTTGTTTATTGAAAATAACCCCATTGTACAAATAATCACAAGCTTTCTTCATGGCTTCCAAATCAGCAATCAAATGTTCTTTCAACATGATTTCTTTTAATAATTGGAAAATATGTTCATGATCACCCCGGGAAATACTCAATGAAAGTAATAAATCACGACATGAAGCACCATTCTGTTTCAACATTTCAATAGTAGATGTAGTTTGGAAATCTTGTCTAATTGCTACTCGATTATATAATTTCCAGATTGGCTCTAACAAATTTTCATTATTTGGTAATTCATTAATGAATTTGCAGATTATAAAATTGTAGAATGAAACTGGTAATTCTGGAATATATGCAATTGAATTAAATCTTTCTAATAATTCATATCCTTTTAATAATTCCCCGGTTTTGTTGATGTGGTTCTTGATAAATGCAGCAATCAAATCACCGATTTGTTTCTTAGCCGGTCTTGTTTCAAATTGTAATGAATTCTTGTAATCCAATAAAATTGTATCCAAGAATTGACCGGCCTGTTGAATATTGCTGCTACAAACCAAGGCTGTAATAACTGCTCCATAAGCTTTAAATTCATCAACGTCAGGTAATTGTTTGTAACTATCATATGCAGTCAGAATAATTTCATATACATCTTTACTATCCAAGATCTTAAATTGACTAAAGTATTTAGAAAGTTCAATAACGGAAATATAAAATTCTTTACTTTGACTAGATGTTTGAATCAAATCACTTAATGAGTGAATGACGGTAGTATTAATTAATTCTGGATATTGGTTGAGAACAGTTAATAACTTAGGTAATATCTTGGTTAAATCCAACTGATTTCTTGGAATAGAATTAAATAATTCAACACTTATTTGAACAAATTCCTTCGATTTGGTAACAATTTCACCATACTGTAACGTATTCTCGGCTGAAACATCAACACATGCTAAACTACCATCCAATAAAGCTTCAAGAACAATATTGTAGGTTTCATTATTTGGTTTGAGTCCGGCATTAAGTATGTCCAGGTAAACGGTTAATAAGTTGGTTAACTTAGATTCAATTGAACTTAATTTGATTTCCGAATCCAAGTTTCTCTTGACTATTGAATTAAGCACGAGATTATATAATTCGATAGAAGGTAAATGCAAATCATTTCTTTTAATGGATTGATATAATGGGTATATTATGTTTAATTCTTGTGGAGAAGTATGCTTCTCATATGCATTGGTGATGTTGGTAATTTGGGTTGCCAAGAAATCTGTATCAAAAGTATCGACTTCTTGTTGTGATTGTTGGTGTTCTTCTTTTGCTGAATGTTGAGCGGAATTCTTGATTAATTCCACGATATTAGGAACTGGTATATCATCAACATTCTTTTGTTGCTCTGGTTGAGTTGTTGTTGTGAATGATCTTTTGGCTATACCAGATGAAAACACACTTGAGACATGTGTTTGCATCGAAGTGGATGGGGTCATGGCATTTGCGGTAGAAGCAATAGCAAGATAGCTATGAGGTCTAAAGGCCAATGACGATAATATCTTGGTAGTTATACTCTTAACATTCTCAATATTTAATGGTGAGTCAATGATAGCTTTCAGTATCAAGTATTTAGCAGTGAATCCTAATAGTATAAACTTAATGTGGAAAATAGATAAGCAGTGTCTATGATGATGATGATGACGATGATGACGATGGCGATGACGACGGTGCTGATAGTTATTACTTCTTCTGCGGTGATAATCTTCAAACTCCTCAGCAACCCCATATTGAGTTTGTTCATTCATTTGTATTTCTGACAAAAAATAATGTAATAAATATCGTTCATGTTCCAATTGACGCTGCTGTCTTTCTGATTCATGATTAAAGATGGAGTAGTACATTCCATAATGACCATTGTCTAATGTTATAAAGTCCTTGAATGAAGCATTATTGCCAGGATGGAAAGGATTCTTGGAAAAAAACCATCTTGCTCGATTATAATACCTAGCTTGAAATCTGACTAATTGATTGTATTTTAAATATGGATATGAACTTTGAAAGAACTGTAACTTTATAGTATGTTGTTTGTTAATAGCTGAATACTTAGCTAACCGTATTATTGTTTCAAATACCATTGCTATTTATATAGAATCAATTTAGGTTGTAAATAAAAAACGATTGGAAAATTACTTGGAAATTAAATGCATTAAACCCTGAATAGGAATGACAAAATTATTAAAATTGTTGTTGTTGTTGTTGTAAAACAGTACTGGTTAGTCGTTTGTCTGTCTTCTACTTCTACGTAGTGGTATTCTACGTCTTTTCTAAAAGTCTATGGAATGTGTTAGGAAAATTAAAGGGATTGAAGTTTTTCAATTGGTTGTAAAAAAAAAAACACATAAGTTAAAATAATAAAGGGGTTTTATTAAATGTTTTAGAAAATCAGGGAAAAAATAAAGAAACAAAAAATGTCGTCGGCAAGCATTTATGGTTTTGGCTTGGTCCAAATGTAATTTCCATTGTTTATTTTTCGGTTTTAGTGTACAGAAAAAACATTCTATTATGGAAAAATTCGGAAACCGTTAAGATTGTTTTTTAGTGTTAATAAATGTCGTTCAAACAATCCTTTCAATTATTCTTCCGGTGGTAAACAATCCAACTCAATGGTTCGTACTATTTGGCTTAACATAGAACTCATCTCTCTTCAAGGGGTACATTTAATAGAGATTAGTAATACAGTCATAATACAAAGTCAAACTTCTTTATTGTGGTTTGAAATGTCCCCTCCCTCGAGCCCCACCTCCTCCCTCCCTCCCTCCCTAATTCCTCTCCCAAATTTCAGGTTATAATCCCCCAACCCCAAAGTTTCTATATTGAAATAAAAAAAAGAAATCCCCTCTTGTTTACCATTCGGTGATTATTGGGCTAATGATCGCATATGGTATTGGATTAGATATTACACAAATTTATACGTGTAAGTTGGAACTGATTGAATAGTAATTCATAAATATATGTAATTAAAGTAATGTCGTTCCCGTATTTCAACCAATCAAACTTCGACTAATTTTCTTCCTAAGTAATTATGCCACAAAATTAACATTTGGTAAAAAAGTTAAATGACGGGGAACATCAAAAGGTGCGATTCCCGACAATCATTTATTATATGCAGTCCCGGCTTTTGATTTATAGACCGATCTCACTTCACTTTTTTTTTATTGTAGTTTCGTGTTTGTAAGCATAATATTTTTTTTTTGCTTCCGAATGTCGTTTTATTTTCCATGGCTATTTTCTTCTTCTTAAGCTGCAAAAAAAAGGATAATATAATGAGTGGCAAAATAAAAGAAATCACATTGTCCAATCATACAAATGTATGCTGGTCATTCAAGTGAATATCAGGCTCATCATTTTGGAGACATAATATGTCATTCGTCGGTCATGCAAATGTCTCATCCAATATCAATGTCATGTGGTTTCTTCTTCTTATGTGTATTATATTTCGGACTGGGGTTTTTTTTAATCCATGCAGAAAACAATTCAAACTCGGTGTGAGTCCCCACTAGGCCCTCCCTTCTTTCTTTTGCAATTCAAGCTAATCATGCCTAATGTTCGGTCATTCGTTCTATCTTAGCTTTTCAAGTTTGGTCAGTGAACGCACTACTGAGGAAGTCGATTTCCGATTTAGATTGATATTCAGTAAGTTCAATGACTAAATCAAAAAAAAATATGCACCTCATTGCCTTGCTCGGAGCCGAATAAGTCAGGTATTTTTCTTTTGATTTTATTTCATCTCTAATTATGATTTCCCTAGTAAGTTGAATTGCAAATTCTAATATAAATGTGTGGTATTTAAAAACTAAACCCTGCCTCTCACTGCCTCTCAAGATAGGTGATAAATCAATAATATTTCACGGTAGATGTAACTAGTTTGTTTCGTTGCCAAAAACTTTTTTTGCAACCATTTTTTCGCAAAGAATTTAATCGAAAATTATTAGTGAGTTTTAACAAAAGATACCATTGATTGCAAAAAATTTAAATACTTTTCATAACTAATTTTACTAAATGCATACATATTATATATTACTACTTTTCAATCAATGAAAGTTCCAATGCCCTTCTAATATCTTCGTCAATTTCATGATCTATTAATTCCCTTTGACTACTACTCAGTTCGATTGGTTCAGCACTATACAAACTATACTCTTCTTCTTCTTCCTCCGTCTGCAAACCCGCTTCTTGCTTAGACAATTCAATGGCTAACAACAACTCTTCATCCAATTCTTCTTCCTCTATTGATCCGCCATTGACAATATTTTCCTCATGATCTACAGACACTTGACTTGTATCTTTGCTGCTATGATAACTTTCACTAATTGCCAATGCCATAGTTAATTCATCATCTTCATCGTCAAATTGAGTTCCATTATATTTATCCAAAAGTCCATATGTCTTACTCTTAGTATATTCTTCACTATCATATTCGGCTCTACCTTCTCTTATCTTCCTCTTTGATTCGTTTTTGCCAAGCACTCCCATGTTCACCAATTTTGCCTTTTTATTGGATCCAGAAGATTTTATCTCTTGCAAATCACCAAATTGGAAATATTGAATCGTATCACCACAAACAATTATTCCATTTGTATCAATTTGATTTGGATTTAATTTAATGAAATTTATCGGTATCAATTCATTATAGGTATGAGTAAATCGTTTTGGGAATTTCATTGAAATTTCACGTAAAAATTTCCCACTGAAAACATCATAAATATTCGTAACTCCATTATATCCCCCAATGGCAATTATACATCCATTCAATGCAATGGTTGTAACTTGAGGTAATGCTCGACGATTTATTGCTTCATAAATTGATATAGAATATTTGATGTGTTGTAAATCAGGATGGATCTTGACTATAGGTTCAATATCTTTGGAATCTTCACGGATATTCCAAATGATCACCGAGTCATCAGAGAGTAGATTTGCATATAATAAACCATCCTTTCCAATTATGCTTGGGTTTCTATTATAGATTTTTGATGGACGGACGGTTTGCATCTGTGATTTCATGATAATTGTATCATCTGGTAAGATTAATTGTCTTTCTCGTTCCGTTTCAAAGTTGAATACTTTAATGACTGATAGATGACTTATGATAATACTGTGGGATGCATAGTCTACATCAAAGAAATTCTTTTGATATATTAATGCATCATAATAATGTGCTGTATTTGGATCTTCAGCGTTTTCAATGGTTATGTTTCCCATCGGTATTCTCTTGATAACTTCCAATGTTTGATAATTGATGACATAAATATCATTCTCGGTATTTAGAAGGATAAATTTATTGAAATCTGATTTGATATTATATACAATTTCACCAAATTCAAATGACTTGACTAGATTCCCATTCAAAGTCCAACATTTAACATTCCCATTATATCCTCCACTTATAACATCAACTTTATTCCTAAAAATATCCGGGGTGTCATTCATAACAATAGACATTATAGGTCCATTTTCTCTCTCGGGAAACTTAAGTGAACTTACTCTGTTTGATACAGATGTAGATTTATTCAAATCTCGTAAATGAATCTCACCATCCAATTTCCCCATTACCAAATAATTATAATTCATATCCAGACATAAAATATTCAAATTAGTACCACCAGGTATAAAACTCTGATTTTTCCCATTCATCAAGTTCCCCAGAGTAATATTTCCATGTCTTTTAGAAAAGATCATGATTCGATCCGATTTGAAATCACTAATGGTCATATCATTGAATCTATATTCATTGTTTATCAATCGATAGAACTGATGAAGGGATTTACCTCGTTTCCAATTCTTCAAGATATTCAATCTGGCGAAATATTCACTCATCCAATTTATAGAATTAGTCAAACTTGGAAATATCTTCGGGGTATTGAATTTCAAATTGAATGATTTAGTCCAGGTTTCTTTATCATTAATCGCATAATCCCATTTCTTGCATACTAATCGAATAGTATTCAAATATATTGGATCAAGTTGGGAAAAGATTTGAATTAATAATTCTATTGGTAAATCATTTATATTTACATGATGTTGTCGAACAGGGGATGGAGGAAGAGATGGACCCATGGTATTTCCCAAAACATCTCTGATCTCATGTTGTTCTGGTTCTGGTTCTTCTTCTCTTGGGATGGAGGGAGTGATCATTCTGTGGGTGATGAGAAGAATGTTGCAATGAGGTCCAAAATCGCCTTTGCATTCATTTTTCTTGCTTTTTTTTGGTGGATGCGTCAAGAGTGGAACCCCACGTTTTGACTCATAGAAGAAACGCATACTATTTATTTCCTAATTGGGAAGTCTATACTTTTCTTAGAGAATTTTTTTTTTTGCAGCAACTGTTTGACAGAAAAGTGCAGAAGGTTGTTAAACAAATGCCTCACGGATGCCTCGCCGGGTTACTAAAGTAAAGCCTTTCAACATTCGTTCACCTCTATATTCCCCCAAAAAGTTCAGGTGATCTTCCCTTATGCACTGGACCCTGTCTCCCTATCAAGATCAAAAATCAGACTAACTTCTCCATATAGAATTTCATGTTGAAAAAGTTTTAGTTCCCCCCCGGTCGCAGGTTTTTTTTTTAGTTCCGTTCTGTTCCAGAGTCAGTACTGAGTCAGGGCGGAAGAAGAAGAAGGAAGAGAAAAAATTTTTCAACCCCAACAATTTTTTTTACAACCAAAATTGAATTTACTGAATTCTTAAAGATTGAAGAGATCTCCCAGTAAACAATGTCATCTGGGGAACAAACTGAAGAGCAAGCCCCAGTTCCAATCAAGGAACTTACTTTACATGTTAAATTACCTTCATTCTTGAAAGCTGGTGACGATTTACAAGTTCCATCTTCTTATGAAGAAAGCTTAACTGATTTAAAACAAGCTTTATCCATTCTTGTTATTACTAGGAACTTAACTAATTATTCCATCAATGTTAATGGTTTCGATGTTTCTAAGTCATTTGACGATTTAGCCACTTTTGGTCAAGTCATTGAAGAATTGGAATTAGGTGATATTAGTGAATTAAAGGTTGAAATCAAAGAAAAACCATACAATTTAGCTAGTGTTTATGAACAAATCGCTAGATTCAGAGAAGTTGCTGGATTACATTACATTGATAGAATTTCTCACGACTTTGGTGCTTCTGCTGGTGTTTCCAAGTTCAACAATATCAAATTAGATGACGTCAAAGTCAAGCAAGCCAAAGAAGAAACCACTGAAGAAAAGAAAGAAGATGGTGACGAGAAGGAAGCAGAAGCTACCCCAGAAGAACTCGAAGTTACTCCAGAAGAACTTTCTGAAATTTCTTCATTTGCTGAATCTGTTTCAATGAAGTCTGTTTCTGAAAAATTCACCGATTCAACTGTTTTTGACAAAGTAAATGATTCAGTCAAGATCCCAATCAAGGCTTTAAACATTTCTCAATGGTCTCCAGTTCCATCATATCAAAAAGCTAAAGGTGATTTGTTATACTTATCTTTACAAACTTTAGAACATGAAACTTTCAACATTACTTGTCATTTCTCCGGATTTTTTGTCAACAAATCTTCCACTATAAATTTCAATCCTGAACTTAAAATTAATGAAAAAGGTAAGTTCTTCAAGAATTCATTGTTATTTGATTTAGTTTCTTCATTATCTCCATCTTTTACCAAGGTCCTTCAAGAAAATGAAATTAACTTGTCAACTGGTAGCAGCCACCCAGAAACTTACTTATTAGCCAATAACTCATACTTGAATTATCCTTGGATCGTCAGTGCTGACTCTTGTAAGAACTATCCAGATTTATCTAGATCTCAATTACCATTGATCGCTAATGGTGTTGATGGTTCTGACTATGTTAAGGATTGGAATAGTGATATTCAATCCATTAGAGAATTGCCAACTACTAATATCCAAGAACGTATCTTACGTGAAAAATTGATTCACAAGGCTATGTTTGACTTCAACAAGACTGCTACTGAAACTGCCATCAATATTATTAAAGGTAACTTAACCCCAATGAACCCAACTGAAGAAGAAAGTAAACAAATTTATTTGAAAAATGGTATTTTCTACTCTGCTGGTTGTACTACTGTTGATGTCTTTGAAAACACCGGTGCTGAAGAAGCTTCTAGATATATTGCTTCTAAAGATTTAAACGGGGTTAAGGTTATGAACAAACATGATATCCGTGGTATTTATAACTTGGTTACTTGTATTGTTGATTACATGGGTAAGAGAATTATCTGTCAAGCTCCAGTTCCAGGTATTTTAGATTCTTCAGCTGATGAAGAACAAGTTCAAGAAAAGGTTGTTTATGGTTTAGCTAGTGACAACACCAAGATTTTGGAAGATAAATCATTTGAAGAACCATTGAAACAAGTTGCTGATGCTTTCCATATTCAACCTCATAAAGTTGAACTTTCTCCTGAAGTTAAATCCGAAGGTGAATTGATTGTTTCTAAGGATACAAAAGGTATTAAAGGTACTGATGGTCGTAAGTATATCATTGATTTATACCGTACCACTCCACGTGATATCGAATTTATTGAAACAAACTTTGATGCCACCAAGCCAGATTCTTATCCTCATGGTGAAGCTTTAGTAAGACATGAAGCAGTTAGTGAATGGTGGAAACGTAAGGTTTCTGCATTATTTAAAGCCGAAACTGAGAAATTAGAAAAAGAAGGTAAATTAAACAAAGAAGGTGAAGAAAAACCACAAATTGTCTTACCTACTGATCAAGTCGTGTTTAACCCTGATGCATTCTCTTCTGATTTTGAATCTAAAGATGATCAAGAAACTGTTAGAAATATTTCTCAATTTATTAAGGAACATTTAGTTGAAGAATTCTTGACTGAAGTACCAGCTCAATTAGTTCCATTCGATGGTACCCAATTAACCGAGATGTTACACAGAGCCGGTATTAACATGAGGTATTTGGGTTATATCGCTGAACAAATTATTTCCAAGAAGGAAAAATACGTTGCTGATGAACAAGAATTGATCAAGGCTAATGAAGCTGCTGCCGAACAAAAGAAGGTCGAAGAAGAAGCAAAGAGAAAGGAACAAGCTGAAAAGAAGGATGAAGACAAGAAGGAAGATGAAAAGAAAGAAGAAGAAGCTGCGGAAGAAGAAGAACCATCCAAAGCAACTTATGAACCAATATTTGCCAACTATAACGTTCTTTACAGAATTGTTGTTCAAGAAATGATCGCTAGAGCTTCTAAACATGTCTTGAGAAAATTAGTCAGTGAAATTCCTGAATATTTAGCTTCAGCTGCTGTTGCTCATTTCCACAACTGTTTGTTAGGTGGGGAAATCAACAAGACTCCAGAAGTTGAAATTGAAGAAGTTTACAGAAACTTCTATCCTGAATCTGCTTTTGCATTCACCAAATTGACAAGTCAAGATGTTTTAGAATTAGTTTCCAGAGAAGTCTTTATTCGTTTCAGATACACTTTACCTGAAAATTGGATCTCTACTATTCACTTACCTCAATTATTAAGAGAGATCTCCTTGAAATTTGGTATTCAATGGAAATCCCAAAACTATACCTTCACCAAAGAAGAATTCGAAGCCAACAAAGAACAATTCAAAGTCCAATCCCAAGTCATTGAAACCAAAACCACCAAGAAAAAGAACAAGAAGACTCAAACTTCTGTCGTTTCTCAAAAAATCACCGAACGTTCTTCAATCTTTGTTGCTGATGATATTGTTAACTTTGTCCCATTAGTTAAGGATTCCTCTTATAAATCCGGATTAGTTGAAGAAATCTTTGCTAGTGCCAGATCTCACATTGTTTCTGGTGATCATAACACCGGTGTTGTTTTACTTAATGAATTAATCAATATTCAAGAGGGTATCTATGGTAAAGTCAATACTGAAACTGCCAAGTTCTATACTTTGGTTGCTCAAGTTTATCAAGAATTAGGATTTGATAGTGAAGCAGCAGTTATTGGTCGTAAAGCAGTTATTTTATGTGAACGTACTTGTGGATTTGATTCTCATGATACCATTACTGCATATATGAATGCTGGTTACTTTGAAGCTTCAAATGATCAAATCTTGAACTCATTAAAATTATATAAACAAGCTATGAACACTTGGGCTTTAACTTATGGAAAAGATCATCCAACTTTGATCAACACATTGACCAATCTGTCTGAATTAATGATGAAGATTAAGGCATTTTCAGCCGCTACTCAATTTTTAGAAGAAGCTTTAGAATTATCGATTAATATTAATGGAAATGTTTCTCAAATTACTGGTATTATTTATTTCAGATTAGCTAATTTATTAATTTCAGTTGGTAAATTCAAAGAATCAAAGGATTTATATGTTATTGCTCATGATATTTTCCAAAAATTATTAGGTCCTGATGATTCCATGACTAAACAAATTGCTAAATATGTCAGTAATGTCAGCGTTTATATTGAATACATGAAGGTTAAGGATCAAGAAGCCAAGAAAATCGCCTCCCAACAAAAGGCTGCCGCCGCTGCTGCCGCTGCCAATGCTGCTCAAACAAAAGCTAAGTCTCCAGTTGGCGGTAAGAAGGGTGCTGTTGGTAAGAAGAACCAAATCCCACAATCTAATCCAGAAATTGCTAACCAATCAATTGAAGATATCTTGAAATTCATTGAAGGTAATCAACCAAAGAAATCTGGTAAGAAGGGTTCTAAGAAGAAGTAAATTAAGTTTTAAAACAGTGTAAATATTTATAGAGTATTTTAAGCATTTCTTTATTGTACATAGTGATATTAAGAATTTATAAAAAAGTTTATTTATCTATTAACAAGGTCTATAAGACAGAATAATACAAATACTAATGTTTATGCTCATGAGTGTGGTTTTGATGACTATGTTCATGAGAATGTTCATGGGATTCTTCTTCGTCTTCTTCTTCAACCACGTTTTCTTCTTCTAATGGAGGAAGTTCATTAACTTGTTTAAACAGAATAAATACCTTTCTAACAAACTTATCATCCTCTCTAATCAACTGACTTAATTTCTGTTCATAAACATTCAACATCTTTATATCAATCCCTTGAACATCAGTAGCAAGAACAAGATGAATATTAGTATTTGCCCCACTTGATAATACCGATAATTCATTCAATCTAAATTTTTGTAATTCTTGATTGATTCTTAATTCATTCTTAATAATTTCATCGATTTTATCATACAAGACCGAACCTGGTTTTTCACCCCTATCTATCAATTCATACCATGCTTCCAACATAGTATCCCAACCGGCCTTAATAATCAAGAATGAAACCCCAATCCCACCAATTGAATCAAGCCAGGCAACATTGAATAATACACCTCCAGTAACGGTGACTAATGCGACAAAGGCGGTAAGGGAATCAACACGATGATGCCAGGCGTTTGCAACCAAGACTTTTGAATTTGTTTGTTCGGCGACTTTTAAAGTTTTACGAAAGAGTAATTCTTTAACCACGATGGATGCACCAGCAAGCCAAGCAGCATTAATATTTGGGATTTCTTTATGAGGGGATATATCTGTGTCTGAGGTAAGATTTGAATGAGAATGAGAATGTCCATGTGATGGATCTGGTAATCCTGTATGTGTATGTGAATGTCCGATATGGATTTGGGACACATAGTCATAAAGATAAGTTGGCAATGTAAATTCAAAAATCTGAACTAATGATGACCACCCTACTGAAATCCCAGCAAATAATAAGATTGCACTCACCAGAAATGAACCAATTGTTTCAATTTTCCCATATCCCAATGGGAATTTTGTGGGAGATCCAATTTTACTAGCGACATTAACAGTGGCTAATGTTAAAAAATCGGCAACCATATCACTTACGGAATGGATTGCATCGGCTATAAGTGCTTGAGAATGGAAAACAACCCCACCAATCCCTTTGGAAACAGCAAGGGCTATATTGACTAATAATCCGATCCAAGTGATACGCACGGCAGCGTTGTTCCTAATATTAGAAGCACTTGTTGCAAGGAATTCATTAGGATCATGCATCGAATGATGATGATGGAGATGTAATCCTCCTTCTTTATGTGAATGTGTATGACCTTTAGACATTGATTTTTTATCTTTGGTTTTTGTTAGTGTTGATTCTGTCTTTGGGGGTTTCGGATCCGGTATCGATTTATTATGCGCGATGGTAAATGTGGAAAATAATTGTCTTGAATTTACTTGAATTGGAAGACAATTTTGACAATTGCGGTAGTAGAAATTTACACGTAGTCTTGGTAATGATCTGATAGACTCTGGTGAAGTTGTTATAAGACTGAATAGCTTATAGGATGACGTATTTAATCTGCATGTTGCTAGCATGATGTTGAAATTTTTTTCGTTGGATAGGATGGAATGATATTCCCGGGGGGTTAAATTTTTCTACTGTACCAAAAAACGTAGTAGAATTTTGAAATTTAAGTAAGAAATTCACAATTTATTAACAATTGTTGACTATGAATTGATACTTATAAATCTCTTGCTTTGGAACTAACTATAGATATCTATAGAATGGGGACAGGTAAAGATCTAACAGAGAAGAAGCTTATTCTTCTTTCAAGTGTGTTTTTAGTTCTGGATTTTGTCTGATTAGTTTTGTGAAAGAGTAAAGGATTTAATTAGTAAGATTTAAAAAAATTCATATGGAGACAAAAATCCTTTTTTTTTTCCTTCTCTTCTTCTTCTTGTTCCTATAACATCCGATCGTAATTATAGTGGTTTTACTAATTAATTACACTATAAGAGACAGACATAACACTGTTTAATTTTTCACTTCTATTGTGTTTTAAAGTATGTAAAAGTTTCTATAAACTACGCAAATAATTGTTGTACAATTGATGTTGTTACTTTATTAGTTGAAGATTTCTTATTATCAGTTTCATCCTTATCAACATCATCAGAACCAGCTCCACCACTACCACCAGAAGTAGGAATATTACCATCTTGTTTCAACTGCAGTAATCTCTTTAATAGACAACTTTTCTTATGTGCCTTAACCAATTCATCCTTAATTTGTACATCTGTTCTTCTTACATGCATATAATTACAATGTTCAGCTCTTTCGCAACTATCAGTATCATATGCTCTACAATTTGCTTCTGGAAAACTATCAACTGGGGATAATTCACAATGTACAGGTCTACCATTAAACCATTCTTGATTCAACCTTATAGCGGCGTCATTAGCCTGGTCTTCTGATTTATATCGAACATATACATTCCCATTTAGATGATTATTTTCATTTTCACATACTACTATATCTGAAACTTCCCCTAATTTGGCAAAATGTATAAAAATATCTCGATAAAATTGATTAAATGTTTCTTGTATTTGTGCTTCTGATGGCGGATCAGTTTTATTGAGTTTTGGATTCTGATAAAGATTATATACAAGGATGGTCTTGGATATCGTTGGTCTAATATGTTTCTTTGCACATTTCTCTCCATGTCTACATGCACCTATTTTATTATAGAATGCACATGTTACTAGGTTATCATTTCTAGAGCCACTCCCATGACTATTATATGATGTTGAAGGTCTATTCATTGTAATGTTATTAGAATATGTGTACTGTGCGGCTCCCCTTTGATTCTCTTTTTAGAGAGAGATGACTGTAAAAAGTCTTTGTGAGGCAATTTAGAATTTATTTTTTGCCCAGTGCGAGATTTTTTTTTTTTTTGGTGCCATAAATTTATTTGTTGTTTAAAAATTGGCTGCGAGATTTAAAAATTCACTCAAAGGGACAAACAATGAATAAAAGGGAAACAACAGTACTATGTGAATTAATGCATAAATCCCTCAACTAATCAAATGACAGATGTCACACAACAAGTAGTAACAATATATGTAGTTCCCCTCGATGGATAATTCCCTCAAGGTTAACTCCCCTCTCTGTTGAGTTGATTCTATAAAGTATTTAAACCACCTCTCCCCCTTATGTTTGTTAAAGTAGAAAAATTTCGCAACCAATTCAGGAAACTACAAAAGTATGAAAACAATTATTACCACTATTATTAATATATCCATTAAAATACAGAATAAAAGTCATTACAAAGAAACTAATTAACCTATAAAAAACCAATCATAAATATTATTAAATCAAGAATCAACCTTCATTTTTTTGTTCGTTAGCAAGTTGTTCAAGCTTTCCATCAAGATTTCCATCAAATGCATCAATCTCACTATCTTCACTATATGCAACATCACTTTCATCAAGATTACTTCTTGGTCCAACATACCATTTCCTGGCATCAACTACAAACCAAATAGAAACAACCAAAAGAGTTCCAAAGAATACCACTACCGTCCAATTCATTCCTTCTGGGTTTAAATCGGATCCCTTGGTGTATGGGAAACATAAAATAGGAATCATAAGGGCAACAAATGCACAAGAAACAAATCCAATTGGAGTAGACCATCTACCTAAATTCCACGGTCCTGGTTGGAAGGTTTTCCTACTATATGTGATTTTTAATAAGGTTGGAATAGTAAATGAAACAAATCCAGCAATACCACCCACCGAGAAAATAGCTCCAATGGCAACATCACCAGCAAACATTAATAATAAAAAGAGTTGTCCCAAGAATAAATTAATCCAAACCGCATTAACTGGAGTTTGAGTCATTGGTAAAACTTTCTTCCAAATATTTGAGAATGGGAACATTCCATCACGAGAATATGCAAATGTAACTCTTGATGCTGCAAGCATACATGAACAACCCATAAAGAATGATGAAATAATAGTTAATGCACTAGCGGCTAGCACTAATTTATGTGACATGATTTGTGTCAAATATGTAACAAATGGTTGTCCTAATCCTTGTGGATCTTCAGCAATTAAATTAATATCAACAACAGTATAAGCAATTGCAACCATGAATACAAACCCAATTAAACCACCAACGGAACTGGTTAAGACAATAGCTCTTGGTGCTGCAACAGCAGCATTGGAACATTCTTCAGAAAGATGGAATGGGGAATCATAACCTGACATGGACCAAATAACACCAAGGAATGACATAAGCATAGAAACACCCATTGGCCAATCAGTTTGATTATCAAGGGACCATGCAATTGCATTACTATTGAATTTCAGTAATCCTTCAATATCATTAATTTCAGTTCTTGTATTTCCTGCTAAAATCATAATGAAAACAATGAAAAGAAACAAAATGTTACAAATAGTACCAGCAGAATTAAAAGAAGCTAACCAACCAGTTGGTAAAGAACTAATAATACCATGAACAATTTGAATACCTGTAGTCAAACCATAAATTTGTGCATTAGTTGGAGTATATGAAGGATCATTAAATGATCTAAGCGCAAGCATCATACATGCCCCTGACCAATTAACCGATGGAGATGCGGTGATTTGACACATCCAATTTGACCAACATGTTATCCAAGTTAAATAAGATTGATATTTTGGAGGAGCTAATTGAGAAACAGCATATGGAGTACCACTTGCAGTTGGGAAAGCTGATGCAACTTCAGCAAGACTCAAAGCGACCGAAGTGACAAATACCACGGCAATAAGCCAAGGGATGGGTGACATACCCACTACTAATTGTTGATAATCAAAACAAGCTGCAATACTTGGAAGTAATCCCAAGACTGAGAATGACACGGCAAAGACTGACCATAAGGAGAACTCACGCTTAAATTCTTGTTTATAACCAAGAGCCAATATTTTGGCTTCATCATCATCAACGATATGGTCAACATTGATGGTTATATTTTTATGTGAAAGGATGGATGTGACACCTAAATCGTCGACATGAACTTTTGAAAGGATTGGGCGAAGACCCGAAGCTGGAGTTTGGGTACCTGATCTTACTGGAGACTTCATATCATTTATTTAAAAAGACTTTGTTGGTTTGTTTGGTATAACGTAAGAGAATACTTTTTGACATTTGATTATAATTTTAAGACATATTGAAGGATATTTATAATGGAAGTTAATTTTTCAATGTGGGGGATGGATTTATTATTAGCGGCTTTGCAGTAAATCAAAAGAAAATCGGAAATTACTTTTAAAAAATAATAATAAAGTTATTAATTATTTAATTGTTTAATAAATTAAGATAACAAATAATTCATGACACACAGAAAAAGTAATTAGAAAATTTACCAAGAGATTTAATAATTTTACATGTGGATTTGTTATCTTCTGGGGTGCTTTTGATTGCTAAAGCGCATCAAGATACTATCTGATAGTAAGATAGCTTCAAAGTTTGATGTCATATCTTCATATATCAACGTCGAGAACTCGGAGATTTCGAGATTTGAAAGACGCAAAATTTGAAACAAAAAAAGAATTTAACAAGGACCCCTCTCTCTCAATTTGAGAGAACAAGTGACAACAAATTTTATCCCCACCTGAACAAAGAAACATCGATTTCTTTTTCTTCGTCCCGAGCGAATGTTAATTATTTTTTTCAACACCCTGATAAATCATTCGATTGCAGAAGGCTATCTTCCCTATAGATTCATATCGATCACTTAAACGAGATAGCACAGATAGAGAGAACAGTCTTCTGTTGCATAATCTCACCCTGGCTAGTTTCACAAAAAAAAGGGTTTGTTGTCGTTTGACATATTTCTGTCTCAGTGGACCTTTGCGCGCTTCCCATTGTTAATTCCAGATAGACGCAATTTTCAGGCCCAATTAGGAAATCGACAAAACCGATCACTACTTTTTTTTATATCCACTACTACACAGTTTTAGGAAATGATTAATGCGTAATCGTCACGTATTGTCTTGAAATTGTCACTATTGGAAGGTTGTTTTAGAAAAAGCGGAATTACAGCCCTATCCGCTATTTCTAATCAGGGGTAGAAGCGAATATGTTATCTGAATAGGAAGCTTTTGAAATGGGGGTTTTGAGCGGATGCACCGCTGTTAAATCAATTTTAATTACATGGATTTCTGTAGAAGACATAATTTAAAACGGTGGCGAGTAATGCTTGGAAGGCTAATCATGAGATGAGAGGAGGGGCAGTGGCAATAACTAACGATGCGAGAACCATTCGATCTGACAAGAAATGTCAATACCACCAAGGATACTTGGGTATTCACTTTTCTTGAATTGCACCTGAAAAAATACAGCAGCAACTGTTATGAGATTTTGAGGGGAGGCTTTGGTTTTTGTTCGTCTATTCTCTCCTCCCCCTCCTTATCGATGAATTGTATTTCTTTTGATATCGGAGTTTTTCTATTTCCAGTAATTTGACTTTGCGTTCTTTCTATTTATTTTTAGATGATTATCTTATCAACCATTCATCCGAATGATTTTTGTTCTTCTACCGATTGTATATGTCATTTTAAGGAAATCTGATAATGCGTTCGAAGTTATAATGACATATTCGGCGCATTATGATTACTACTTATCGAGAATCAAAAAAAATTTTAGTTTTGCAACAACCAATTTTTTTTTTTTGCAGCACTTCCAAATAGGATTGACAACTGACGATAAGAATCTAATCGACTATGTCTTTTCTTGGTGTCTTCTAACTAAGAAAACAATTGCTTATCAGAGATTGGTATACAGAGCAATCATGTAACAATTTAAACAGCTGATTGCCATCTGGTTTGACGGGTTCATTTTTGAAAAAGTTGTGAATTGCTTCTTTCATTGTTTTCCCCGGAAGAAATCTTTCCTTTACTTTTGTTTTATTACCCCTATCATTCACATTCAAGTTGAAAGACCTTCATAGAAATTGTTCCAATTGTTTCCTCAAAATCCTTTCCATTCGAAGCTATAGCCCTGTTCTCTGTTCATTTCGTCAGAAAGCAGGTTGATACGATGTTCCCCGAATCCCGGGGTAATTTCCCATTTGAGACGCACTGCGACCAACAGCCGTTTGGCAACTTTCCTTAGGGTGATGGTGTTTAGCTAATAGCCACTCAAACACTCCAAAACTACAATCAATTGCACGTATAGAAATATGTATTACATTGCTCTAACAGCTGAGTTCCAATTCTCGTGTAATGTTTTTCCCTAAGTGGAAAGCATGTTGATTTTTGCTTGGCTGAAAAATTGGCCGAACCCTTTTCCCTTTTCCCTTTTCCCACCTCCACTGAAAAAAAAAAATTCCAGAACCACGTTGAACCACTCACCCCCGATCCTTACTCCGGAGTACTGCAGACATGTTACGATCCATCACATTACGATGGTTCATCCAAATCGTCATAACATTGTTGAACATCGGGGGCCTTCTCATCTTTCTCCGGGGCTTCTTTCCTGCCAAAACCGTTCTTCCAGGCTATAATGAATTCACGACAACTGCACCATCACCATTCCTTCATAACGGCAAGCCCCAATTTGATAAAGTCATAGTTATGGTTGTGGATGCCATGAGATCAGATTTCTGTTTTAGTGAAACTCATTCCCATTTCGAATTCTTACATTCATTGATTAATCAAGGACATGCAATCCCATTCACGGCCTATTCTAATCCTCCTACTGTTACATTACCTAGATTGAAAGGGATTACCACTGGTGGTACTCCTAGTTTCTTGGATGCTATTTTGAACGTGCATGAAGATGATACTTCGCAAGGCTTGAATCAAGATTCATGGATATATCAATTCAAGAAGATGAAGAAGAAGATTAATTTCTTTGGTGATGATACTTGGTTAAAACTCTTTCCTGATTCATTTGATGAATATGAAGGCACCAATTCGTTTTTTGTTAGTGATTTTACTGAGGTTGATCAGAATGTTACTCGTCATTTAGATGCTCAATTGGGAGATGGGAAAGAGTGGGATGGTTTGATTTTACATTATTTAGGATTAGACCATATCGGACACAAGGGAGGTCCTGAATCGGTTTATATGAAACCAAAACATCAAGAAATGGATGAAGTTTTAACCAGATTATATGAATATGTTGAGTTGAGAAAACAAAAAGAGAATGAAGATATTTTGATTGTACTCATGGGAGATCATGGAATGAATGAAATCGGAAACCATGGGGGGTCTTCAACTGGCGAAACGTCATCCGCAATGGTACTTATATCTCCAAAAGTCAACCAAGAAAAGAGAGAAGCTCCATTACCTAATAATGATGAATATTCTTATTATCATAAAATAAGTCAAATTGACTTAGTACCTACATTATCCACACTCTTGAATTTCCCAATCCCAAAAAATTCACTTGGGGTAATATCAAAGGAAGTATTGGATCTTTGGCCTCAAGAAGATAGGATTCGTGTCCTTATTGAAAATTGTAAACAAATTATGCAATTATATGAAGCTAAAAATGTACAAGACGAGTCTGAGATTTGGAATCAATGGGTCCTGCTTCAAAAGGCTGATCATCCAATTGAAGACTATTTTGAATTCTTAAAGGAAATTCAACTGGATATGGCGTCTTCAGCTACGAATTACCAATATGGTGATATCTTCACTGGAGTTGGATTATTATTTGTGGCCACCATAAGTATAATCGTATTCTTTAATACTTATTTCATGGGAAATTCCTCAACTAGTGTTCCATTGGTATTGTTTTTCCAATTATTTGTCGTGATTTATTCATTCCATTTCCATGGATCTTCGTTGATTGAAGAAGAACATCAGATTTGGTATTTTTTCACATCAATTACATTGCTTTACTTGGGTGTATTCCATTTCAGAGCATTTTCAAGTGTTTCAAATTTTGCTTATTTCGTATTGATTTTCATTGGTGTCAGGATCCTCAAATCTTGGAATAATAGTGGACAAAAATATTCAACAAACTATAATATTGGGTTTTATTTCAGTCATACCAATGAAGCATTATTATGGTTTTTGATTCTCGTGACATATGTGGCTGTGACTATGACCACTTATATCCAAGGTGGATTCCTTCCTACTTTCAGTCTTATCCCTACGAAAGGCGGTGTGCCTGCATTGGCTGATGCTGGGGTTTTGATATCCCTCGTGTCGATGTTTATTGCCTCCTCGATTTCGTTCCTGTTTAAGATTATGCAATATTATATTGATGGGAATGTTCTTCCTAAGATGATAAGATGGATGTTCTTATATATATTGGATAGTTATGGTATTAGTATCGCGAAAGATGCGGTGAATGATAATGAGTTGAAGTTTAGGTTGCAGGAAGTTAGTGTCCTGATGTCAAATCTTGCGATGTATATCCTTTTGGCGGTTAGTGTTGCCAGGTTTGCAGTTGGGAAATTCAGAGGAGTCAAATATAGATCGATTACTGATTTTACGAATTTGATGACTATTTATCTTATACATCATACTAGACATGAGAATATCCCCATGTTTCTTGTTTTGATTGTTATAAGATTTTCACTTGCCAAATTGATCAAAAGAATGAATAAGCAAGGACTTAATATTGATCATACGATTCTCATTCTTAGTTTGGTCACAATATGTTTACAAAACTTGACTTTCTTTTCAATGGGAAATACAAACCTGTTGGCCACTGTTGATTTATCAAATGCATACAATGGTGTCAAAGCATATTCAATCTTCCCAGTTGGATTACTTACTTTTATTTCGAATTTCTCCGGTCCGGTATTTTGGTCATTGTCATCCTTACAATTACTTTTTGAAGTCAGCAATACAGCTTTCGAAGGTCCGTCATTGGAAGACTTGACATTTTTGCCAGGATTAAGAAAATCTGTATTCGTGATCAAGTCAACTACAACGTTGTTCTTTTATTGTGTGTCCGCTACGAACTTAATTGCCTCATGTATCAATTTAAGATTTCATTTGTTTATTTGGAGTGTTTTCTCTCCAAAATTATTATACTTTGGATGCTGGTCAGTATTTGTCAACTTTTTGATTGATTTGGTCTTAGCTGCTATTGTTTTATTTATTTTGTAAATGAAGGAATAAAAGTATGAAAAAGTCAAAGTTTGTTATTTATTTAATGCAAAAACGCAAAACATACGTTTATATAGTTATATACCCTATAACCCCAATTAATATTAAGAAATAATTAAATCTAACAATTGTCTATTGTAATAATTCATCTCTATAATGTTTCTGTTGATTAATAAACTTAGCAGCTCTTCTATCGTTAACATCTTCTCTCTTCTTTTCTCTAGCCCAGACTCTCTTTTTAGTAGCCAATTCTTGTCTATCTTTCAAGGTCAACATATGTCTAGTTTCTGCAGCAATGACAGTACCTTGACCTTCAGAAAGGACTCTTTCTGGAGTTAAGTTTTGTCTATAGTATCTGGCCATGGAACGATGACCAAGAACTGTACCGGAAGGTAATATCAACTCATGTCCATCTTGATAAATAGCATCTTGTTCAGGAAGGTCAAGTTCTTCTTCACTGTCATCAACGTCTTCTTCACCTTCGTCGCTAACATCTTCCCAATCTTCATCATCTCCTTCTCGCTCCTGTTCACCATCAACGACAACAACCTTTTTGGCAACTTTAGGAACATTGGCATATGTGGATGAGAAATCATAGAATTTAGAAATTTCGAGTTTTTCATCTTCAGTTTCATATGGAATCCTCATATGTCTCTTTTGTTGCATATGTTCTCTAGCAGCTTCTGCGGTTCTTCCTTGATAATTACAAGCAATACAGAATCCAAATCCAATCTTTTCGGCAAGGTATTCGAGAAGTCCTTCTGCATCAACTAAATAACTTTGTTCGGGAATATATAAACCATGCTGTTTAAACATATGGTCCATGTTTTCTTCTATGGTATTGAATTTGTGATTATACTTTGGATGGGCAAAGAGACATGTGGTTGGCAGGATAACAAGCTTGTTGGCCAATTTGTCAGCAAGAAGCTTTTCTTCTTCTTCTTCGGCTGTAAGTTCTTTGGGTTCAGTGGATTCTTCAGGTTGTTCAACTGCTTCTGGTTCCTTTTCTTCTGGGGTGGTTTCTTCAACTTCAACTTCAACTTCAGGCTGTGGTTTTTGCTCCAATTTTGATTCTGGTTTGAGCAACACTCCTCCGTTTTCTTTCATCTTCGCCAACATTGCCATCTTTGCTTGTTCTAAAATCTGTCTTTTCTTCTCTAATAAAGCTTCCTTTTCTCTTCTCCTTTGTTCTTTCTTAGTTAGTTGTTTTTCACCTTTTCCCTTCTTATTGTCAGTAACTGCTTCTTCGGATTCAGCTAATGTAGCAACTTTGGAATTAAAGAGTTCTTCTGAAATTGGAGGTAATTGTGCAACACGTCTTTTTAAATTATAACGATGCCATTCTCCTTTCATATGAGTTCTTTGATCTTCAGGAGTTGGAAACTGGAGGTCGCATGTTGTACACGTAAACATGGTAGCTTGTAATAGTACGGTAGTTATAAAAATAGATTGGTTTTATCTCGTCCAAAGCACCAAATATGATTACTAAAAGAAACAATTGTAGAAGAGAGAGTGAGATGAGATTGAAAAAAAAAATTATTATTATTGTCACGTGAATTATGAGATGCCCATAGAAAGAGATTTTTTTAGAGTAAGCAAACTTAAAAGAAGAAGTCCCCTTGTTTTCTTATTCATACTGGTTAGACGTAGAAAAGGAAGGGTATATCAAACAATGTCGTCTTCATCGTCACCACCATCGTCAGAACAAGATATTTTTGCTGATGTTCTTCCCAAATTAGTAGCCACAATTCGTGCATCTAGTTCACTTGCCGCTCAAGATGTCAATTTCTATAAATCTGTTGATTCCAATCTAGCTGAAGATATCGATGCTAGTGCCAAACGATTAATGAATATATGTAATGATTTAATTAGAGTGACAGATGATACACTGGAGACCAAGATGGAATTTGGACAAGAAAATATAACTAGTGATGTCTCGTGGAATCCGATTGGAAATGTCCTTGATTCCATATTTGAAAAGATTGATTATGCATTTGACCAAGCTACCAAAAAGTCAGTAAGCAAGGCTGAGGGCAAGAGTTTAGAGTATCTCGATGATGGAAGTCAGACTACTTCAGGAAACGAACCAGGAAAGAGAACTACAAAACCACAATTGAAGTTCAAGACACCAATTGATAATTCTGAATCACACCCATTTAAACCAAAGTTAAAAAGTAAACCACATGCTTTAATATCATTTGAAGAAACTTTACAATTAAAGAATCCGAAGCCAAAATATGAAGATTCTATTGAAGTTATAGATCCACCATTTTATCCACAACCGTATGAATATGAAATTGACAACCAACCATATCCTGACGCAATTTTGGAAGCTACTAAACCTATACCTTCTAAGGATTGGTCAAGTACAACAGCTATATGGGTAGATACCCCTGAAGAGTTAACAAAGATGATTGATAGCTTAAAGGGCCTGACTGAAATTGCTGTGGATTTGGAACATCATGACTATAGAACTTATTATGGACTTGTGTGTCTTATGCAAATCTCTAATAGAGAACAAGATTGGATTGTTGATACATTGGCATTAAGAGACGAATTATCAGAATTGAATATAATATTTGCTGATCCACAAATTGTAAAAGTATTCCATGGGGCTTTTATGGATATCATTTGGTTACAAAGAGATTTGGGTTTATATGTTGTATCATTATTCGACACTTATTGTGCGTCTAAAGTACTTGGGTTCCCTAAATTTTCATTGGCATATTTATTAGAAACATTTGCTAATTTTAAAACATCAAAGAAATATCAATTGGCAGATTGGAGAATAAGACCATTATCACCTCCAATGTTAGCATATGCCAGATCGGATACTCATTTCTTATTAAATATTTATGATCAATTGAGAAATAAATTGATTGAGAAAGATAATGGAAAATTGCAGGAAGTATTATATGATTCTAGACAAGTAGCAAAGAGAAGATTTGAATATACGAAATATCGTCCGTTAACCAATAATATATCCAACAAAGTATCATGTCCAGTTATGTCCAGTAATCCAAGAGAACCATATAATAATCTTATGTATCAGTATAATGTACCAGCATTTAAGAAACCAGTTGTCGAAGTTTTATACAAATGGAGAGATTTGATAGCGAAGCAGGAAGACGAATCTGTGAGATATATTATGCCAAATCAATTATTGGTAACATTAGCTAATCTAGATTCACCAGTGGATACCCAAAAGGTATTAAATGTTCCTCATTATGTAAGTGAAAGTGTAAGACTTCATGCCAAGGAACTTGCCGAATTGATTGACAAGACTTTAAAGCATACTGAAGCTAGTGATTGGGATTTGGTTGATAAATGGAATAATCCTTCTGTGAATACCACCAATGATGCATTGGATATTCATGATACTAAGGAATTGTCAAAAGCTACAGATATGCTCAGTAATTTAATTGAGATAAATGGGACTTTACTCAACAATCAAATACCTCAATTATTAGTAAATGAATCCAAGATGTACTCCAATATTTATACTTCAGAAAAGCCGCATATAATGTTAGAGTTTGATATGAAGAAGAATGCTTTTGTGAAGCACAATTTTGAAGAAGTATACCAAGAAAGGTTACAAGCCTTATGGGACGGATTAAAAGAACTTGGTGAACATCTGAATGTATTGATTCCAGAAGAGGAAATTGATCAAGTTGAAGAAGATGTAGAAGTGACAGCTGAGGCTTCACAGCCAGCTCCAACAACCACAACCAAACCAACGTTATTCCCACAAGACAAAGAAATTGATCCAAATGAACTCATCACTCTTCGTAAGCGTAGACCACAACCAAAGAAAACTGGACAAGCTGCTCAAGAAGAAGAAGAAGCGCCAAGTGTTGACTATGCTAATGCTGATAAGATTATGATCACTTCCAAAAATAAGAGAGGTGGTAAGCAAAATAAAAATAAGAAGAGAGCATTTGATCCATATGGGAAGGAAAGTGAGGGACCTAAACCAGCTAAAAGGGCCAAGACTGTTACTACTGGAAAGACTTCAACTTTCAAGAATAAGAGGAAGTAAAACTCGGTGTCATGTGTGTATATTAAATAGACAATACAAAAATATTTTTCATGTAACATATTTATATCTCAACTAGTGTAATCGCTTGATATTGCGTCCTCTGTGTCGGCCACGTCTCCCTCTGATACCTCTTGAATGATGTTCCGAAGGTATAGCCAACTACAGCCATATGTCAAGTTTTGCAACCAAATCCATTTAGGACGCGTCAAGATTTGATGAAGAAAAAAAAATTTTGGCTGAAATTTGTGAAATTACCAACAACATCAATTAATCATCAACAATCTCCACAAGATGGTATTACCAGCCAACTTACAAGGCAATTTGATGCCTTCTGAGATTAATTTCTTAGCTGAAAATGAACTAATTACAATTTTACCAAGATATACTATGAAGAAAATACAACTAATAGGTGTATGTATCCATTCACAACATTTAGTCTTTCATATGATCATTCCAAACTAACATCCATTCTAGACAAAAATCCCCAATTTAAGAGCTATGAGACGAGAATCAGTTCCTCTTTGGGTAGCATTAATATTAAAGTCACAAGATAAATGTAGCATAGTACCTCCAAAATGGTTGAATGTACCATATTTGAAAGAAAAATATGATGAAGAATTACGAAGACCACATCAATTTAGTGATTTACCTTGGAATTGGCTAGAACTTTCCAAGATACTATTAACAAGAGCTGCTGATGATTTGCAAGACCCTCCACATCAATTAAGATCAATCATACAAGATTTGCGGGAAATACGATTGGTGAAATCAAGGAAAGGTCTACGAGAATTGAATGAATCAAATATACAATTGAATGGGTTATCATTGTTGGAGATTAATGAATTAAGGCCGTTTGTTCTTAATGTTATGAATAAATTGAGGCAATTACATGATTCGAGTCAGACTAAAGCAGCTGAAGAGATTGAAGACGAAGATATGGTAGATGTTTCTGATGATGATTATTAGAAGATTAGCAATTTGCTTCGTTGTATTTGTCCAATCCCTCATTTTAAAGTACTGGTAGAGATTCACACATTACATCAAGGCATTATCTATTGAAATACTCATCTTCCAGGGATCACGGTTATTTGTTGATAGATTCGATATCTTGGAAGATATACAACCAGAGGCACTTATCCTTAAGATAGAGGTGTATTTTTGCTGTTAAGATATCAGAGGATCGAATAATATCATAATTAGGTATTTGATTATCACTACACTCAAAATTTGCAGGCAATACATTTCAATATGTCTGTAGTATAAAAAATTTTCATATTTTCAATGAATTTCTAATCTGTTCAAATACCTTCGGAGTCTCTCTATTTCTCCTCTCAATCATATTCTACAAAACAACACAGGACATTGGGTGGAGCGTTGGGAATTCAACATCCTACTACGGGGAAATTAAAGTTTGAGTTTACGTGAACATCCCCAAAATACTACTTCTATTGCTTTCCCCCCTTTCCTCCTCTTTAATTGACAAAGCTTACTCACGCTATCCCCCTCCCTTCCATTCTCCTATTGAGGAGTGGGGTATAAATAGTTGTCGAAATCCCCTTGTTTTTTCAAATCATTTTGTTGTTTTCTTTCTCCGTGGGATTCGTTTCTTTCATATGGGCTTCTTATGCCACTGGTAGAGGAAGGTTTTCTCGGTCTTCTTATGAGACAATATCGATGAGCATAGGGGTGGTACTAGGGCTTGGGATATTGAATGGTTTCGTCGAGTAGGTTCCCCTTCATGCAAGTTGTTGTTTAGACTGTGCTTCGAGCCTTCTTGAAATTGAGAAAGAATCCAACGGAGGGGTGTTCTTGCCTATTTTATTACTAGGGAAGCAGGTTGGTGGACTTTGGCCGGTGTGCATTTACTCGCTTTGTTGGAAATTTTGTATGCTTGGGCATTCGTCCCTTGAAGGTTGGTGGTATATTCTAGCTCCTAATTTGTATGCCGGAGCTCCAATTGGGGGATATCATTGAATACTTTTAGCGTTAGTGCCATGAATGTGTCACATTGTGTTGTATGATGAGGGGGTTGATTATTCTGTATTATGTAGCTTAGGAAACTCTGTGAAATAAAGGATTTCATCATTAACATTTTTTTTTGCAACCATTCTTGTAAATCAAAGCGATAAATTAAACTAGAAACATTGAAGGTCATCTTCCTTGTTCTTGGAGCCTTCTGTGCTGGAGCTACTGCATGTTCAGTCTATTATACATTCATAGTTGGTATGCCTTCAAGAAGCTGTTGAAGTTGGTAGCGCCTATGGTTTTTGCTTCGCAATCTGGCGATATTCGCCAAAGCGCACGACTCGTTCGAAGACCTGCAGGAGATCTAAAAAATGACTCACTAAAGCAACAAGACTCTCAACCCCTGACAGATCTTATCATATTGTGGTTTAGGTGAATAAATGAGTAAATTGAGTACATTAAATAGACAATTCATATCGAATTTAGATACCCATAAAGTAATAACTGATGCTAAACGAAATTTAATTCTTTCAATTTTGAAATCAACAACCACTAAACGAGAAGCCAAAAATTATCTTACCAAGTATCAAAACCAATTTGATTTCAGTAGTAGTTTAGAATTTAATAGGAGTATAAAGAGTATAAATGAACAAGAATCGTTGACTAAGAGAGATATTCAACGTGAATTGTTTATCAATCGTTATTTAAATCGTCGGAATCCATTTATTAATATTTATGATAATGAAGAAGTTAAATATAAAAAGATCCCACTTCGTATTGCATTGTTCAAGATTAAGGTTCCTAGTATAACACCTAAGGAATGGCAAGGGATTACAGAAACTTTCAAGAGATTAATAACGTTTGGCATTTCACCTATTATAATATTGGACTATGATCATTTCCCTCATGATTCATTCAAACATAATGAATTATACATGATTGATGTTGCCAATAAGTTGTTAAATTATTTAGGAAAACCTGAAGCCGAAGGTGATTTAAAGGCAACAATAGCCCGGTCTTTGTTTACTTCGAGAGATGGGGTTATTACTATGGACAGTTTGGAACTGATACTTATACCTCTATATCAAGGATTGGTCCCCATTATACAACCGTTTGTATACAATGCTGAAACAAGTTATCAAGAATTAATCGAGCCGGATAATTTATTATATTCATTATCGTCAGCCTTACTTGAAAGAGGTTCAAAAGACTTATTGACAATAGAGAAAATAGTCATGATTGATCCAATTGGAGGAATACCTTCAATTGAAAGAAATCAATCCAGTCATGTTTTCATAAATCTTTCTCAAGAATATTCTGATATTATTTCAGAATTGTATATTGGACATATCGAACCCAAGAATCGTGATTTACATCTTCAAAATTTGAATAGCATGAATAATATTCTAAGTTTCATTAATGAAAAATCAGGCAATGATGAAGCAACAGGAATAATCACTACTCCTGAAATCATGTCAATTAATAGTGATGAATTGAATCCAATTATTTATAATGTGCTAACAGATAGACCGATTATATCATCTTCTTTACCTAGTTCCAACACCAGAACCCAGAGACTTTCGACATCTGTGATCAAAAAGGGTGTGGATGTTCAGATATTTGATCAGGATGACTATCATCGAGAATTTACATTGAAGAATTTATTCGAAGATAAGTTAGTCGATAAAGATAGATTAGTTGCGTTAATGAATGATTCATTTGGTAAAGAATTAGATGTGGATTCATATTTGTCTCGTATTAATAACGACTTGGCTACATTAGTCATAGTGGGAGATTATGATGGAGGTGCTATAATTACTTGGGAATATAGTCAAGGTGAAAAAATTGCCTATTTGGATAAATTTGCAATTGCAAAAAAGAATCAAGGATTACCAGGTTTGGCCGATATTATATTTAAGATCATCTTACAATCACATCCAAATGAGTTGATTTGGAGATCGAGGAAAGTTAATCCTGTAAATAAATGGTATTTTGAAAGATGTTGTGGATGTATGAGTTCACCCGAATCGCAATGGAAGATCTTTTATACTGGAGAGATATTTAATAAGAAAATAAAACGATATGATAATAAGATTGTTAATGGTGATTTAAATATTGGGAAAAAATTAAAACAATATTCTGAGATTTGTGAAAGTATTCCTCCTTCATTTATATAGAGAGAAATCAATAATGACAATGACTATTCAGCAAAGACATTCTTACTTGTAATATAAAAATCATAAGCTGGTTATATCTTGTAATTTTAAGACACATCCGAGCATCGGCCAGTGAAAAGTTTTTGTTGAGTTAAATTGCTAAATTTTGCAATTGAAGTGTTTAAATTTTTGTTGGCCCCAAAATTTGCCAACACTAAAATAATAAATAATTGTTCCATATTCGGTAATTGGACTGAAAAATAAAAAAAAATCATCGGATGGAACAAAAAGCACAAAAGAAACATCCCATTATCATTGATCTATAAAAGGTTGCTTCTTCTTCTTCTTCCTCTTCTTTTCTACCTGATCTTTAAGTTAAAACTTACTTTCCACTCTTGCCAATTTACTTTCAACTATCATTGACTATGATTGCTACAGCTATAAACAATCTGCCAGAGGCTACTCCTCTTTTAAGAAATAGAAATCTGCAACCTGAAAATTCAACCGAGGATACCGCGAATCAGGTACCAAATGATAACAACAATACTGGAAAATCAAAAAAACGATTACATTATTATCATGAATTAGATGATTGGCAAAAGGATAACCATTATATCAAATCAGGCTATGTTAAAGAAACATTATCATATTTAGGATGTCTTGAATCTTTAACTTATTTACATANGGATACGTTAAAGAAACATTATCATATTTAGGATGTCTTGAATCTTTAACTTATTTACATAATGAAACTGTTAATATTTATACTCATTTGATACCTTCAAGTATTGTATTTTGGGCAGTATTATATTATATCAATTATCCATTAACCATATATGATAATTATTTAGGAATATGGGAGAAATTCAATTTCATACAATTTGCAATTGCTTGTACCTTTTGTTTATTTATGTCATCAACTTTCCATTGTGTTAAAAGTCATTCTCATTCAGTAATGAAATTTGGGAATCAATTGGATTATTTTGGAATTGTTATTTTAATTACTTGTTCATTGATTTCAATCTTATTATTTGCATTCTATGATTATCCATGGATTAGAAATTGTTTTATGGCAACTTCATTAATTTTTGGTAGTATTTGTACTGTATTAACTTTACATCCTGAATTTAGTAGTGTTGATTATCGTGGATTTAGAGCTACCATGTTTATCATGTTTGGATTATCTGGAGTACTTCCTGTCCTTGCATCTTTTGCATTATTTGATTATGACACAGTTGTACAAAGATCAGGATTATATTGGCTTATATTAGAAGGTGTATTTTATATTACTGGAGCTGTATTATATGCTTGTAGATTCCCAGAAAGATTGGTTCATATTGATCAACATTTACTTGAATTATTACAGAATCCATTACCGGGAAAGTTTGATATCTTTGGTCATTCTCATCAAATCTTTCATATCTTTGTTGTTATTGCTGCCTTTTGTCATTGGAAGGCTTTGGTTCAATGTTATCATTATTTACATCAACATACTTTAGTTGTATAAAGACTTTTCATATTTATATATAATTACATTCATTAAAATTATGAAGAAACGCTTTTTTGTAGCTTACTTCAAGTCTGGCTGAGATTTTGTTTTTGATTCACCAAACTTACTTTTACTTGAATACACGATATTCCTTTAAGAGCTGTATCGGTTTAAGAGGGATACAACGTAGTGTCTATTCCATAAGTGATTCAGGTTCAATATCTAAAATGTTGTATATGTTAGCAGGTACTCCTGTGTATGTTCTGGGGAGTTGTCGTTTTAGAGGGTTTTCTTGATTGTTCAATGGTTGCAAAAAAATATTCTAATACAAAATTTTTACTCATTGCTGTTAAAAATTTCTTTAGTTGATAAGTTTCAAACTATTAGGGAAATATTCAATTACATTACTACAATGAAGTGAGTTACCTAGTTTGATATTTAGAATGAAATATTCATATTTATTGCCAATGTAGCTAATAGAAAACTAAATAACTATACCCGTTCCTTTTCTCTTGAGAGGAATTTATTCATCAACGTATTGCAAATTTTGAATATGAGAACAATTCAAATCATTAATTTTTCCTCTTGGTAATCTAACTTCCATAGTATTAAGTTCTGGGATTTGTTCAACAATAATACCACCTAATTCTTCAATATTTTCCATGATTTCTTTCACATCTCCAATTGTACTTTCTGATTTGATAGTGATTTCGAATGCGTCTTGTTGGTTCATTTTTACTCTTTGTTTTTATTGAGTTGTTTGAATAATAAACACAAATACTCCTTTCAAAGGAATATCGGGTCTATTATATACTAACCGAAGAATATATTAGGAAATAAATTGCTTTGGTGCTACCATGTGATTTTATGATTGCTAAAAAGATGATATCATCTCAGGTAATATTACATTTACATTGACAATGGGAAAACTTAGGACGCATCGAAACAGTGTTTGTGTTTGCTTTGTTAGACAATTGGGGGTGGGGTAAAGTATAGTTCTAGTTAAACTACCCAAGACTGGAGAGCTGAATTTTTTGCAACCAATGAAGTTTATCCCTTATTCGCAAATTCCTTAGCAAAAATAATATAAAGCTTGGGTGGCTCTTAGAGCCCCTATCTTAACGCAACAAAAGATATACATTTCCTATTATTTTATTGAAGCGTAGCATATATTCAATTTACTCAAGTACATCGAAATAGTTAGTAAACAAAGTAGGCTACAATTTCTCCGTATATAAAAGAAACTGGTGACATGCGCAAAGAAACGTTTATTTTTTGGAGGGGAGTTTATTATTATTTTTTTTTCTTGAGTTATTTTCCAGATCTCTAACCCCTCGTCTACTACGAAGACTGCGAATTCAAAAATAGTAACCATAGCCTTCTTCATTTACATGGGTCTTAATATACCTAAAGAAATTGAACAAGTTTTGCTGATTAAAATTATGGACAGCCCCCAGTAAATGAATTGAATCACCTATGGATTTCTTATCGGCTATTCATGTAACGTCTATGCATGGCGGTTGCTGCTTCGATGTAACGAGAACAAAAAAGAAATTTTTGACAATTTTTTATTGCATAAAAACTGTAATTAACATAAGAAAATAAGCCACCAATTTTTATAAATACACCCTTCAAATCCCAAAAACAAACCCTTTATCAATTTTTTTTCTTACATTGAACTCTTGATTTATCCATAAGTTATTCCGAGTAACAATAATGACATATCCAAGAACATTAATCATATTGCCATGTCATTCAATATGGAAGCAAGGAGGTCAAACTTTAGGGGTTGATCAAAATGAATGGCATTTAGCCGATTTCCAATTAGAAGGACAAGATCATTTAGTATTTAGAGCACAAATATTAGATAGTCTAAAATTACTACAACAAGATGAAGACTCATATTTGATTATATCTGGAGGTGCAACTAAGAAAGAAGCAGGACCGGTATCTGAAGCATTATCATATTTCCAATTAGCACAACATTTCATATGCGACGATACAACTTTATTGGATAGAATTAATCTTGAAGAATTTGCTCGAGATTCTTTTGAGAATGTGATATTCTCATTATGTCGATTCTATGAAATCTTTGGTGCATATCCTGAAAATATCACGGTTGTTGGATTTGAATTTAAACGAGGGAGATTTGTTCTTCATCATTTAGAACAAGCATTATGTTTCCCTAAAGAAAAAGTCACATATATTGGATCTTCACCGATTACTGATCATTTAACTGAAGAAGCAAGAGAAAGATATTATCAAGAATTGGAAAGCAATGAATTCAAACATGCATTAAGATATTTCCAACAAGATTGGTATGGAATAAATGGTTCATTGAAGGAAAAGAAGAAGATCAGAAATCCTTATAATAAATATCATGGATATGCCAATAGTAATCCGAATTTGGCTGATTTCTTAATGGCAATTAATGATAATTCTGCAGCGCAACCAAGTGAAAATATCAGGGCATTAATAGATAAAGTACCCTGGATAAACAATTAGAAATTATTTATTATTAGAAGTAGAGTATTTAGAACTAGAGCAGTATTAATAGAATTACAGTATAATTGTGTAACAATCTTATTTTAATAGAATTTTTTAATTTAACACAACTTATATACAAAAGAAGTTAACAAATTTTTTGATTTTATTTTGACAGGCTTTTCTAAACCTTTTGTTTTAATGCTCTTCTAGCTTGTACCGCTTTACTTAATTTGGTCAACATATCAACAGTAGTTTCCCAAGAGACACAACCATCAGTAATAGAAACACCATATTTCAATACTTCTTTGGTAGCACCTGGAGGTGGCATTGATTGTTTACCTTCATTAATATGAGATTCAATCATAACACCAATAATAGCATCTTCACCATTAGTTATTTGTTCAGCAACAGAATCTAAAACAATTGGTTGGTTTCTGTAGTCTTTTTGGGAATTGTCATGAGAACAATCAACCATTAATTTGATATTTGGATCAGTAGATTTAGCAATTGCTTCTTTAGCAGCCTTAACTGAATCTGGACCATAATTAGTAATCTTCTTACCACCTCTCAAAATGATGAAACAATTGTCATTACCTTTGGTAGTGGTAATTGCGGCCATACCATTCTTGGTAACACCCATGAAATGGTGTCCTTTAGATGAAGCTTGAACCGCATCTAAAGCAACAGTTAATCCACCATCAGTACCATTCTTGAAACCAATTGGGAAAGATAAACCTGATGCCAATTCACGATGTAATTGAGATTCAGTAGTTCTAGCACCAATGGCACCAAAACTTAAGAAATCAGAAAAGTATTGTGGAGAAATAGTATCTAACATTTCTGAACCAATTGGTAAACCACATTTACCAGTTAAATCAGAATATAATTGACGAGATATTCTTAAACCACGATTGATATCAAAAGTATTATCCACATTTGGATCATTGATTAAACCTTTCCAACCAACAGTAGTTCTTGGTTTTTCTAAATATGCTCTCATAACAATACATAAATCTCCTTTCAATTCTTCAGATAATTTCTTTAAACGATTGGCATATTCTAAAGCAGCCTTAGTATCATGAATTGAACATGGACCAACAATTACAAGACATCTGTCATCTTTCCCACTAAGAATTTGTCCGGATTCAAAACGACCTCTCATAACAACTTCTAAAGATTCATTAGTTGCTTTAATTTCATGTTGTAATAATGCAGGTGGAATCAAAGGATCATAACCTAAGATTCTAGTATCATCGTATTCAGCTGGAATAGGAGTGTGACTCATATTGTCCTGTTTGGTTACTGGTTATATAAATAAATTGGTAGGGTTTTAATTGAAAAAGAGGAAGAAAGGAAAAACTTTGAAAATAATTAATCCTGAAAAACGGAGAAAGTTTACCACTACGACAGTATTAAATAAATTAGTCCGACGCACCGACAATTTTTTTTTCTGTTACTCATCTTGAAAAATTTTTGTTCGGAGCGATTTCAGGAAGGAGGAAAGTTTTTTACAGGTTACACGTAGTTGATAAAAGAGTCATAATGTCTGAAACAAGGAAACCACAAAACAATTAAGCCCAATGACATATGCCATACACATCAAAAGCCATGATCTTTAACAAATCGAATTCCCAAATATCCAATTTGACACGTCGCTGGTTTGAAATAAAACACAAAGAAAAAAATAAATGTGTTAATAAATGTCAATTGCTCATTGTTCATTGTCATTGACGAGAGAGATAAGAGATTTTTTTGAAGATTTTCACGTGAGCATGGCAGCGTGTACATAACACATGGTAGATAATGTAAACTGTAAAATATCATTTAGCGAAAAATAAAAACCAAAGATTTCCCAAGATTTACAGGTTATACCAATCAAAACTGAAAGCCGCGGGTAAACTGTATCGAGAAACTTGCCACCATAATCATAATTACAGTCAAATGAGATCTCTAACAGAATCTCAAAGAATATTCATTTGTTTCTTTGTATTTGGACTTCTAAACAATATCCTATATGTCATCATCTTATCAGCAGCTATAGATCTAGTAGGATCAGCTACTCCAAAGGCAGTGGTATTATTAGCTGACATTTTACCAGCATTGACAATCAAATTAATTGCACCATTCTTCATACATCTCATTCCATATATCAGTCGAATATGGACATTGGTTGGATTATCTACTACTGGTATGATATTGATCTCCCTTAGTTCTTCCGGATCTATTGGTACCAAATTATTTGGGATTATACTTGCATCATTATCTTGTGGTTTGGGTGAACTTAGTTTTTTGCAATTGACACATTATTACGACGAGAGACAATCAATTGGAGGGTTTTCAACTGGGACTGGTGGTGCTGGTTTATTTGGAAGTTTTCTTTTTATGTTGTTGACTAATGTTATGGGAATACCTGTTTGGATTGTATTGTTGATGTTTGCAATTGTTCCACTGGGGTTTGCCGGGATATATTTCTACTACCTACCAGAGCAAGGGCAAGGCATTGAATATGAAGAGATTGTCCAGGAACTTACTGACGATGAAGAAGATGAGATTGTAATTGAAATGAATTCAAAGTATAATGTTCAATATATGATTACTCACATATGGACTACAATTAATGAAATCAAACCACTTGTGATACCTTATATGATTCCTTTAATGACTGTGTATTTTTCCGAATATCTTATCAATCAAGGGATCTCTCCCACTTTGTTATTCCCTTTGGAAGAATTACCACGATGGTTATTCTCAAGCTATAGAGACATTTATGTCGTTTATGGTTTCTTATATCAACTAGGAGTATTCATATCTCGATCGTCGATTTCATTTGGAATTCGTGTTCGACATCTAGGTAAATTATCAATATTACAGTTCATAAACGTATTGATTACCCTATGTCAATCCCTATATGATTTACCATTTGGAAATATTTGGCTCATGGTAATCCTAATATTCTTCGAGGGGCTATTAGGAGGTCTTTCTTATGTCAATACGTTTGTATCAGTTAGTGAACAGGTTCCCAAACTGAAAAGAGAGTTTAGTATGGGATGTGTAAGTATTAGCGATGGCATTGGCATTGTTTTAGCAGGTTGTGTAAGTTTATGGTTAGAAAGAGCTTTATGTAGACAGCAAGTCAGCCGGGATAGGGACTGGTGTCTCACTGGTGGTTCTCTATAAATAGAATTTATATCTAGCACAATTCATCAGTAACTACTTCATTTTTTGCAACACCGGAGAAATCCGGGAAATGCGCTTTCGCACCAATTGACAAAACAAAACGAAAATCGATCAAAAAGGTTCCACACATTTCTTTATCTCTTTAACCACACTCGGAGCAATGATTACAGTAAGAGCACCAATACGATTGACTCGTACATTACCAAGAGTTTTATACTCTTCATTCCATACCACTATCCCGAAAAGAACTTCAAATGATATCGCATTTGTATTTGACATCGATGGTGTGTTAATCAAAGGCAAGAAGATTATCAAAGAAGCAAAACCAGCACTCGAATTATTAAACGAGTACAAGATCCCATACATTCTCATGACCAATGGAGGAGGAGTGCTGGAGAAACAAAAGGCCGATACGATTACCGAAATAGTCGGGGTCCCCATTTCTCCATGTCAAGTTGTCCAAAGTCATACTCCAATGAAAGCTTTGGCTGTTAATAACACATATAAGAGAGTAATGGTCATTGGTGGTATTGGAGATGCTGGGAGACGTGTGGCTGCGGAGTATGGGTTTGACGATGTTGTTTTACCTATAGATATAGTAAATTCAATACCCTCCATTTCTCCTCATACTATGTTTAAACAGGATGATCTTGATAAGTATGCCCGTGAATTTGATATATCGAAGCCAATTGATGCTGTTTTGGTTTTCCATGATCCACGTGATTTAAACACCGATGTTCAAGTTGTGCATGATATTTTGAATTCTGAAGGTGGGTTAATTGGAACAAAAAGAAAGATAACTGGTTCTCCTAATCCAGCAATCCCAATTATTTTTAGTAATAATGATTATGTCTATGCAAATGATTTCAATTTACCTAGATTTGGACAAGGAGCTTACAAAATAATAATTGATCAGTTATATAAACACACGAACAAATTAAAGGGTGATCAGAATATGAATTCACTTATAATGGGAAAACCTTTTAAAGTACAATATGATTTTGCTCATCATGTGTTAATTGATTGGAAAAGGAAAATAGACACCCGTGATTTTAATTCAAAACAAGTTTTACCTGATTTGGGGGCGGTGCCTAAAGATACCCCTTTTAGAAAGATTTACATGGTTGGCGATAACCCCGCCTCTGATATCCAAGGAGCAAACGATCATGGTTGGGAATCGGTATTGTTGAGAACAGGGGTCTATCAAGATGAGGATTGGGAAAATATTATTGCCAAGCCAACTGTTGGGATTTTTGATCACGTACATGATGCAGTAAATGAAATTTTGAAATCAAATAGGATTGTATAGGTTATTTACTTTTATTGTCCCAACCCCGACCGGGTTTATATTTATCCTAGAAAGGTTTTATAGAATTTTAGAGACCGGAGATATTTCAAAGAAAACAATGGATGTGTGGCTTTTTGTACCCTTCGCGTAAAAACAACTCTACAGATCGTCGCTAAAAGTGTATGAAAAATGTTCGACAAGGCAGTACTATAAATTAGATTCATTTATATGCCGAATTGCCGTACGGTTTATCCCCTCATGTTCGAAATTTTGTACAAGTAACTAAAGAGCTCACGTTCTAGAGTTGCGCAGTAGTCTAGTGTCGTGTAGTAACTTATTTCTCTTCTGGCACTGACAGTTTACCAACTTAAGTAT